TGTAGGCACTTGTAGGCACTTGTAGGCACTTGTAGGCACTTGTAGGCACTTGTAGGCATCGAGTATTTTGTATGACTGGCTATCTTCGTCAGAATGAGCAACTGGCGGGTTCGGCGGGCAGTCGGTCACGTGAAATTCTGTCATTCGCGTCGCTCGCGTTTCCCCGGCTTTTTCGATCCGCCAGTTTTTGTCCAGTATTTATCAAAAGCTACCTTCAAGGGCATGGCCTGATCTGTCGTCGCATCACCTATTTTTCCTCAATCTGGCAGTCGCTGCGCAGTGTACCTTGTTTCAAGAGTTCTTTCGAGTACCTCGGTCCCAAGCTCCGGCATCAAACGGCGATTACGGTCGCCTGCCTGCCTGACCTTTGACAGCCTCGAGCAACAAGCTCTCTCCGGTGACAGTTGGGCTCCTATCGCCCAACCCTAACCGCCATCATGCAACTTACTGAGAATGAGGCCGCAGAAGTGAAGAAGTGGGTTGTGAGGAAGCTGGAAGATATGTAAGGTGTCCGCGAGAACCGCACACTTGGGCGCTGAACCTGCCCTTTCGCTCTTCCCCCGCAGCCCTCGCTCATTGCTCGCTCAAAGACTAATCTTTCGTCGCTTGCCAGTTCGGACGCCGACTCCGACGTACTTGCCGATTATGTCCTGGCTCTGATCAGGACCGATGCGCCCGATGAGGATATCCGCAAGGCTTCGGTGGATAACTTGGAGGATTTCCTTCGTGAACGTTAGTCTTTTCGCGCTGCCTGCAATCTATCCTCGGCCCGTTTGGCGGTTTTGCACTTGCAGCTTGCTGACATTTGATGCTACTTCTTGCTATCTCTCCAGACACCGTGAGCTTTGTCGATGAACTCTTTGCAACCTTTGCATCCAAACCACAACCGGCTGCCGGTGCTCAACAACCATCAGATGCGCAGAATCAGTCGCAGGACCCTCAGGCCGCGGCAGCGACTGGGGCTGGCCCTCAAAACCCACCGCAACAGAATGCGTTCAACCCGCCGATTGGTCCTTCCAAGGGGCCGTACGGAGCGCCCCAGATGGGAAATGCTTTCCCGCAACAAGCGCAGGGTGACAACCAGCACAACTTCAACCGCAAACGTACGTTTCAGGAAGGCTTCCAGATGGACGTCGACCGTGAAGATGTCCCGCAGAATCGCAACTACAAAACCCCCCGCCGAGGACGTGGTGGCGGGAGGGGCGACTGGATGGGCGGCAGAGATGGTCGTGCCGGTCCCGGACAACAACAGCAATCCTCGTTCAACCCGCAAGCCGCATCATTCGTCATGCCTCCGACTTTTCCTCCCTTCGATCAGAATGATCCCATGGCGACCATGATGGCGCTCCAGAGTATGGGTTTCCCTCAGATGCCGGGGATGCCGCCGATGCCGATGCCGCCGGTGGGCGCTGGCCAGCAGCCGGGCGAAATGGTGCCGAAGAGCTCGGAGCGGTGCCCGTTCTACGAGACGCAGGGGATCTGCTACCTAGGAACTACGTGTCCCTACCAGCATGATACTAACGGCGGGGCTTCTAAGACAGACGGTATGTTGTGATTGCTATCATTTGTGCAATGGAGATGGGCTAATATGGTTTGTTGTGGGCGTAGAATATGACCCCAAGTCGTCGAGTATCGTCACAGACTACCAGAGACGATCGGATGGGCCGCCTATGCGGGGCGGGGACCGAGGCCGTGGTCGTGGCCGTGGCGGCGATCGAGGTGGATTTGGCGGCCGAGGACGTCGGTCTGAGTTCTCGTCTGCTGGTCCCAATGAGGATACATCCATCACGACGATTGTTGTTGAGCAGATTCCTGATGACAAGCTCGAGGAAGCGACGGTCCGGGAGTTCTTTGCACAATATGGTGAGATTGTGGACATTTCGCTGCAACCGCACCGGCGACTGGCTCTGATCACCTATGAGAACCACGCTGGGGCCAAGAGCGCCTGGTCCAGCCCGAAGGTGATCTTCGATAACCGGTTCGTCAAGGTCTACTGGCACAAGCCCAAGGGCGACCGGAACGGGGACTCGCGGCCTCACCATGGTGACTCGGAGGGCCCGGCTTTTAACCGGGAGGAGTTTGAGAAGCAACAAGAAGAAGCGCAGCGCACCTACGAAGAGAAGCTCAAGAAACGGAAGGAGACCGAGGAGGCCAAGCAGGCTCTGGAGCGACAGCGCGACGAACTGCTCAAGAAACAGCAGGAAGAGCGGCAGCGGCTGATGCAGAAACTCGGCGGCACTGTCAGCGGCAATGGCGATGGCCCTGTCGGCAGCGGAGAGGCCTCTCCCGACGGCCGGTCCCCGTCGACGCAACCAGAGCATGTCAGTGAACAGACCAAACAGCTTCGGGCGCAGCTGGCCGCCCTCGAAGCCGAGGCCAAGAGCCTGGGCCTCGATCCCAATGCCGCTCCGGGCTCGGGGTATCGCGGCCGCGGCCGAGGCGGCTACGGTCGAGGAGGATATGCCCCGCGTGGCCGCGGCGGCTACGATAGCCACTATCGGGGCGGTGGTGGCTATCGGGGTCGCGGCGGCCTGGCTGGGCGTGGTGGTGTCCTTCGCCTGGACAACCGACCCAAGCGTGTGGCGGTCTCTGGTGTCGAGTTCGATTCCGAGAAGGATGAAGCCCTGAGACAGTTCTTAATTGTGAGTTGCCCGTTGAGCCTGTGGCTAATTTTGGATCTCGGATTGTACTGACCAATGCCATTTCTTGTTCTCCAGGGCGTCGGCGAATACTCCTCCATCGAACCCAATCCCGACCAACCGGACTCGCTCATCGTGGCGTTCAAGGAACGCTATCAGGCTGAGAAGTTTATGTTCGGGCCCCGCGACATCCCCTCGGTCGGCCAGGTCGAGCTCGCCTGGGTGCCCAACCCACCCATCTATGTCGCTCAGCCTGCGGCGACTGGGCCGGGGTCCGACACCAACCGGACTGGCTCGGATGAGGACACATTGATGGACACCACGCCGCTGCCTCCCGCGCCGTCCGACCTGGGATCTGGTCGCAAGGATGGCGGGCAACATGATGTTGATTACGATGTGGCGGAGATGGATGATAGCTGGGGAGCGGAGTGAGTTTGTGTTGTGCTGCTTTGATACGCTTGTCAACTTGAGGTCTGGGTTGGCTTTAGGACAAAAGAAAGAGGAGAAGATATTGGGATTTGTATTTCAGATATCCTACTATCTTATGGAGTAAGAAACTAGACTTTATGTTGGTGCTGCTGGGGGGTTGCCCTGCGCATCGCTATGCGAATTACCTCTTTTCTACTATCTGCGAGGTGTAAGGATTATACAGGGTCGACTTGACTGACGTCACCAACTCGATGCAGTCGATATAGTGTGATGAAATATTACCGTTTGCCTTCCGGAACGGCATCTTCCTCATATCAGATAGCAATCTCCTGCTTTTCATGCCGGTAATTTCCCACCTAGTGAATTGCGTGCAATTTGCCTGAAAAAGACCGCGTCGCGATTCACTCGTGTGCCTGTCGCGGTGCGGGAGTCTGTGCCCAGCACGGCAGAGAACCCCAATCCAGAAGGCGGAAAGCGTTATCCCTGGGCGGTCAAGGGTCGCGCGTGATTCCCAACTCTCCTTCCTTATGCTCCTTCTCTTCTTCCACCATCCGGCATCCTCCATCCACCATCATCATTTCTCCTGTAAAGGCTGTATTTGCTCTTCGCTGATCTCGCCGCCAGTCTTGCCATTCCTGTGGTTGCATAGGACTCTCTGATTTCACCTGTTGACTTCCATGTCGCTTGTTGACTTCGGATTGGGCTTGAGCTCGTGACCAGGCCGTGAAAGCTTCTACTACTTTGCGCTTTTTATCTTTTCATCATTCTTCTTCGAATTCTTCGAGTCAGGGCTGCTCACCGTTGTCAAAGCCCGGGTGGGCGGGTTACTCGATTCATCGAGGGTCTTCGTTTTTTTTTTTTAGCTGATCGACAGCACTGCGACTAGACGATGACCACGACCCCTCCAAACCCGCCCTGGGTCATCAAGAAGGCGGTCGTTGTTTCTATACCTGATTCTGAAGTCGCTTGTTCAGCGAGTCTTCGTATTTTTCATGATGGAAACACTGATAAAGGATCTATCTCACTCAAGATCAAAGCAGACCTTGCTAACCTGAGAGGCGTACTACAGGACCTGACATTAACTATCCTCCCGGAAAGAGTCGATGAATGTGCCTTGTCCTTGACGAACAACGATGGCCTCTGTTCTCCTCGATTGGTTTCCATGCTGCGGGCGTCTGTACCAAATATCGCGGCCGTCTCGACACTGAGTTTGACACTCGGTACAACTGGCGTTGTTCTTGTTCCACGGGGGATGGAGCGTCTGAGTCCAGCCGATCCGCAAGATATGAATTTTTACGCGTTTGCAAAGATCTGTCAATCCAAATCTCTCCGTCTACACTTCGCCAACCGACAATTTGTGGACGACCAGATTGATCGGTTGAAGACTTTTTCCTTAGCTTTGCACAGAAAAGACCTCGAGGCCGAGTCATTTAAACACCCCCTCTCTGGCGTGGACGAGCGGGATTGGACTGTCTTTGATTTGTCGCCCGATCCCCCCCCGTATTATGAGCCGGTGCTGAAGCCGGTGATAGGAAAACATGAAAGAGGTATCTTGTATAATTCGACCTTCAAATAGCTTGTTAATAGTTTAGTAGATCAGTGGACATTGGAGCCCAATGATAAAAAACGAAAAAGGCTGTTCTCATCCCCTTCATCGTCAGGCACTGTCGCCGAAATTATGCCACCGAGTACTTGCTTCCCTGCACCATCCTCCATCCGCCCAGCCTCCTTTGCGCGTGCTATCTCTCCTGGCTGCAACGGTGACAGGCTTGCACGTCTCGAACATGAGCTCCGTGGTATGCCCGATGACCTAGTTCGTAAATTATTGAGTCGGGCAGGACACGGACACCTGCTGGCCAGACCAGAAGTAGTGAACAGCGACCTGCCATCCTACTCTGGGCCGGCGGACGTTGAGCTGGCAGACGTCAAACAACTTGAGCGGCCCCTGAAGGAATATATCGACCAGATGATCGAGCGCCGGCTCCCACGTGTTGTCGACGAGAGGATTGATTGCCGCTTTAGTCGTCTTGTCCACGAGCTGGTCGATAACGCCGTGAGTGACGGTCGCGACCAGATTTTTGATGACTGTAAGATAAACGAGGCCGAATTCCGCGAGCAGGTCGACGATGGCAACTCCGAGGTCCGCCTAACGGCCAACGAATGTATGAAGGAGATCCAAGAACAAGCACAAAGACATGTGGAGGAGATAGAGGAACATGCACAACAGTGCATGGAGGACCTTGAGAATCAGGGCTTCGCAGTTAAAGTGTCTTTGGGAGAGAAGGTTGCGGAATTGAAGCGTCGCTGGTTCAATGCTTCTGCACCATCCTCACTTGCGGGCAGAACAAGCCCTGGCCATGAGCTGGGCAGCCTGCATGTCAGACGCAGTTCCTTCTGAAGTGCTTATGGTAATGGTTTAATATTGGCGTGTACAGTACATATTTTCTTCTACTACGAGTCTACGAGTGCATTTATGCATCAATTAATGCCCTTTTTACAAGGTATTTGCAAGAAAAGAAGGTACTTACCTCTAGAATCTTCCCCGGAATGTCAACCTGCCGGCCCGTAAATGGTTGGGATACCGTTAGGATCTCAATGCTTTATGGTTGGGCAAACCTCGGCTTTGCTGAGTTCAGCGCCCGCCAATGTCCATGGCATTCAAGCAGCTCTGTAAGGCTTTTCAAGCAATTTACCTTGGGACGTAAAAGTTCTTGACTAGGGGGTATTCGGTAGCTGATTGAGTACCTAAGAGGTTCTTTCACTTATATCACTAATTTCATCAAGACTCTTGGGGCGGTCTATATCTGGGCTGTAAGGGTCGTCTACCGATCAAATTAGAAAGTTTCTTGAATTATTCTTCTATATCAGGAGTCTCTAATTATCAGGGAATGTCTGTTATGTAGACTACCTCTATATCACTAGTTAGTTAGTCCATTCGACTGCCATTGTGCTTATACTTCTGCTCAGAATCATCTGAATAAATGAATTGTTCACATTGAAACGAGCTGTTCAACTGTCCACTTGAAACACAGGAAGACACTTCATATGAACCGTATATTTATACCAAGAATTGTTGGGGTGAACCCACCCCAAAGAAATAGTCACTTGAAGTACAGTAGCTTGGGGGACTGTACTTGAGACAGGCCCAAGATAAATATAGCAATAGTAGTTGTTGTAGTGCTCACAGTACTCCGTACTGCATACAGATAACTTACCGGAGTCAAATCACTTATAGTATCGATTTCTAGCACCTCCTAGTAGTTACTCATCTCCTCTCTTGTCTATCCCACACACCGCGCCTCCTGCATCAAGTCCCACAAACAATGCCCACAGGAAGCTGCTTCTGCGGCGCCATCCGCCTCGAATACACTGGCCAACCTCTCCAGGTGGTGAGCTTGACTTATCCCTATGCCGTGAACCCTCAAACCCCCAAATCTGATACTCGTAGGGAATCTGCCACTGCACCGACTGCCGCAAACTAACCAGCTCTACCTACTCCTACTGCCTCGTGCTCCCTACCGCCAACTTCGCCGTGCGGACCGGCTCCCCACGCTCCATCGCCAAAACGGCCGACACCGGGAACACGATTCGGAATTGGTTTTGTGGGGATTGTGGTATGGTTTTTTTTTTCTCTTTCTGTTTTGCCTGTGTAGATGAGAGATGGGGTTGGCGTGCAAATGTAAATTACGCTAACGGTTGGGTTTTGCTTTGGTTTTCATGATACTAGGCACACCACTCTACGGACACCGCGTTCATGACGATGGACGGGTACTAGGCGATGGGGTGACTATCCTCCGGGCGGGAGTGTTGGATGATGCTCAGTTGCTCGATGAGATGCGGCCGGAGGCGGAGTTGTTTACGGAGAGGAGGATGAAGTGGGTTGGGCCGGTGGAGGGGGCGGGGCAGGTTTGTGGGATGTTGAAGATTTCTTCTTAACCAATATTGCTTTGGTTCGTACAAGGACAAGTGTTTTGGGAAGGGGAAATACGGAGGGTGTCGTGTAGTGTACTGTACATTGTTTCGAGTTGTATATTTACTACTAGTACTTGTAGTATGTAACTCATGTTGGGGGCTAATCTGGGAAGGAGAACAACACACAACGTGGGCCCGACTCTGTCAATACCAGCTAATACAATTCAAATGTCTTGAGCCTCTACTACGACGTAGATGTACATGACTACCTCACCATCTATACATATATCCTTCATCATAAAACTGCTACCTACCGTGCACTTCTCTCACTGTCACTGTCCATCTGGTCCAACATCCGGTCGATCTCGTCGCCCGCCTGCGCTTCCAACCCGACCGACTGACCCCGGGTACTGCCGGGCGGTTCAGGCTGGCTCCACGGGACGCGGAGACTCGACCCCTGCGACCCGTTGCTGCTCCGCGGGACAGCACGGTGGCTCGAGTACCCCGAGTGGCCCGGGCTGGACATGAACAGCAGCGTTTCGATTGCGTCCTGCTCCATCGTGCTGCTCTGCGAGCTCGACAGGCCGCCGTGGCGCGTAGAGGCCATGGACCCCGACGGCCGCAGAGGTGGGGTCCCGGGCACCAGCACTCGATCTGAGTGTGCCTGGGACTGCGACAACCCAAGATCCTGGTGGGAATGATGTCGGCGGTGCGAAGAGGACGGCGGGATGAACTCGTTGGGATTGGGACGTCGGCGTCGACTGGTGCTTCCTCCCTTCGGGATGATATCTACAGGTGGAGCGAGTTTGGGCCGTGGAGAGCGGTCCATCTGAGAATCATGGTGGTGATACTGATGATGATGATGCTGCCAAGGATGTCTTCTCGAGTCAAAGTGTGGGGATGCAGCCTCTGACCAGGCCGCAGGCGACAAACGCGCGGTGCCAACATGACCGAAACCCCCCGTCCCGTGCATGTCTGGCGACGAGACTGTCGTACTGGCCGGCGAGTCGATCCTCCCCGATTGCACCGCATCAGCCTGACCCAGATTGGCTAGCGGTCCGAATCGCATTACTGAATCAATCCGCGTCGTCGGCGGAAGATCCTGGGCCCTTGGGGTGTGTCGGCTCTTTTCGATCTTCGCCGCCGCGTACGAAAGGCGAGTGCGCAGGTGCACCGATAACTGAACTCACATCAGCACCGTGTGCGCATCACCAGACAGAAGAGAAAAAAAAAGAGGAACGAATTTACCGCAGCGATCCGGCTTTCACGGGAGAGCGACCCGATACTTTTCGACCGAAGTCTCTCCATGCCTTTGGCGGCCGTCTTGCTGGTCTCTACAGGAGACTCGGATCTCCCTGCCACTCGCTGCTTCACCGGCGAGCCCTGTCCAGCAGGGCTGCGTGATACAGACAATGGTCGGGGCGTGGCCTGATGCCCTGCTATCGCTTCTTCTATGCTTAGCTGCCTACCTTCAGACACGGGGACTGGTTGGGAGGGCTGCGAGTGCTGCGATACAGCGGATGAGCCCCCCTGCGGGTCCGACACCCGCGAAGAAGAGAATGAGGAGCGGTGCGTGTCATCATACGACGGGCATTCCGGTGTTCGGTGAGATGTGGAAGCCTCCATCGAGGAGGTCGACAATGAAGGCACAGACACCAGTGACAGGTCTCTTTGCGACTCGGAATCAGTGGCGGCCTTACTGAAACTCAAAGTACCTTGGTGTCTACCACCCCTTGCATCATGCCGAGAGTCAATCTGTCGCGCCAAAGACGTTTGTGTTGTGTGCACGGGTTGGCACCAGCCCAAGCGCGGCGACCCGCTGCTCATCCTGAGACTAGTAGGCTATATAAGCAGGCAGAACCCAAGTAAGGCGTCCGGATATATTCTTTGTCTGCCGCAATAGCTGAGAGCCACTAGGGTAAATGTACGGCAGGAAATAACCACTCAGCCCTGCCCCATCACCCAAAGGAGGGGCAGCAAGCTGAACAAAAACAAGTTACTTTCTGCACGATATATGACTGACTGTCGTACAATGCATGCAGCGGTAGATCTAAGCTCCGCCTGTTGTTGGTTCTCCAATGTCAATGTTGTCTCAGATGTTTGGGCGCGGGAATGTCCCGCAGCCGGACCCTGGTAATCCCACCCTGGGACTGGAGGGAGGTCCACCACGACGGTGCGCGCTTAGAGCAGTATGTGTGCTGATGGGTTGCGATCTGCAAAGATTAGACGGAGGCTGTTGTTGAATCTTAGACGCGGGGTGACAGGCTTATGCGGCAAGACGCAGCTGTCTTGCTCGTTTCCACGCGAGCCTCAATCCGAAGACCAGGTCGATCGGCCCAAGGAGGACGGCACGGGAATAGACAGGCGGAGAATGGCCATAGAAGTAATGAACCCACGCTGGCTGAATCGATTAAACGACTAGCAGGCTTGTCTGTGAAGGCCGTAGGACTCGCATTCGCTGTCGCCAGACCACGAGGCGGACGACGCGTTCGTGGCGCGGTCACGTGGTGATAGCTGCCTGCAGAACCCTGAAAACTCAGGCATCAACATCAGGCAGGATCTACAAGACCAGCAACCATAACAGAATACTAAAAAAAAAAGACATCAAGTCAATCTATTTCTCCCTGGTATAGAGCAAGCATCAACCCCATGATCAAGAAACAATGATATATGTTCAGGACGTCACGTAAAATCGAGTCCAAGCAAACAAAGTCAAACGCCATCCATCCCATGCAGCAGGCACATAGATACACATGGACATTATTCACAGAACAACTTTTGGGAGGAAAACCTAGAGTGACCCTGAAAAGCAAGAAGCATGAAGTCAAGTACTTCACCTGCGCTTCTTGCCTCCGCCACCGCCCTCGCCGTCTTGGTTCTTCCGCTTCTTACCTTCGCGACGCCAGTAGTCGTCGCGCTCTCTCTTCTCGCGCTCGGCCTTCTTCTCCAGACTATCCGCCACCTTGGCGCGGTAGACCTTGCGGCGCTCCTCTTGCTTCGCAGCGCGCTTGGCCTGCTTCTCGTTGCGCATGGTGTTGAGCTTCTGCATGAGATCGCGCGCCTTCTTCTCCTCACCGCCGAGGACCACGGCCCGCTTCTGCATGTAGGTCTTGTCCTTGTGGTGCTTCATCTTGGTGATCTGCGACTTGAAGGGAAGATCCGCAGCCAGCTGCCGGGGCACGCGGAGCGGGTTGAAGTGACGCTCCGGGCGCTCGATCTTACGGTACGCCGAGTCCTTCTCGAGCGGCGTGGGGATGCCCTTGTCGCGGCGGACTTCTCCAGTGAGACGCATACCCTGCCACCCGCTGTCTGCGGCACCGTCTTCAGCCAGATCCAGCAAGTTGGTGACCGGGTTGTAAAAGCGATGCGGCTTGATCGGGTACCAGGCACGCAAGAAGACGATGTCACTCATGAGAATCTTGTCCTCGAAGGTGGCACGGAAGTAGCCCTCTGGCTTGCTCAGCGCGCGCTTGATCTGACCGCGGATGCCGGATACCGTGCGGATAGAGGCACCCTCGAACTTGGCAATCTCCAGAGAGGAGTTGAACATGTCTTTGATGAAGGCGGTGTTCTTGAAGATCTTGTAAGGCACACCGGTCAGCTTGAGCTTCTTGACAATCTCGGTATGCTCGTCAACGTTCAGCACCACACCGGTGGCGGCAATGCGGAAACCGGGGGCTTTGTTGGAGAATGACTGCAGGCAGCAAAAACCGGTGTTGGGTGCCACCAGCGGGCCATAGAAGGTGGCGAAACAGTGCATATGTTCAGGGGTGTACTTGAGCATGCGGTTACGGGTTCGACTGTCGGATGTACTGTAGATTGGGAGGGTCTGGAACCGACGCCAACCGAGAGAGAAGATGAGAGGGTCGCCGCTCTTGAGAATCTTCTTGTGCCAGCGATGACGCTTGATGCGGATCTGGACGTAACCGAATCGGTCCTCGGTGGGTGCAAGTCCACCCACGATGACAGGGTAGCGGGGGTTGAACTTGGTAGCGAACTCGCAGGGCACCTTCTCGAGCACGATACGTGCATAGGTACCGGCCTTGAAACCTTCAGCTCTGGCTCTGGAGGCTGGGTCGAGCAGATCGAACTCGGCCCGGTTGATGTCGAGCTGCTTCTGTAGCTTGGCCTTCTGCATATCGTACCACTCATCCTCCCCGAATTCCTCATCACCTCCACCATCCTTCCGCGAATTATCCTTCGAGTTGGCGAATCCTTCACGGTCTTCTTCTTCGAAACGAAGTCGGAGCTCTTCCTTTTTCTTCGCATTCCGTTCACGTTCAGCATCCAAGTCCACGGGACCCTCTTCTTTCTCACCATCCCCCTCGCCGCTCTCCTCCTCCTCCTCGTCGGAAAGACCGTTGAAAGCTTCACCTGTTTCCAGATCCTCGAATTCGCCGTCTCCTTCGTCATCCGAGTCAAAAGCATCGTCGACATCAGAATCGTCGTCATCGCCACCACCAGACAACTTGGCTGTGACGAATCTGCTTCTAAGAGATTCAATAAGCTCTTCATCCCGCCACTTTTCTTCGAGCTGGGCGTAGTCATAGTCGGGAACGTGGCGGAACTCCTCCTCTTCTTTTTGCTCCGCATTGGTCTTCTTAAAGAAGGTGTCCTCTTCCTCGTCATTTCCCTCATCCTCATCCTCGCTATCTTCGGCTTCATTTTCATCACGACCACTCCATTTGGGCATCACGTCCTCGGGCGCAATAGAGTCATCGTAGAGCATACGGGACAGGTCGGTGATTCTATACGCCGGACGCTTTGTAAGCGACTTCACATTGGCGAGCATGTTCTCTTTCCAACGGGCATCTCCCTCGGCATCCGAGTCTTCGTCTTCGTCACTTTCCAGAATTTGGTCTTCAACAGACGAGATAGAGCCAAGATCGGAGTCGCTGTCGGCGAACTCAAGGTCCCCCTCGGCCTGGCGAGAACTCCCATTCTGCCTCTCCTTGAAGTTGGCTTCGAAATCTGCGGGTGCGGAAGCATCGATCTCCTCGTCCTCGCTAAGATCATCGTCCAGCTCGTCATCGTTCAGCTCTTCGGCGTCGTCTTCATCCTCAGCACTCTCAAAGCCTTCATCTTCATCGCCGACTACATCTTCCTGGTGATCTTGACCATCTAGGAAACGAGCATGGCGCTTGTGCTTTCTTCCAGCAGCACCATCTTCCTCGTCCGCCTTTGCAATGGCTTCACCGCCACGGAAAAGACGAACACCACCGTCTGCCTCACCGAGAAGCTTGCGCTCACCCTGCAGGCCAACAACCAGTTGCTCGCCAAGACCGCGCTCCTCGTCATCAGACTCATCTTCGTTTCGTTCGAAGTTTGAGGTTTTGACATCGATGTAAACAGCATCCTTGTCCACCAATACACCACCAACATCAGACATGGGCGCGAAGAGAAGCTTCTGCTTGTCACCCAATCGGCGCCGGCTTGTCTTCCCGGAAGCCTTGGCAGCCTGCTGTTCGAAAAACGGCGTCGGGCATGGATCGGGCAGGGACTCAATAGCGGAGACCGTCAAATCGCCAACACCTGGAACATGTACACGCGCTCCCTGGGCCGAGAAGTTGGTACCACGCAGATAACCGTACAGAGCTATCGTTCTATCACATTTCGGGTCCTCCTCAATCTGGGTGGGCGGCGTGATGTCCAAAAACCGATCTGCGAGGGCGTACGGGTGGGAGTTACGCCACACGAGGGGCCGGGGGTTTTTCATGACGGACAGGAAGCGAGAAAGATTGTGGACCTCGCGGTCGGGGTAGCGGCCATTAACGACGCCGGAGAGATAGAAGAGCTTGGCACCGTTGTAGAGTTCGCTCCAGAAACGGTGCTTGAGGCGCTTCTTGGCGGCCTGCAGCGTGCTCTGCTTCTTGAACAGGTCGAGATGAGTGAGGATGCCGAAAACGTTACCGGGCATACCGTGGGAGCCCAGGACGTTCAGGAACTCCATAGTCTCCATCTCGAATCCGTAATTACCGTCGATCATCAGGAGCACAATGTCGGCAATCTTGGCGACATCGATCATGCTGGCGAGGGAGTCGGAGGGGGATTCGAGGAAAGTGAGACGGCGTTTCTTGGAGGTTACCACAGTCAAAGGACCTTTCGGAGTGCTAAGGGTCTGTTTCGTGTATCGACGGATGAGGGATTTGATGAGGGTCGTCTTGCCCACCTAGATACAACACATGACTGTCAGACTTTCCTGGGTTCTTGCTTGAGATTCCTGATCAGACACTTACTCCAGGCGGTCCGACGACGGCAACAATGAGGGGGGGTGCCTCTTCAGGCAAGCGATCGACGAGGGGCACATGGAGTCTTTTTTCTTTGATCTAGAGAGGTAGGTTGCGAGTCAGTGGCGTTGTCAAATGATGTATCGTTGCCAAAGGTGGAAGCGCATACATCGTGCGATCTCGCGCCTGCTTTGTTCAATTTGCCGGGATTCGAGAAGGCAAAAGCCTTGGGGTTTGCTCCTGGAAGGAATGAAAGTCAGTAATTGCCAGCATTTTCGAGGCACCATACAAAAAGGGCTGGTGATTTCGCTCCGAGAGGCCATGCGCAAAGATCCATACATACCTTCATATTTTTTCTTCTCCTTGGCGGGCCGATGCGCCCTGTTCGATTGCTGCTCCATCGTGGGAAAAAGTAAGAGGTCAAGGGACCTCTAGACAAAACTCCTTTTCCCCCGCTGAAGATCGAAGCTGTGACAGCAAAAGAGTGAGCGCAAATCTGCAAGACTGCTCCGCGAAATGTGTAGAAGCTTGGCTCCAAAATTATTATTCCATTTTCTTTTGCCGGAAGAAGCTTTTCTCCGAGTCCGGGATCTTTGCCCGCCCTGTGCCCACCCACGGGCGGTGATATATGGCAGAACGAGCCACGCCAGGCATCGATCAGGCCAAGAAACCTGTGACTAATGTTATCGGAGTGACGGGCCGGTCGAGACTCGATAAGAGGTTGAACCCCACTATATCGGCCCGGTTCCTCGTCGTCGCCATTGCCAACAGAATTCACGATTCAGAGATATGAGCGGGGTAGAAGAGTATGGGGTCGAATACGATGCAGATAGTGGTGCGATTATCGGCAAAGTTTGCCAGGCGCTCAAGATTAAATGGCACTGGTCCCCCTTGCCGAAGCTGTTTTTAAGATCCAATCTTCATCTTCAATATTTCGGAGCTTTCGATTAACATACTGAACCCCGAACACTCGACTGCAGACTTTAGTAGATTTCTCTCCAAATAAAACTTCAAGAATGGCCTCTGCTCGTCGCCCTCCACCAGCATACACGGCTCCTCCCGATTCCGGGGTCCATGCGATCTCTGAAGTCTACAGATCCATTTCCGCAACCGCAACGGATCCTTCCCAACGCATTCTAGAGTCATCATTTACGATCCGGCCATGCTCTGGTCAAGCCTGGGTAGTGCCAGCGGGCCACATTTGTCGTCTCACCACGCCGAAGGGCCCCCAAGTCGGGGACCTGAACATCTGGAATGCGAACAACCCTCGGGAGCGACTCTGGGCTGCACGTACCCGTCAAATCCATGCCTCCCACGTGTCCGTGGGCGACCGTCTCTGGTCCAACCTGCCGTACCTGCGTCCTCTTGTGTCCATCACCGGAGACTCCCTCGCCGGCGGCCAGCTGCATGAAATTCTGGATGCAGATGGTAGTAAGAAGGAAGGGAAAGGCTTCGGGACGACGCAGTTTGGCGGACGCGTGCACGACCTCCTGGGCACTCGCTGCGATCCCTATGTCAACCTCGTGATGGGCGGAGAGAGCTTCGACTTCCACTGCCACTCCAACCTGACCCGCGCAGTGGTGCCATATGGCCTGAACGAGCTCGATGTCCACGACGTGCTCAACGTGTTCCAGGTAACGGGGCTGGATGAGGAGGGCAAATACTTTATGGAGACTTCACCGGCCAAGGCGGGGGAGTACTTTGAGTTCTTCGCGGAGGTGGATGTTCTTTGTGCGCTTTCGGCGTGTCCTGGAGGTAAGTGAGATGCTGGTAGGCGCGTAGGTGAGAGAAGTGGACAACTGCTGATGTGACGATTAGGTGACTTGTCGGAATGGGGCTGGGAGGAAAAGGCAGACATGGGAGCTACCACGCGTCCGCTCGGGGTGGAAGTATACAAGCTGGCTGACTCGACGGTGCTGGAGGGATGGAAAGCACCTCTGAGTCCCAAGTATTTGGGTGCACATGGCATGAAGATGCCGCAGAGAGAGGATGACGGAACGGGGTATATTGGGCTGTGAAAGGTTGGTGGGAATTCTTGCAGGACAGGTTATTACTCTGTACGTTTAGTGAAATGTGACTAAGCACATGTCACACAAAGATCATCATATGAAACTTTTAGATGCTGTATATCGCGCATGAATCAGAACTGGTTCAGCTTGATTTGTTCTGCAGTTTATACTCCGTAGACAACCAGTGACTGCCGAGGGCTAGTAAGTATGGCTAAGGCAGCAGGAACCTGCCACAGATTTGGTCTCAGACACGGCTCCTTGACCTCGATATCCCTGCACGTTACTATCTTTACCCCGGAGCTCTGGGCAAGTTGAAGTGAGTTTTGATGCCATGTGTCACGATGCCTGTCAAGCTTATCGCGCAGGGGTCAGGAAGTCATTGGTGTCAACAAATCCCGCACCGGGTGGATTGAGAGACAGCCTCTGGTCATGAAAAATGCCTCGTACATGAGAGCTTGTCTCGCAGACCTGCTTATCTATGCTCTACATTCAAAATGAAAAGTTCCAGAGATAAGGATACGAAGGCTTGGGTAAATGCAGTTTGTAGGAACTGTCGTCGCAACAAACCTGGCGTTGAGGGGAGGTTATCAAAACAATGGGCTCGCTGATCCGGTTGACTTTGAGGCTGAATCGAGTGATACATAAAGCAGATGCTCAGCCATAGGCTGGATTGCGTTCATGCTTCACTCAGCCGATGCAATAACTCCTCCGCACCCGGGTTCTTACAGGCGACCGACCGAGTCTTTTCGAATGTTCTCTGTTCCTTAACATTTGTCGAGCGGTTCCCAGGCTGCCAACATCCCAACGCCATCAGTATGGACTCCGATATTGAGGCTGAGAAAGCATCTGCTGGAGACAGTAGAGTTTACAACAAGACTTCACAGCCATACGATACGATTTATAATGTTCGTCCTTGGAACAACTGCCTAAACCAGTCTGAGAGACGACTGAGTTCAGCCGGAAAGAAGAATGATGATGATGATGACGACCCTGGTCTACGCAAGCCTGGTGATTTCAAGCAGAAGCAGATCTTCAAAGGCAAAATGCTTCTATGGCTCGCATATCAATCCATTGGTGTGATCTATGGAGATATCGGAACCAGCCCCCTCTATGTCTATTCGTCGACATTCAGTGCACCACCGACGCGAGACGACCTCATTGGTGTTTTGTCCATCATCATTTGGTCCTTGATCCTGATGGTGACCGTCAAATACATTTTCATTGTCCTCCATGCTGATAATGACGGCGAGGGCGGCACTTTCAGCACATATTCTCTCCTCAGCCGCTACGTAAGTTCCTTCTCATACTGGAGACACGATGCACAAGTAGACGCTGACTTGCATGGCTTCAGATGAACATCACCCATCGCGATCCTCGGGAAGCTTCTCTTGTGCAGATGAAAAGACACCTATCAAATGACCTCGAGAGAGCCAGCAGATACGCCAGACATAGCCTGGAGACAAGCAAGATTGCAAGACATCTCTTGAAAGTGGTAGGGGTGTTGGCGGTAACAATGGTTCTAGCTGATGGTCTTCTTACTCCGGCCCAGTCAGTCCTGGGAGCTGTGCAGGGTATCGAGATTGTCTCCCCTAACATTTCCAAAGGCACGATTATAGGTGTGACAGATGCTATCTTGGTTGTATTGTTCCTGATACAACCGCTTGGTATTACCAAGATGACGTTCGCCTTCGCACCCATTGTGATCATTTGGCTGGGGTTTAACGCGGTCTTTGGCATCTACAATCTTGCGCACTATGATGCTGGTGTCTTTGTGGCCTTCAACCCTGGATACGCCTTCATGTTCCTCATTCGACATGGCGAGTCAGGATGGCGCATGCTGAGCGGGACACTGCTTGCCTTCACTGGGGTCGAGGCTCTCTTTGCTGACCTGGGCGCTTTCAGCAGAAAAGCAATCCAGATCAGCTGGCTGTGCTACACCTTTCCATGTCTCCTGTTGGCGTACATTGGACAGGCGGCATACATCAGTGTGCATCCAGATGCATACTCCAACCCATTCTATAAGGCAGCCCCGTCGGGTACTATCTATCCTGCCATGGTTATAGCCATTCTTGCAGCTATTGTTGCATCACAGGCCATCATCACTGCTACATTCCAGGTATGAGCTTCTTCTCAAGGTGATGCCTATTCCACTTCTCACGCAACGATAGCTATTGGCGCAAGTAATGAAGTTGTCTTACTTTCCGCAAATCAAAGTGGTTCACACGTCCGATGTTTTCCACGGTCAGCTCTACATCCCGATCGTCAACTGGTTATTGATGATCGGCACGATCTTGGTAGCGTCGATCTACAACAATGTATGTTCCCTCCGTGTAACAATGACAGACACTTTCTCTGACCCACGCAGACCACCTCCCTTGGTAATGCATACGGGGTCTGCGTCATCTTCGTCACCTTTTTTGACACCTGCATGGTCTCGATGGTAGCCATATTCGTCTGGCGCATCAGTCCATTCATTGTCTTCATACCTTGGCTTGTAATTGCTTGCTTCGATGGAGCATACCTCTCCTCGGCACTCATGAAAGTCCCCACTGGCGCATGGTTCACGCTGGCCTTAGCAACCATCCTGGCACTGGTGTTTCTGTTATGGAGGTTCGGCAAAGAACAGCAATGGTTCGCTGAAGCCGAGGACCGATTCCCGACTTCGCACTTTGTGACCAAAGATCAGGATGGAACAATGCGTCTTGCCGATCGATTCAACGCGCTTTCTCTAAGCACCAGTCCGGGCGTGGGAATCTTCTTCGACAAGGCGGGCGAGACCACCCCGATCGTGTTTAGTCAGTTCGTTCTCAAGCTCACCTCCATGCCGGAAGTCATTGTGTTCTTCCACCTGCGACCCCTGGAGACTCCGTCCGTCCCGGTGGAGGACCGATATACCGTTTCACGACTCGCCATATCCAACTGCTATCGGCTCGTCGTTCGCTACGGCTACAATGATGAGATCATGACTCCAAACTTAGCCAACACCATCACAGATCAAGTTCATCGATACTTGATCGACAATGGACATGGCATCGATTTGGATGCAGCTAGAGTGAGTGAGCACCGATCTACGAGCACCGAAAGTCAAGAGGAAAGCAGTTCAGACGCAGCGCAGTCCAGAAGCCTCGTCAGATCTACTGATCCGTTGAAGACGCTTGAACGAGCACGTGCACATAACGTACTCTATATCACCGGTAAGGAGCAGATGAGAATCAAGAAGAACACCAACCTACTCCGAGGACTAGTGCTGTGGATCTTTCTGTGGATCAGAGATAACACCCGGGCGAAGATTGCATCGCTGGACCTCGAGGCAGAACGGGTGATTGAAGTTGGGTTTCTGAAGGATATTTGAGGCGTTGCGTATTCGGTGTATACCAGATGGGCAGCCCGACTCATTAGTCATTCGGAATTACGACAACCTGTACAAAGATCACGAACATATTCTTCGGTTACCGTGTGTCAATCCAGTGTTCATCGATGTTGTGATATATCTTGTCCTGTCGTCACCGTGCATAGTGACAGCTGGAATAAGATTGTTGATCCTCATCCTTCAACACTACCCTTAAGTCAGACATCCACGTGACCATGTAGACCCCTCCGATAGCGTCATCGCGCATGCGTCATGGCAGCCGGTGGGGGATAAACAAGCGTCTTTATCGGTCTGATTCGTAGTGATTTGACAATTCCATTAACTCAACAAGTGACCAAGTGACATAGATCTTGCCAGTCAGGCATGGCGCAAGTGGGAAGAAAAGGAAAGAAATGAGATAGAACTCGAACTGAGGCAGCCACAGCCCCCTCCACCACCACCATCATTCACCCCCTTATCAGCCGTGCGGGCGACATTCCCCCCCTCCCCGCAGAAAGAGTGAGGTTGCCTAGTAAGAGTTGCCCGACTAGATTATTGGTAGTAAAACCACGCATCAGAGTATAAAACCTTCTCTCGTCCCACTCCCCCGGGGCACCTTTTTCTCTCTACAACCCACCACCATTCCACCATCCATCCCCCATCGCAAGTTTCCAGCCATCATACTTGATCGATCTCTTCGGCTCTCTGCCTTTCATCACACCGCAACCAGAATGCCTCTTTACAACGTTCGTTGCGCCCCTCAATCCCACTGAACCCTTCTTCTAGACGCTAATCATTGTTTTGTTTCAGGTCACCCTGAAGAAGGACTCTCCTCCCGAGGAGTTGGAAAAGTAAGTGAATCCCGACTCTTCAGCCACAAAATACCGATCGAGGGCTGACATATCCCGTCCTTTACCAGGGCCAAGCAGCAGGCTACCGAGAAGGGCGGCACCATCAAGCACGAGTACACTCTCATCAAGGGCTTCACGTAAGGCAGCCGACCCACCCCTGAACAAATAATTCCCCATCAACCACAACCTCGAGCCTCAGCAAAACAGATTAGCTAACTATTGTCCAGTGTTGAGTACCCCGAGGACAACGTCAACGCTCTCGACTTCAACGAGCACCTGCACGTCGAGCAGGATGGCGAGGTCCGCACTCAATAAAGCCCTTCACGCTCACCCGTCCGGACTTGCGAACACCACGAGGAACATGCAGGAGGCAAGAACTGAGGGATATGGGTCATGTACGAGTTACGAATCATATTAGTACTGTAGAACAAGAGGCCAGCACCATGGGCGTAGGAATAGAATCCGCTGCGCGGTGACTCTGACCTGCGCCGCACTGCTGTCTTTTGTCTTATCTCATTGGCAATGGTAACCTCCATTTATTATCTTCAATCATCTTTGGCTTGCGTGCTTCGCAAATTTTGTCAAAAGCTCTGGTGCTCAGATCTACCCGACCGGTGCTCTGCCACCTCGAGTATTAACACGGAGTGTCAGCGCGATGGATGCGCCGGATGACCTCATTCAGGCGCATGACCTGCCAAAGCAGGATTGTAGTGATAATAGCCTCGCAGTACCAGCAATAAGCCGTGGTAGTGTACTATCAGACTGATAAGAGATTTGATCGGTTATGTGCGGGGAAGGATGAGGTGCGAGTACACGCAGTGATCTCCACCACATCCTAATAGGTGGTGCACCAGCTGGCAAAGAGAGTCGAACCCCGCCAAAATGTCCCTCGGTTGAGATGCGTGGCAGCCTACCGCCTTCCGGCAGAATTTGGAGAATCCCCCGGCAAGGGCGCAGTGAGGTCATCATCAACAACCTTCCGCGATTTGATGCTGAAGGATGGCCACAATCAGAGATGGCACTGACCCGGACTTTGCAGACGCCGTCTCTGGGTGCCAGGCTCCGGCTCACACGTCTATGCACTCTCCCTAGGGCACGTCTGTTGTCGTCGTCGCCATCTCTCCGAAACGTCTCAACCTCTCAACAACATCCCTTCGCTTATGGGGCTAATGATGAAGTTGCTCGTCTTGCAGCCAGTCGTCGACGACCGTTGACACTCGCAGACCTGCTCAAGTAAGCTCCTACTCATTATACCGCAAAAGGATACCAAGTCTCCATGCTAAACACTGACGCGTGCAGACATGGCAAACCACCACTATCCAAGGATGCCCTCCTTGCCTCGGCCAACTTCACCCTGTCACTGCTACCTGCGCGGCTAGCATCACGCATCGAGGCCCTCCGCAACCTTCCTTTCATCGTCGTCTCGAACCCACACGTCACACAAATCTACAACAACTACTTGCACTCCCTATCCACCCTCCTACCCTACCAGCAGCGCCAGGTCACCACCCTCGAAGAGGAGAACCAATTCGCCGAAGTCCTGGCCGACCTCGTGCACACCCACACCAATACGATCCCGATCCTGGCCCGGGGCTTCCTCGAATGCCGCCGCTACATCAATTCCGCCGATGTCACCCGCTTCCTGGACACGCACCTCCGCGCGCGCATCGGCACCCGTCTCATCGCGGAGCAGCACCTGGCGCTGCATTTCGCCTCGCAGCCGGTCCGGGACACTCAGTCTGGCGCTAACAGCAGCAGCAGCAGCAGCAGCAGCAACAACGAACACACACCAGCCAAAGACGCCGCGCCCCCTTCCAACTACATCGGCGTCATCGACACCGCCCTCCAACCCGCGCGAATTGTCAAACTATGCGAGGATTTCGTGGGCGAGATTTGCGAGCTCAAGTACGGGGTGCGACCCCGGCTCGTCATCGGCGGGCAGCCGGACGCCTCGTTCGCGCACGTTCCCGTCCACGTGGAATACATCCTGACCGAGCTTCTCAAGAACGCCTTCCGCGCCACCGTGGAGTCGGGCAACGGCGACGAACCGATTGAAGTCACCATCGCCGCAGCTCCAGACGTCCCGTCCGCCCATCACTACCATCCTGCGGACGCTCTTTCCAATCCTAATAACACTCCAAGCTGGCAGAATCAACATCAGCACCAGTTCCAGCAGCAATCCGAATCTGATACCAACTTCCACATGGACCACAATTACACCGTCGTGGGCACCGCCGACGCAAATGAATCTATCAAGTCCTGGACCATCCCGTCGGCGCAGTGCATCACGATCCGCATCCGCGACCGCGGCGGCGGCATCCCCCCCGAAGTGCTGCCGAATATCTGGTCGTACAGCTTCACGACGTTCTCCGAGTACGACGATCATTACCAGGGAGGTGGCGGGTCTGAGACCCACGAGGGCATGGAGGCGTTGAACACGATTGCCGCGGCGAGTGGGGGCGGGGGCGGCGCGAACGGGCATCTGAGCAGCATCGCCGGGCTGGGGTATGGGTTGCCGTTGAGTCGGGCGTATGCGGAGTACTTTGGCGGGAGTATTGCGATTCAGAGTCTTTGGGGGTGGGGGACGGATGTGTATTTGACGTTGCAGGGGGTGGGAAATGTTTCTTAGGATTGGTCCCCGGGGGGCGTGGGGGGGGGGGGGGGGGGGGTGGGGGTTCCTGGGGTGAATATTGGGGTTGTGGATGGTTGGAAGTGTTTGGTTAGCACTACTGCCCTTTGGTGTGTTGTGTATGCTTGGGATGGTCTTGTTGTGTTGTCAAGTGTAGCGAGTCATTATACAGGCGTGGTTGAACCTGACATCCAGTGATTATTACAAGCCGGGTTGGTGGTGAAGCTTGAAGCCGAGGTAAGGGGTTATGCTACCTACCAAGCTGTCCCAACCAGAACCCCATCCACTGAGCTACATAAACACTAGACAGCCTTCCTCAAAACCACCAAGACCGTTCTACAGAAGGATGCCATCATCACATCACCCCCATAGTACCCACTCACACAATCAAAATCAGAAAGTAAGTCCGTTATTACTATATACCAGAAACACAATTACTATATCATACACCAGAAATATTCGTTCCGCATTTCCCCTCAAACACAACAACAACAACAACAACAACAACAACAACAACAACAACAACATATAATTCATAGACAAGAATCCCGCTCATGCTCATCGGGTGCCAACCCACCAAGAGAAAAAAAATCAAAATCCTCCCGCCCCTCTCACCCGCTGCACCGCACCAACCACCCCCTTCGCCCAGCTGAACCTCCCCGGATCCGTGCCGATCGACCCCTCGGGAATCTCGTGGGTGGTGGGATCGTGCCAGCAGCCATCCTCGGGGCTGACGGCGCCGTAGAGGGCGGTGTTCTGGTTCCGATCGATAGCCTCGCGCCAGGCGCGGCAGATGACCGGGGAGTCGAGGAGGAGGTTAACTTCTTGACTGTGATAGAAGGATTGGGTGTCTAGGTTGCCGTTGCCTGTTTTCCTCTTAGTTTCAAAAAGGTCTAGTTGGGACGGGGGTGTGTGTAGGGTAGGGTATAGATAGATAATCGTCAACTATCCCATAGACGAGACGTTTTTCATCTCTAGAAATGAGTTTCAGAGGGGGAGGGGATATAGAACGCACCCTGAATAGCAACCTTCTCATCCACAATCATCAACTTAATATGGCAACTCCGTCGCTTGAACTTATTATGAATCGGCTTGGTCTGGTCCTTGGCGACATAATTATAGATGCGTAGGCGGGCGCGGAGCTCCTCCGTCTCCAACGCCTTGTACATCCTATGCGCGATCATCTCGTTGGTGCCCCCCTGGAAGGGGAGGAGCTCGCCGGCATCGTTATAGCCGAGACACAAATACGCGGTCACGACCACGCCGCGGGTCTGGATGGCTTCGATCAGGGCTTGTACGATAGGCTCGGCGTTCATGTTGGGCGTTTGGATGAAGATCGATTCGCGGGCGTTGCGGATCGCGGCGAGAAAGCTGCTGTTTTGCGGGGTGTGGACGCTTGTGTGGTTTGGTGCTGCGACGGTTTTTAGTTTTATTGAATGTATTGGAAATGGTTATGGGGGACTGGCGCACTCACCTCCCCAGGGTTCTCGGTTGATCACGGCCATTGGGAAAGGGTCGTGCGGGGGAAGGATGAGGTAGGGCTGCATCGGCAGCTCTTGGTCGCGCTCGGAAGCGTCGCCTGTGGTGTTGGGCTGGATTGTGGTGTCTGTTGCGATGCGGTCAGTATGCGGTGTCACTCAGAGACGGTTCAGGTATACGGGGCGGGGGAACCCTACTCAGACGACGCGTGACGGCTTGCGTGCGGGTTTCACCGTCGCGTGGTTCGAGGAGCCCGTTCATCCGCTCGGCTTCGTGCTTCAGATTCGGGTCATAGTGGGATTCGTGGATGGTGAGCTCTGGGAGTGGGCCCGGGGCTGGTGCTGCGTGGTCCAGCTCCACGGTCGACTGGCAGGGGATGGCAGCCCCGGTGGCTGGCGAGCCCAGCATGGGCAGAGCCGGCTCAAGGGACCGGCCCCATGAAATCAATGCGGTATCGTAAAGGCCGTCGACGATGGGACCCTCGACATGGATCATCATCTCCAGGTTGTCGTTGTCCTGGATATTACTGCTCTGCAGCAGCGCGATGCGCCGATCCACGATCATGAATTTGGCATGGAAGGTGCCAAACACGGGGCGGTGGTAGTTGATAACCTGCAGGTCGATGTTGGGAATCTCCTCCGACGAGGGAAGCTTCACTTTCCCCCCGCTGTACTTCTTCTCCGGTACGGGCAAGTGGTTCTCAAACAGTTGCTGCGGGTCGCCCCGATCGTACACCATTTTCACAATCACCTTGTCACCCCGCTCGCCTGCCCGGGCGGAGAGCTCGCGGAATGCATTGGTGATGAGCGTTGATGCGTCGGAGTGGATCCAGAAGTTGGTCGCCAGAAAGACCTCCTTCTCGGCGCGCACGATACAGTTTGCCATGTGTCGACAGAGATCAGGTAAAGGCGCGATGATCGTCAGGGGGACGACACCATGGCTCCCCATCAGCGGAGGGGAGACAACCCCCGCCATTGGGTTTTTGTCTAACGCACAGAGCGCATCGTGGTAGATCTTGAGATTCATGGATCATCAGCACCATCCAAGTTGGCGGGCAGGGGCCCTTTCGCGGTGCTTGAGACTAACTAACTCACCTGCAGGAAAAGCTCGCTTGGCTGAGCATTGCCCCAGTTGCCGCACTCTGCCACTTTCTGCAGTTCATTTCCAGCATCGGTCAACGAATCCTTCGACCCGGACTGCTTTCTGGATTTATAGTCATGGTAAAGGCGTTGGAAGACTTTTGGAGGGGATTGGGATGGATCGCGCAGCAGCTCGGAGGTGACGGTCTGCTCCTCATGACAGAGCTGGTAGACACTGTCTGGTAACATGATGGTGCGAAACCGATTGGGACTTTGGGGTTGACGGAAAAACCAAAAAACGACGGTAGTGAGAAAGACGGAGCTGAGGGCCGCTGATAGCTTAATATAGAAGAGGAGCCAAGTGAATGAGGAGGAGGCCCCTCCATCCGGTTGTAAAAGGGCCGCCATCAAATTAGTGAATCCCCGATTACTGGCCAAACGGTGACGTAGGAGTAAGTTAGTAGTTATGGGTAAGTCGATAAGGGAGTCTTATAGTTAGTTACTTAATGACAGATGCCTGAGGACGCGGCACGTCAGCAACTAATTTTAGTATGCGACCGGCCAATACCTCCTCTGTGTCTGGGTTAATGCTCACGTTATGACAGGGAATTAGTTAATGGAGGCAAATTCTATTACCAGAATCATCCATGGTAGTCAGTTGCACATCACGAGGGGGGTTGAGATTGGGGACATCCATCATCAACACACAATGAACTCCCCACGTCATCGGAGGGATTTTCCCCTCCCTGCCCGGCTTGGCGATGGAAACAAGCTCCATGGAACTTGCATAGGGCTGACTGACCTTCTACAGCAACTTATCCCCACCTGCATGACCAGCAGAGCCTTTCATTTGGAAAAGAAAATAAGACTGGCAGTTTCTGTCTCGAGTGAGCGTTCTCTACCCACCAACATTCCCATGATCGAGGTTTACGTGGTAGCAAGCTGGACCTCGCGCTTGCTTGCTGCTCCTCGCCGCTAAAGGCGGGGCCCGGCCGAGGCTTTTCCTCTGCTTCACCAGTCAGTCCTTCATCCCACAATACTGTAACTCCTTGGTAGGTTGACTGCGATTTTTCAACAAGCGTCACCGACTCTGGACCGCAAGAGCTGGCCAGTTGTGATTACGAGATCGCGCTTATGAAGGGAAAAGATCAAGAAAACAAAAGAACTCGCCTCTTAATCTGAGGAGCATTAGACTTTCTGCGCCCCCCCAAGTATACTGGAAGAAAATGGTCGACCGATATGTCTTGTCCTGAGACTCTCCAGTAGCAAAGGTCATAGCCTGTATCGACGCGCGCCTGAGCATGTTGGTCAAATTGCTTTCGCAACGTGAGGAATGATTACACATGCAGAGAGCATAACTAACTAGTATCAATCACACTCTTCGGTCGACTTTGCCCCTAGAACTTGACGTTTCGGGATCGCCTAAGCCGAGCAATTTAGATATCTCAGAACCATGATTATAGACCCAGGAAACACCAGTTATTAGTCAAGGGGTGAGATTTACAAGTTCTTCATTAGGTCATTGTGGAACAGCCGCAAGGAACAACAAGACAAACCCCCAAACCAGACTTCTCAATCGCTACAATGGTTTGGATCGACGACTATTCTCGCAACCGATCCTCAAGCAAAGTTCCCCTTCTCAATCGCCGCCTCCATCATCCGATCCCCATTCACAATCCCCGTCGTGCAGATGATGATCCGCCGCCGCGACGCCTCCTGAGCGGCGATGAACCTCAACGCCGCAATCTCCGTGAAGGTGATGCCGCCCAGGAAGAAAACATACACCGTCTTGATGGCAGGCGCGCCGCTGATCGTCTGCCGGGCCCGCACCGCCTTGTCGTCGCCCTTCTGCACAATACTGAATGTCGCCCCGCGAGCGCTCTTGACCACGTCCTCGAAGCCCAGCCAGCCAGGCGACGAGACACTCGCAGGGGTGGCTGTGGGGGCGGTGGTCGCGCTCGCCACGGGTCCGCCCCGCACCAGAGACAGGATGTACGGTTTTTGCAGGACACACTGCACCAGGCGGATGCTGAGGGGCGCAAAGCCGCTGTATACGTAAGCGACGTCGTTGGGATCCTTCTCGCTGACCTCCTCGACGACGAGGCGGAGGGTCTTGCGGAGGGAGTGGTAGTTGGTGCGGGGGCTGGTGTTCTGCTGGTGGTGGGAGCCTCCCGCGGGCGTCGCGGTGGGAAGGAGGAGGGCGCTGGTTGCGGAGGAGGCCCGTGGGAGCAGCAGCTGCATCTTCTCGAGGGCGCAGAAGGTCAAGATGTGTTGGTGGCCGTACGCTTGGACTACCTGTCGCTTGAAAGTCTCGAGGTCCCGCGGCCGCAGACCGCCGGACATGCAGGATTCCAGGCAAAGAAGCCGCAGCACGGCTGTGAGAGGCACGTCGCGAGCGATGAGCTCCTCCACCGCGTCATGGTGGTAGGTCGGATCGGTCCCCGCTGCGTAGTTCTGCTGGATTTCTAGAACCTTGCGGAAGATGTCGGCGCGAGTGTTGCGCATGATCTCCTCGGCAAGGTTGGTGTGCACGCGAAGACTCTGGTGCTCGAGCTGATATGAAGGGAGTTTGTTCACAAATTCGCGCAGCTCGGTCGTCGTTTTGGCGGAGTGCCGGCTCTCGTAGTCGCTTTCGAGGCGGCGCGCGACTTTGTTCAGAATGTCGCCAACAATGGCGAAGTTGGCGTCACGCAGTTGGCTAAAGAGCTGGTCGGAGGAGTCTAGCTGGATCTTACGCTTCTGGTGCTGTTTGGAGGAAGAGGACTGTTGCGGCCCTTTCGACGCCTCTTGGGCTTGAGAAACAGAGGCTGCGCCGCCAATAATGGAGGTGTCGATGTCGGCTTGATTGTTCTTAATGCCGACCGTCTCATCAATGAGGCCTTCGTAGGTCAGTTGGGTCAGGAGAGGAGTACCGAAGTCCACTTCGCGATCGATAATAATGAGGCTTTCTGTGGTCGCACTGGGCAAGAGACCGCGAGCCGACACTCTAGCAAGCCCTGAGCTCTCTTCGGCGTCCAATTCTTTTCGCATTCGAAGGAGCAAGTCGGCTAGTCGTCGTGCATGATCACCCTTGCCGATGATTCGAGGGAAGTACCCGTGTCTCTGCTGGATGTCCATGAGGGCCTTGGCGGAGTGGAAGATGCATCCCGGGTCTTTATGCTGCGCAAAGATGAGTTACTAGGTTCGAAGAACATGCTATCCAGGGCACTCTTACCAGGTAAAGATCGCTGAAGGCGTCCTCCAACTCCAAAGACAGCACATCTTGTTCAAGCGGCAGGAAAAACAGTGGAAACTCGGCAATGCTCACGTCTCCGATGATGCCTGCTTCCTCGAGGATAGCATTGCTTACAAGGGTCCGTCTCGGGACCCAGAAGATGGAGATTTCATGCTCAACATTGCCGTTGCGCTGCAGGCGCTTAACCTGTTCTAGAGGCATGTTAGCTCATACTGATGACTTTCGATCAGGAAGGAAGAGAAAGAAAGCCTATGAATGAGCTGGCTATCTTCACACGACTTTGATATCCGGGAGCATTGACCGACTACGTAGAGTAGAAGAGGATCTGCGCAATCTACAGTCTTTCCCAAACCGCTTCTCCTGTGTGGAACAACATCCACCTTATCTTTACGCAAGGGACGAAGGGAAACGTAAGAAATTGACATACCTGCCACAGCCCGCACCTGAGGAAGCCTCTCAGCATGCGCTAGGAAGACAACATTGCGTTGTGAGGAGTCCACATTGCCATTTTCCAGCAAGAAGACACGATCTACACCGTACTCTTGAAGCAAAGAGAACTTGACGAACAGCCCGACTGGTCCAGCCAGATCTTGACTGACGATGAGATTCTTTTTACCGCGGACCTGTGACCCAATGGTTCAGCCAGTATACGGTAAGGCGACAGGAAGTGGAAGCAAGCCTTACTCACGCCTTCGAGGAGGGTCAGCAGATCCCTACGCGCCTTGTCCTTGAAGTAGTCTGCATCAGACCCCGGATACGGCGCCATGACTACCACTGAGCATTTCCTGACGGGATGAGTTGTTGATGGAAGTCCAAGTTGAGTGGGAGATGCGCGCGGACGTTTCCGGGCGGCGATGGGTTGGTTGGTTTGGACTATTTGGAGGAGGCTTGGAAGGGTCCAGCCACTGCACTAAGCTGTACTCGGGTTAGCGCAAGCACAGCCTGTAAGGATTTACTCGTATTGAGCATGTTCGTATAGCCATCATTCCGCACTAAGCGGCCAAAAGTGTTGTAATAAAGTGTAATATAATTACCCTCCGCCTTTCGCGCTCTTGGACAGACTTCCCCCCCCTCAATCCACATATAGTGCCTGAGGCGTTGTGCTCCCCTGAACCTTGCCCATCAGTCACTTCGCCCCCTCTTACATCTCCTTTTTCTCTCACTCTCACTCTCACCTAATCTGTCCTCTTTTCCCCAGGAACTGGCATTCATTAATTGTTGCTGGCTGTATCGAAGCATTCACATTCTTACCTCAACACAAATCGACCACAGTTCTACCGCCATGGGTAGGTTCGGCTTCAAAAAGTCCGGGGACGACGACGATTCCTCTAACCGCCTGGCGCTGTTCGGCTCCCGATCGAAGAGCAAAAGCCCAGCACCTCCCGCGAACCCCTACGCCAAGCCGATTCCCACCGATCCCTACACCAAAGCCAAGATCCAAGCTGGCGTGGCTCCCGTTCCAGCCGGGGAGACTCCCGCCGCACCGGCTCCTCCGGGCTCCGCCAGCATTCCCGGAGACAACAAGCAAGGATATGCGCCGAACCGATACGGCAACCAGGGAGGATATGGATCTGATCGCTTCGGAGGCAGCGCCAGCGGCGCACCGCCCGCAGCCTCTCGCTACGGCCCTGGCGGCTACGGAGGCTTAGGCAGCTCCGACCCCAACGACCCCGCTGCCGCGGATGCCAACAGAGATGCGCTTTTTGGGGGAGCGGCGGAACGAGCACAGCAGCAGCCGCCGTCACAGGCCGGTGGTCCTCCGCCGCCTTACTCGGAGGGGTCTGCAGCCTACGGAGGTGGCAGCAACGGATATAACACATCTACCTACCAGGAACGACACCTGACTGCGGAGGAAGAAGAGGAGGAGGAGATTCAGACTATTAAGCAGGATATCCGCTTCATCAAGCAGGGTGATGTGGCCTCGACTCGCAACGCCCTCCGCATTGCTGCGCAGGCTGAGGAGACGGGTCGGGAGACTCTGGCTCGGTTGGGAGCGCAAGGAGAACGCATCCACGATGCGGAGCGGAGTTTGGACGTTGCGGCCATCGAGGGACGGATCGCCGAGGAGAAGGCCAAGGAGCTCAAGACCCTTAACAAGAGCATGTTCGCTGTTCACGTCGCCAACCCATTCACGAGTGCCCGGCGGCGCCGCGAGCGCGATGAGCGGATCCTGGATACCCACCGACAGGAGCGCGAGACCCGCGACGGAACACGAAATGAGGCCTTCAAGACCAATCAGCGCATGGAGCGCACGTTCCGGGAGATTGATCGGGAGGCGAGCAAGCAGACGACGCGCTCCCGGACCAATGTTGCCGACCGTGCCAAGTATCAATTCGAGGCCGACAGTGAGGATGAAGCGATGGAGAACGAAATTGAGCAGAACTTGGACCTGTTGGGTGGTGCTGCCAGCCGTCTGAACGGTCTCGCCAAAGCCACGGGCAAGGAGTTGGACGAGCAGAACCGCCACTTGGAACGCATCACAGGCAAGGTAAGCTTCTCCTGGTTCCAACCGAGGACTTTGACACTGACCATCCTCCCAGAGCGACTTCGTCGACGAGCAAATCGCCATGAACCGCGCCAAGCTGGACCGGATCCGTTAGACATACCCGCTAATAAATTCTTCGTTGACTGCCTGGTGCTGTCGATTCTTCCTATGCACATATCCCATTTGCTCGGCGTTCTGGGTATACTACATTCGTACTTGAAGAAAGATCACACTTGATATTGCTAAACAATACAAATCAATGTTTGGCGGACTGTAAAACCATAGAACTCTATGCTTTGGCGAATGCCCACATTTCATCGGGGAGAGTTTGACATCAGCAAGCCATGTCAGCGATAAGTTAATGTCTTGCTCTTACCTGCAGTATCACATAATCATTTAGAGACACTTGATCGTCTCATCGTCCATCTCATACATTCTCGGGTCCCTGAGTCGGGCACCTCATGCATCCTCCCTAAATAATCAATCCTACACACTATACCAAGCCTCGACACGTCAACCAATCCACCCCCGGCAATCTCAATCTGAAACACCACCACCTGCGGGATTAAATTTCAAAGAGAAATGCGACCTAATCGATTTTTCTAGGTTGCGCATATTACACCCGCCCCAATATACAAAGTATGAGTATATCGCAATAGGTCCCACTTTGCTAATCAGCCATGTTTCATACGCTTGCAGCCCAATGACGACTTCAGATCGGAGGATCATCCAATCTGCAACGGCACAACGGTTTTTGTTTCTGATGAGTGGTTCCCCACTCGATAATCAAAAAACAGTCCTCCCAGTCTACCACCTTCAAAAGAAAACCTTCCCAGTTTGTAATCTTGACTCACTTTACTGTAGACGATGGAGCCACAAGAGTACGTCAGCGTATTCGGTTGAGATAAATTATTTCGGAACAACCCTTGCCCCTAGCTCATGGGTAAGTGTGTGTGCGTGCCGTGTTCTCAGATGTCAGAGATGTCAGTCAATGCTGCCAGAGACGCATCTGCATCTATGTTTCAGGCTTCACCTAGATGTGGGGGATTCTTCTCTTGTTTCGGAATAGAACAGGCGTTTTTCCATGGCACTATAATTTATCCTTCTAGAAAAAAAAATGAGAATGAGAAAAGAATGCAAGTAAATGTTTCTGGTCTCGACAGACAGATGCAGTTCGAAGCGTAATTTGCATAGTAATAATAGAGAAATAGAGAATGTGTGGACGGTTTCAGATTGGTGAGGTGGTGGTGCTATAGGTAAGTTGGTGTCTATGTTCAGGAAGGCTGTATAGGGCTAGATCTTGTCTCGTTTCGGTGTGCTAAACCCGGTACTAGAGAGCTATTTGCTGGGTACCTCAATCTGACATCTAGCTATATCACTTGTGTCTCCGTGTATAAGAATTTGTCATGATAAAGGTGTTTTGGCGCGAAGATATGTCATGGTGCTTGGGGATTAGTGGAAGAGACCTGGAAAGGCGAGATAGGTCAACATACAAGCTGATATCGTACAGTCGGAAATAGGAGCATTCTCAGAGAGACCTGGTAATAGCTATGGACTGGCTTGACTTATCCAGACTTATCCAAGTGTGTATATGAAGCTCGAGTGGTCTTGAGTTCGGAGTGGTCTCGTTCCATTTGTCCTTCCTGCAATTGTATACAGTTGCCGGTATGTTTCTGGTGGGGATCTCGAGCACTGCAGATGAGATTGCCATAAGCACAGTACTATGCTGATCTGGGAGGCTACTTCAATCACCCTTCAAGCGTCGGTGGCTTTGTAGATAGTTGCCATCCTTCCAGGCGCTTACGGGCTTACAAAGCACCACGATGGAAGGCGGGCATGAACCAGCACCATTCGCGGTTCGAGATTCCCTGAACCTTATCAGATCTATCTGCGAGTAGGATTATCTTGCGTATCCAACGCTATAGTCCTTCGGGGTGCATGCCTGCGGTACGGCGCTTAATCGAAAACTCGCGGGTTGTGACTCTATCCCACATGCAAGGCTTTCTCGTGATTCTGTGGCACAGTTGGGAGAGAAGCTTAGTTTGACCGATGAATAGAGCCTTGTAGAAGGTTAATGTAACTGCTTCGGCACGGCCTGATAGACATTGGATACTTCTCGATCCAAAACCTCCTACTTCGCCTCAACATGTCTATATTTGGCAAGGCAGACATCCAACAATGCGTTGCGCTGCAAGCTGGCACTGAGATGTTACTTTGCCGGAGATTCAAAAAGAGAGGGGAAGAGGTCACCCTGGGGTAGGAAGTGAACCATCATTCACTTAATCTAGCTACTCATATACAGACAAAAGAGTAACACTTTTCCCACTCTTAGACCGCCACATCACCAAATCTCATCTCATCCTCGATCCAACCTCAATCTTCAACACTCCTAACCACAACACAGAATCTTACTATCCACCAAGTCAAAACCACCACGATGCGCATCCAAGCCATCCTCGTGCCCATCCTCCTCGTCCTAATGGACATCCTCTCCATCACCACCGCAACCCCAGTCCCCGAGACCGAGATTGATATCAAAACAAGCACCCCGAACGCTGTTCACCTCGCCACAAGCTTCATCTCGCTCTCCCACGCTCTGTCCTCCCTGCGTCTTACCGATTGCCCTCTCGACGCCGTGCCATTCTTCCCCTTCAACCAGACAACCACCACCACCACCAGCGTGACAGCCAGAACCAACACAACCGAACTAACCCCACCCTCCACGCACCTCTCCCTCAGATTCATCGCCCTCGGCCGCGGCACCCAGAACTACACCTGCCCTGCCGCCCGCAGTCACCGCAGAAACGAATCCGCATCCGCGACCCCCGTGTCCACCGGCGCCGTAGCCACCCTCTACGACGTCTCCTGCCTTGCGCCCACAAAACACTCCCAAACCGGCGGCGGCGGCGGAATCCTCCTACACACCCTCCCGGCATTCACCCACGCCCTTCCGCAGGAAGTACTGGCCTTGTATGCCGTGCAGCTGTCGCGGGCCACCATCATCGGACAGCATTACTTTTCTGCTCCCGCTGCTGCTGGTTCCGGTTCCGCTTCAATTTCTTCGAGCATGCCGGTCTTTGACCTTCGAGCGGCGCAGTACGGGCAGCGGGGTGGGAAGTTTGAGGGGAACTGGGTGCAAGCGAAGAAGGTGGAAAGTGTGGCTGCTCCCGGCGGTTCGGAGGATGTGCCGTGGTTGAAGTTGGTTGGGGAGGGGAAGGAGGGAGGGATTAAGGTGCGTGTGGTTTTTCATTTACGCTCTGGCTTGCTTACTCGGTTGATGAGTTTGTGGAGGTTCTTGGATGGAGGCAGCTGTTGAAGGGGATACGAATTGATGGTTATGAATAGGAGATCTATCGTGTTCATACGGCTGGCGGGATGAGTCCGGCGACATGTGCGGAGCATGAGGGGGAGTTTGCGGTGGAGTATGCGGCTGAGTATTGGTTTTATGGATGAGTTCGTTCGTTGCTTGGGGTTGTGTACTCCGTTGATAGGGTCAACAATACTGGCGTTGCTGCCGCAGGAGTGATAGTATGAATGGCATCGAAATGAGGCCTTGCCCGGTGAAGATGCCTGTCGGGATCTAGTTACTATGTATGTCACAATCAGCCTGCCGGATTCCCTGGTTTTTTGATAGTAGGAGGATATTCGACAGAAGTCAATGCGATAGGCGGTCTACCTGAAAACCCAACGATGGCAATTTCGATGAACATGTCCCAGGTATATCATCGAGTGCTTCAATTTCCGCAATCACCACGCTATCAAGTATTCGAGAAGCTGAAGCTGAGGTCCTCCTATGGAAGGATAAACCATCCATGCAACAGCCCAACATCAACATCAACATCAACCGCAACATCATGCAACCCCCATACCAGAGGGAGTCAACAAAACCTCGACTTACAACCAGCAACAACCTCTATCTAATGTTGGAGCCTCCTCCATCCCAGCAATTCCCATTGCTAGATCCACAATGGATTTTCAGACATGAGCGAGATACCCCTGGCTGCAGAATCACAGTACCTGCAAACTCACGAACTGCAGGCACAGTTGAGTCCTTCCTCTACATGATTAAAGTGAAACCAACCCTTTGAAGCTTGAACCCAATGGCAACTAAACACAGATATAATTTAATTCCTACATAGGATCAGGGACGCCATGTGCACCGCACACCTATGCATCTAATCAATGGAGAAAGGGATAGGGATATGAGACAAGGGCAACAACAAATACAACGATGGCTATGCACGAAGGTGGGCCTTACATATCCATACACGGGGTGGAATTGTGGGGGAGCTGGAAAAATTCGGAAAGCTTCCATTTTTCCGAGACGACGACGCGAGGAATTTGCCCGCCGAATGCGAAAAATGAGGCGTGCCGGTGATGGGGCAAAAGCAACGGAGAGCGAGCGGGTGGTGATGGTGGTGGCGCTTGCTTCCTTACTTCCCATGTCTTATATTTTTTCTGTGGCTCGTGGGGGAGGGCACTCAGGCACAAGAATTGTCTTTTGCAGCATAGATATTGTTTATACCAGTGATTGCACAATATTTGATGTCAACTCTTTATTAGACAATATATGTAGCGACCGTGGGTGACACTGTTGCAGGTTGTGCCTCTAATGTATGTTTCCAACCAAATCTGAACCAAGACATAGGAAATGAATAAATGAAAACCGCCCGCCTTGCCCTATCCATGCTCCGCCCAGTTGCAACGGGGTATCAGCCTAGCACTCGCATGTCAGATCTTCAACAGTGCGCCGCCTTGCTGCAATTGAACCCAGCCGAAAATCACATAACACCCATCGTCAAATCCCGATAATGTCTCATGATAGAGGACAGACAGCTAGATGAAAAAGGGCAGGCAAATCACAAAGTAAGAACAGAAAGAATCTTAAACCCGATCAAACAGCCCTGCTGCGTGAACATTCTCGCATCCCAAATCATGCCCTGGAGATGCGGACCCGAATCGAAACGAATCAACCAGGAAAAAGAAAACATGCCGGATGTAGAAAGCAAATGACCAACTCCCCAGTCTAGCACAGATGACAAAGGAAACAACAGAAGAAAAAAAATCAAAGACAGAATAACCGGTACCCTCTATGGTCATAACTTTGGGTAATCAAGACATCACGAACAACCCACCCAAGCCGCTGTAACATGTCCTGCTTGTCCTTGGGAATATGAAAGAGAAAATCCAAACACGCAAAGCGAATATAAACGGGGTATCAACGCTCAGCCACGTTGGGCGAGCCGGGAAAGAGGAAATCGGTGGAAGGAAATCGATGCTGTTGTACAAAGGAGGAGGGCCCCATCATTGATGACAGGTTGGGTCGCACAATGTGATCATCGCGCGCCCTTGAAATGAAATGTTGAATTTGCCCCTCTCCGCTGTGGCAGGGTTGAGAGAGGCGTTCGACGTGAACGAGGTCAACCAGGAGGGTGATCGTTTACTCCTCGTCGTCGCCGGATGCGCCCTCCTTTTCTCCCTTGTGAACCTTCTTGTGTCTGCGCAGGTTTGAGACAACCGAGAAGTGACGACCGCAGCCTTCCACGTCACATGCAAATGCTATAACCCAGGCGGTTAGTTTCACAAACTCCCACGTTCGACAAGCTCGGTCTGGAACTTACGCTTTTCGCCAGTGTGACTATACATATGGGTCTGGAGCGACGACGGGCGGGTGAATCGCTTGTCACACACCTTGCACTTGTGCTTCTTCTGTGTGTTGGACGGCATCTTGGAGCTAAACTGACTCATCATCGACTGGGGTCCAGGTGGTGCGCTTCCCGTCAACAGGTTAGATGGGCGGGGAAGTGTCCGTGACAAATGACCGTTCTCGTAGGATTCCGAGGTGGTCGAGCTGTAGTCGGTAACGGAAGAATCCACGGATCCCACGGAAGCGCTGTAGTAGGGGTAGTTGCTGGTGGAGGAGATCGAAGATCCCGAGGAGTGAGTCGAGGGAAATCCGTATGAGTCGCCAGAGCCCCGCGTGCTGCGAGGACCATAGATGTTGCGAGGCGTCAGATCCTGGCTGAGCGCGACCATACCACGGCTCGCGTCCAGAGCGTCACCGTACGTCGGAGCGGAAGCGGGATGCGATTGACTGACACGAGCGTCCCTGCAAATTGAAAGGAACTGTTAGCACCGGATTGTCCTTCGCGAAACGCCTGATCGGCTGCGCATTGAGAGGTCATCTTACGCATGAGAGATCCTTCGATCTTGGTGCATGTGCGGAGCGTAGCTCAAGGGAGCGTAGCTTGCTGGCGCATAGGTGGTCATTGGGGAAGCTGTAGTGTAAGCGGGAGCCTGGTCGAACGATGTGCGTGGAATATCGTGCGACAATCCCATCATCTCTGGTCCGGGGTAGCTCGTGGCCGTGGCCGTGGAATAGTTGCTTCCGGTAACCATAGAAGGAGCAGAAACGGGGATGCTAGGATATGACATGGACATGGCGGCCGGCCGGCTCACTTCCTCCTGCTTGACATGGTTGAGAGCAATGGGGCTGGGTGCCAGGGACGTCGCATAGATGGAAGGGTTGGAGTGGGAGGAGGTTTGAGCAGCGGCCCATGGATCGGTGAACTGAGGCGGATTGTGGTGGATGTTGTGTTGATAGACGCTATCGAAGCCCATCCCGCCGTACTGGCGAGTTTGATTTTCAATGACCATCGTCATGGAGAATAGTGGTTATCGCGCGTAGCGAACTAAGAAAAGCAGGCGTGGTTGACGTTGACGATCGGAGTATCCCTAGGAAGGTAGGGACACAACAAACAAAAAAGCGACAGGCAACTGCTCTAGGAGCCAAGGAGGAAAGACAAGGGAGACAGGAAGATCAGGTATAGATGATCGAGGATATGAAAGATGATCAACACCAGAGACAGTGTGTTGAAAGGGAGGAAAGAGTAGCTGGTAGGAAGGGATCCGCGGCTGAATGTATAGAATGGAAGACAGATGCGCAGGGGAAGTGCGGGATGTAAATAGTCGAAGTAGATTGTTTGGTTCAGGAGAAAGATAATGGCTCTTCTTTAGTTTCTGAGACCCGGCAGATAGGAAGAAGGAAAGGCAGTCTGGGGAAGGGCCCGAAGGGGATCGGCGAAGCTTATGAACAAATACAGGATCTCAGCATGAGGATGGACCGCAGGGACGAAGGGAAGCCCTGGCGTTGCCGTGTTGGTGATGGGTTTAGTGCCACTGACGACGTCCCGTCGGGGACGGTTGCAGATCGTTCCTTTGGGCCTCTTCGGCTTCGAAACGGCGCCAGTGTTTAAAAAAAGAAAATAGAATTGAGAAAAAAAATAATAATTGTTAGATAAATTAGTTTAGTTCATCTAGTGGATGTGTTTAGTTTCAATTTAGTTTAGTTATAGTGAATAAACTGGAGTAGACAAAGACCGAGACAGCGAAGTAGTCAGTCAAGTGGGAAACAATCTCCAAATGGGAACCAGTTCCTCGGGTGACTCTCAAGATTTTGGATGGGTCTTGTTTTTTCCCTGGTTGAATTTAAGGATTTTTTTTTGTTTTTTTTTTTTCGTTTTTTTATTCTCAGTCTGGGCGGGAGAGAGAGAGAGCAAAAGACACAGAGAGAGAGATGTGGGGGGGGGGGGGGGGAACCCTCCACAAAATAATTCCTATAATCAATTTTGTGTGGTTTTTCCTCTTTGGAATTTTGCCTTCCCCTTCCAATTTTCCATCCATTTTTTCCCCTCTCCCTCTCTCCCTCTTCCAGCCATAATTTTCAGATTTCGAATTTTGTCCTGAGCATTTTCTTTTTTGGCTTCACCTCTCCTCTCCTCTTTGCGCCTGCATCACTCCCTCAGTCCACCATGAATGACTAAGAGATCTTTCTCTCTCAAATCTTCAGACTAACTACACGGTACTATCTAGTCTAATCTTAATATTCTTTATCCTTTATCTTAGTTGAGTTAGTGTTTTGACATGTTGAACATTTTTTTTTGCAATTGCTGCCAGAATACACTGTACAAATCCCCTTTCGAAACGCGTCTACTGGGCCCCAAAATCTCCTTACAAAAGCACTCCAATCCATACAAAACACTGCAAGCAAAATGGCCTCCCCGCATTAGAAATGAGATCACACAAAGTACGGAGTATTGTACTGTGGTATTAGAATTGCTGTAAGACACAATCAACAAAACGTAGGGGTAAGGGGGGGGGGGGGGCGGCGGTGAGAAGAAAAGATCTGAAACTCCGGCATCGAAGAAGGGCAGGTGGAAAAGTATGTTGTATGTTATGCACGTATGCAAATACGGGAGGGGAAGATTTTGCCTCTATCTCCTTCCGTGGACGGACAGTACTTGCTTTGCAGGTTCTGCAAGATGTTAAAGTGGAAGTACTCTACGGAGTAGGTCAATCTACATGGAGTCAGTTTGACTCTGCACAGGACTAGTTACCACTAGGATGGGTACATGATGAAATAGTCGTAAGTACTAAGTAAATACGGAGACTACTTAGTAGTCACCAAGACTACCTCCTTCCTCTGTACATATAGATTACATCAGTAGTTAGGACTCAAGTTAAAATGAGACTTGGCGCGGGAAGGTGACTACAGACAGAAGAAGGAAACGCGCACACGGCAGAAGAGGACTGTGTAGGAGACCTCAAACCCCCAAAAAAGTCAATGACCAAAAGGGCAAAAGGGAAAAGGAGGCAATTGATGACGAGGGAAAATGGCAGGAGGAAAACAGATGTGGAGTTTCTGTTCTCGATTGCGTAGAAGGAAATGTTTAAAAAATAGCACATACTGTGTAGACCTTGACACCACTAAAAGCAACAAACAGCAATGCAAAAAGGCAATAAGTAGAGAGCCACAGAGAAATGGCGTGGGAGGGACTACTGTGTAATTGTTGGGGGAGGGGGGAAAGAGCAGGAGCAGGTACCAACCAGCTCAGGTACAGGACCACACTCTCCATCTCCATTGTGCTCTTGCGTCTTGTGGTTTAGTCACCGAACCCATCCCCGAGGGAGGTACGTACTCTTACTGCATCATCATCATCATCATCATCTCCAGCAGCATCATCATTGGCATCATCATTGATGGCCTGTCTGTCTGTTTAGCTGCCTGCCTGTCTGTCTTGTCTGTCTTGTCTGTCTCCGTGCTCCTCTGCCCCATTTGTGGCAGGCTAGCAAGTGCGGGAATAACTCCATTGATTATTCCCATTCGGGTCATCCATCCATCCATCCATCCATCCATCATTACGGGGCGGCCTTGAGCCGACAGACCTTACCCAAATTGGTAGGTCCACTTAGGGGAAGGGCATAAAAAGGTAAGTAAGTGGAGAGGGGGAGGGGCGAGGCAGAGGGGGTGTTTGTGCCGTGTCTATACAAAATCATCCAGTCACCAAGACTTCTGAAGAACAGACCATCACCAAAACAGCAAAGCGTGGCAGCAGAGAAGGCATGAAAAGGGTTTAGATGGAATTGAGACAAGACCACAATTTACAGGAGGACTGGCAGCGCCAAGAGCTAAGCTTAGATGCACTGATGCAGCGACCAAGGTTCGCCTTGAGCCCTTGAGAGTGTTTCAAGGTAGCGGGGAAAGTGGCAGATCACAAAGATACGTCAAAGAGTGTACCCGTTCCGTGGGGGGGAGAAAGTCACACCCTCTGTTGGACAATAAAATAGTTTCAATGGTTATTTAGAAAACAAAAAAGCAGAGACTAAAGACTCGTGTGGATCGAATCTTTCCCCCACCGACCCTACCAACACAGTCTGGTCTCTACTGAATCTGATTCGTTTGAATTTTTCACCTGTCCCTTTTCCTGTGTCGATTCGCCCAATCCACTTCCCATGCTTTTGCCATTTTTGAATCTGATTATTTTTTTTTCGAGGGGGAATGACAGCGGAATACGCGCTCTGGAGCGGTAATAGTACAGCAGATGAGATGGAAGCACTCTGGAAGGAAAATCGAGAAGAAGGTTTGAAGTTACACTCTTCCAACACATCACAGCCAAAGAATGAGTAGATGGATCTCTTCCCCTCCTCCGCCGAGGGTGGAAGAAGGGTTTGCGTCCAATGGTGGCATTCCACTTACGCCATCTTGCACAGAACATGTTACGCAAGTGACTGGCCAAGACCTTCAAAGTCTCCGGGTTGGAGCCCAGTGATTGGTTCAAATCCAGGGTGGTGGTGGTGGTGATGATGATGGCTTGGTCCTCTCGGGAGAACGCTGCAGCGGGCTGGTGTGGGCTTGTAGCATGTCAGTAATATTGAGTAGGCGGTATGGCTTGAAGGATTCTCCTCAGGGACTGAGCGGAAATCAGAAGCATAATTTATCGTTAATATATTACCCATCGAAGACTGACTCGGACATCCTTGATTAGCCGCATCTACTGTGCAGCACACTTTGTCGAAGGTGATTACTGGTTGTACATCCAGTACAGCGAATGCAATGCGCGTGCGGGATTCATTTTTGATAGCTCGGTAGTGGACAGCCACTCACACCGCTCGGTTTGAACCAGGGTCCAGGAGGGTGAAGCTGCACAATTCTTTTTCCCCTCCATCCATCCATCACTCACCTCGGGAACAGGCAGGGGGGGGAGGGGGGTTGGGCGGGGGATCCTCAAGCCAGCCGTCGCTCAACGGTTGATGATGACGATAATCTGCCGTGAGCCTGAACAATGCATGCAAGCGAGTCTCACACATTGCCGTTCTTATCGCGGGGCCATAACTTCTAAGGGCAGATGACTGCGAGTCCGGCATGATGATGATGATGAGGAGAGACGAAGGAAGACCGACACCTTCTCTCTCCTATGCAGAATGACGAACTGGCTTCAGGATAGCATCGGGAATTCATTCATTTTCTGCAATCTGCAGCGAGGGCGCTCGCGTGCATTTTGCTCAAGTCCGGAGTAGCTCTGCGATCCTTGCCTCCTCCCTCCGTCCTCTTCTCTACCCGCGGAGGGTCAGGGTGTGTGTGTGTGTGTGTGTGTGTTTGTATGGAGTCAGAGGCTCCTTCGGAATGGAGAGGTGGTCAGCGTCATACCACAGTATGGATTGAAAGCTCGGGCTCCACGCATAATTGGTCAAGAAGGCCCCGCTTCGGAAATGGACAATGACGAGCATGAGAACATCGAAAAGCAGAAACCACAACCACCATCACCACCACCATCATCATCATCATCGCCGGGCGGGGGGAGGCGGGTCTATTGCAACAGCAGGATCTCTTCTAACAATTTGATTGAGATTACAAAAGAATAATGCGATCGGGTTAGCGATCGGAAAAGCACCGGGATGAGGTTTCAGCTGGTTGATGCTGGTCCTGAGTAAATTGGGGTAGTATTGATTTCAATATAATGTCGTTGAACATGAGACCATTGATATTAAACTAACCATTTGCATATGCTTGTTGATGGGTGGTGGTGGACAGCATGTTGCGATTCAGATCGCAGCCACGTTAGCTTGGCAGGATCTCCATGGTCTGACCTGCCCGTCCTTTGGTTCAAAGGCTTGTCTGATGACATCCACCCCATATTCGCAGTCTATTGCAACTCAAAGTCATAGTCAATAATCTCAATTCCTGCCTTTGGTTCTCCAGGACAAAGAACAGGTCCCATGTGGCAGATAGTGTCAATATGGGGCAGATATTGTAATAGCGTGGTTTGTGTTTTTCCTGGTCTATAATCCTGATTTTGGTTTATCGATTGTCAATTGTATTTCTGCTTTCCTGCTTTTTTCCCTTTCCCTCCGCCGCTCCCCCTCTGCTGGGAAGGTGAAGCTGGGATGGTGAATGTGGATTCGCATCTAAATCGAACTACTCCCCGATCTTTAAATTGCATTGTCCTAAATGGTCACACTATCTGACCGAGCCCCATCCACACCGACGTCAGAGCACGGAAGAACGCAACCCGTCTCTAAAGTGCTAGCGGCACGGAATCGGGGAACTTCATTTCAGCAGCAGCAGCAAGACCAAGTGACGAAAATCGAACACATCACACGCCATAAAACCCTCCAATCTGCTTTACTTGATGTCCCACCGGGAACATGGAAAGCGTGAATTAAGAAAAGACTAACCACAACTACGGAGTAAGTGGCTGGAATAGAAACCCCCATTCTCTCTCCCCACCACGATCCAATATTAGCGATGGGGGCGGCTCGAAAAAATGAAGAGGCAAATGAAAGTGAGATTTGAGCCCAATTACGTGCATAGGGATGGATGGGATCCCGTGTCGAACAAAGAATCAATGACCTCAACCTCCGAGCTTCGTATACAACCGACAATGCAGCGGCTGAAAGCTCGTGAGGGAGTAAGCTCCTTCCCCTTGAGCTATGGTGGCCAACAAGCCACGAATTCGATAATCACTTTATCCGGGGTTATAGCTGCGCTCGAACTCTGCCCATCTTGCCTTATGGCCCACGAGTGAATCTGTATAGAGTCGATCAAACAGGTACCGATACCGGAGATATACACATGGTCAAGTTCCCGAGACTCGAGAGCTGAGTATTCCACCTCGTACTCAGCTCAACTTCCACAGCACCAGCACAGTTCACCCGGTCAACAAACCCATCATCCACACCCCTCTAAGCCCACAAGGCTAGGGAAGATGTCAAAGTGGATGTTCGGTTGCAGGAGTGACGGACGCCCACTTTCTGCAATCGCTCGGCTGGGGCGTTTTTCATTTTTCTTGATCGCTCGCATTTTTTTGACCTGGGAGGGCGGTCGGTGGCTGCTTTAGCTGCACCTGAAGCATCCAAACCAGAAGAAGCAGGAAAAAGAAACAGGGCAAAAAGCTAGGACGATCGCAAGGAGGATCAATATGATAGGTACAGCTCAGCATATCTCGGGACTAGCTTGAACTTTAGAGTTTGCTTGACCCTTAGTGATGGGATGGGCTGGTCGGCAAGGCGATTCGGCCTAAGGTAAAAAAGAACCATGGAGTAAATAATGGAGAACTGAGCGACAGGGGAATTATTTCCCATCTCACACGGCTAGAGTGTGACCACATGCAGCCTAAGATCCATCCACATATTCCTTACCTTTTCCTGCCTCTCCTCCCCCAGCCTCAGAGCGCGGGCATGGGAAGAGGGTTCCACTGCAGTTCGACAAACCATCAGATATGCAGAAAGAGGGGCACGCATGCACGTACGAAGGGTGCTACTCAGTCGCTGGGAAAGTAGCCATTCGAAAGTGCCTGGTTCAACACCTTCAATAGAGTTGTGCGTTGCACTCTTGCATGTCTGTGTGCAGTAGCTAAGCAAGTATTTCTCATTGAACCAATAGAACTGATGCCGGCTCAATGGAGAGGGAGGAAGCAGAGTGGACGGGAGGAAGCCCGAGCTCTTCCCCCCTCCCCAAGGAAGGGATTGTGACTTGGAGACTCAATAACTCACGAGAAGACAAATGGTAACCATGGGAAAAAAGAAACTCTCGACATACCGGAAAGAGTAGGTGCATACGGAGGGAACCACTGAGGTGGGCGCATGGAGACAGCGGCGACGGAACGTGGGTCGGGGAGGAGAATAGGTGGGTGTGGACAACTCCCCACCCGGTTCTTGGTACGAAGCACGAGGCCGGCTGGCCATGCGGTTGCCAAAGATTTCAGACCACCTGCTCGAGTTCTGGACCATGGATCATTGACTAGTGGTTTGGAGCAAGATCAATGATGATCAAAACCAAGTGACTAAGGTAGTTAGCAGTCTAGCACTGTAGTACCCTGGCTCAGAAAGAAGCAGGGACTAACCTTGTTCCGAAGCATCACCAAAGGGTCGGGTCCTGGGGGGAAACTCCAGTCTCCATTCTTCTTTACCACGAGAATTTAGATGTGAATCGATAGTTACGGCATACTAATGGAAACTAACTAAGCCAAGCTTGGCTGACAGCACGCAGTCAAACTGGTCCTCCTCTTCTTGAATCAAGCTTGGGCCTTGCGCTTGTTACGCAAACCAAAAGTACGATGATAACCTTTGGAGAAATGGGGGTCTCTCCGTTCTCTGGATCTCAACGCAAAAGCGAGAAAAGGTCAGCTCATCCTTGGTCCACCAAGCATGCCGTCCTCCAAAGGCGCAGGAAATTGGGGCATGTTGGAAATCAGCTCACAGCCTCCAGAGGTGTGCGTATACCCTCTAAAACACACCTTTTCATTGGTATACAGCTGCAGCAACAAGTGGACGGTTTCAATATAATCGGTGGCAAACTGTAGCTCTGACCTGGAAAGTCGCCTCAGTACTCCGCGCGACGCATCATCCGTGAGGCCCTTGGATCTGATTCCGTCCATTCTCGCTATAGCTGCCTTCGTGGGCAGATGTCGCAGATGGACGGGGGTGGCTTGGAATTGTCTTTCTGATACAGGCTGGAGAAGAAACATCACTTCCTTTCCCGATCCGCAAATGGGGATTGTTTCAGCCCTGACATGCCACTGTCCCCCATCTGCGATATACCATCTATATGACTGACCAATGAAATGTATTATCACATACTATATACAGAACAGATACCAAGTCCTGGCGACCAAGCCCAGGCCAATGAGGGTAGAGAACCAGGATCAGCGTCTCCGGCCTCGGCATGCACAAGCAAACAGGGCACAGGCTAGTGGGTTGACCTCGAATCCTTCAATCCTGAGGCATCAAATAAGCATTCAAATGACACATATCACCAAAGCCGATTTCGCGATTGTACACAGTAAGTGAAAAAGGCTGCTGGTGCAATGTCCGCATGCATGGTGAAGACATGCCCGACAGTGACTGCACGAATAAACAGTATTGTGCAGTCCTTGGCCAACGAAGATGCTCTATCAGAAGTCGGGCAGAGCTTGTGGTCTCCCTAGAAGAGTGTGAATTCGCGCTGCTGGATTGTCCAGAAAAGGAGAGCCGAAATCGCAGCAGGTATGCGGGATGAATGGAAAGGCCCAAGCGGGTGCGCATTATTGCGTAGGTAGTAGGAGTCCATCCGCCTCCGCAGAGATTCGGTCACTGGAGTTTTAATTCAAGTCATGAATGCCAACCCGCGCTTGGGCCAAAGACACAGCAAGAAGAGAATCTACTCCGGAGTAGTGTACTCACTGTGCTGTAGGGTGTAGGGTAGAGTTAAGGATGCAGCCAAATCAGTGGTGGCTGTACAGAGTATACCAAATCTTGATGATTTGTGCCTACTTGACCGCCGGATCCGCTTTTCCAGCGCGGACCCCGTGCGTTTCCTGCGCCGCCGTAGCCCGGGCAGTTTTCTAGCTGCCAGCTTCACCGCTTTTCTTTCTGGCTGTTTCGTCAGGCGTCCCTTTTCCCCTCTTCTACCTAAAGTAACGAACGAATCAATCCTTTTTGGACGAGCATCGTCCATCATCACAAGCTATACCGAGTAGTTACTGCCTTCTTTTCTTTGCCCTCCCACCTCCGACACTGCTCGCTCCCTCACTCAAATTGGTAGGCCTTCCACTAAACCCTTTAGGTTCGTCCTCATTGTAGAGCTTGGATCTAAGCCTATCTTGGCAGCTCGTAGATTACCGGATAAGGGATAGTATTGGGGGCACACCCGTCGCCCCGGGGTCGCACTCTCGAGGACGGTGGGTGGGCTTTAGTGCTAGTTCTCACACCATCTCCCGGGAAGCCCCTCCAGGGCCTTTTTTTTAAAGTGTTAGGTTTGACACGGCACATCATCTCTGCCCCTCTCTCTTCAAAAACGCGTAACTGGGCTCCATAAACGGTCACCCAATCATCAGCCACATATCCACTCTGTGGTGACTGCACTCTCTGACTGGGTCCCCCTTTTGACGCCCCTCTCCCCCCTTCTCAAGAATCCGATTCTCATTGCGGGGAGCCCCAATCGAGTAATCCGGTGGTGGAGAAGATCACTATCCCCTTCTGGGCAAGGTATGAAGTTAAGCCACCAGTTGATAGCGGGCCAGGTTTTTCGTCACGAGAGTAAAGTTAGTATTAGTTAGTGGATCTGCCACCCGCTCTGCCTTCCTTATTTGCCGGTCAGCTCTGCTGAGTTCGACAGGCTGACTTTCCTATTCCCCGTCCGAGCTTCTGTCTATTGATGCTGGTGGTGGCGAATTATCACCATTCTGCACCTGCTCTCTGCTTGCACTGTGAATAGCCACAACTATTGCAATTGCATGTTCGCCTAATATCTTGTCTCGTTGTCTACACGCAAGCCCCTACTTGTTGTCGTCTTAGAAAACAGCCACAATTCATCGGTTCGGTTGCTATGCAGTCACTTACTCTTTAGTCTATACTAACACAAACGCTTGATATTCCAGCCAGCCCGCTATACCAGCCCACTAATCCGCCAAGCTTGCCTCAATACTGTGGTATCCGCACATACCCACGCATAGACCAGCCGCCTAGTCTATCAAATCTCCCGCTCCCCTTAGGCACGGGAAAGAAAAAATTCCTACTCCATTAACCGTACATAGTATATGTAGAAAGGGGTGGGGGGAAGGGCAAGGGGTTCGTGCCTCCCATGTGTGTGCCGTTTAAAATTAGAAATAAAGCTATGGCTATGGGGTAGTGTGTGCGCATCATTTAATCTCGCTTCTTCAGGGATTGCTCGGCATTGCCTTGCGTTATGTTATGGCAGTGGGTTTAGGACTCCGGTGCTTCCGCGACATTGAGTAAATCGTCTAATTGACTTCTACATGTCGAAAAGAAGAAGTAGGATGTCCAGTAAGTATATCGGTAGAGAGGATTTTCACCACCATGAGTTCTCCATACAGTCCATATCAGTAGATCAGCCATAACCCCGAACTCTTATAGTCGATAAGCACCACGATCAGAAACACCCGATAACGATCGAAGATCACTGTGCTACCAGAACCAGGCAAGTCAGGCACGATTTATCCTTATTCGCTAGGTAATTATTCGCCCTCCATCGATTCGCAGTGGCTAAGATCGGCGTTTATTCACATGAATTACAGGCTAGTAGCTGACATCTCCATCATCAAGCCAATCTTAAACCAATAGTTGATAGGACATGTAGCCAAGCCACGCCACCCCAGTGCAGAATCTAGGAACAGGAAATGGACCTGGTGGTCGGTGCAGGTACGGGCTGAAGTTGAACACCCAGACGCTGGCAGGCGGGACACACATACACTTTTCGCCTTCCAGTTGGGCTGCACTATCACAACTCCATACCTGTAGTCTATTCATTGCATTTTGCCTTCTAGACTAAGCTACTCCGTCAAGGGAATATAGATTCTGAAACGAAGAGCACCATGGGAGCTTGAGCAAAGCCACTCCACCCCACCGGTCAGTCCCTCAGGGGATCGACTATCTACTTACTAAGTGGAAAAGGAACTAGACGGGAGCCCAAGACTTCTTCCCAAAAGGAGAAAAAGGGAATTATTTCAAACATCTGTCAAATCTGCACGGGGTTTGCGTTCTTTTCTTTTTTTTTTCTTTTTCTTTTTTCTTTTTTTTTTTTTTGCTTTTTGGCTTGGCGTGATCCCATCAGAACGGCAGATCGTCGGTGATTAACATGATGGCGTTCAGGGACCGGTTGGGAGTCGATATGTTGCACACATATCAGTGGTGGTCGTGATGGATTGTTGGCTTGGCTTGATGTTGGCGTAAGGTCAAGCTATCAACAGGTCAGTTTATAGAAGTTCTAGATGGATATGCTGTCGACGAGTCTTCTAGTAGGAACCTATGGGTTTGTCGGGATGCACTTGGGATTGGACAGTACCTACCATGCCCATATCATGTGCAGGTCAAACCGATTCACCCAATCGGTTAATTCTCTAAACTGCTCAGGTACCTTACTGGGGTCGGAAGTATACTAGTACACACTGCACAGGGGCTGGCTAGAACCATTCTGAGCTAGTAGGGGCCAATTCTTCCTCTCCCCCATTGTAGCTAACTAGCTATACACCTATAGTGGGATTATTCCTCGAGAATGGATTAGACAGATCCCTCAATCCACCCTAAGAACCAGCTCGTGATCATGAATCCACATCAACCACCTCCCTATCAACAATCCGACATGAAGCCATGTAGACAGAGGGAAAAAAAACTCAATGTCCATAGTGGATTTGCTGCAGGGGCAAAATCCCCTTTTACGGAACTTTAAAGCAACAGATCACACGCGCGCGCCGAGAGCAGTCGAATCGAATCCCAAATTGAATTTGGAAGTTTCTATCGATGTTCTTTTGCGGTTTTGGGTGTAGTGCCTCAAACTCTTTTTGCTTTGTGAAGTCTTGACTATTGACAAAATCACCAAAGAGGAAAAGGGCAAAAGCCACATTCGCAGCACATGGTCTCCGCTCCCCGGGATTATGGATCCCATCCTTCGTTGTGGTAACAATCACTTGGGTCGTTCCCGTGGTGGCAGGTTTGGAGTGTCCCACTCCGGGGACCATGGCTGGATTTTCTGACAGTGCCTGAGTGTGCCCTCCCCGAGTTCTTGGGCCAGTCCATCCGGACAGTGGAAAGGCAAGGCGAGTGGAGATATAGTGGAAGATTCAGGGACTTGAGCCGATAATTGTCAAAAGTAGCTACTTAGCTGTGCGGAAAACTTGATGATACCAGTAGAGAGCCATCTTGAGTAGGTACACACAAGTGACAACTTACCAGAAGTATACCCGTTCTTTCTCATTGGTGCAGATTTCCGGTATACCGCCGTGGCTGTCAATAAAACAGGACTCGAGGCTGATACTGCAGCTATACAATATATTCCGCACTCTGTCCTACCTACAGGTAGTTGCTCCACAATCTCAGCTACATAACAATAGACTCTCCTTGTGAGAAGGGTTGGATCACAGTTCTCCGCGGAGTGAAGCGGAGAATCCAGTGGCAACTTCATATTCAACGTCACAACTACTAGGTAACCTACTCAGCCCGCCCGCCAGAGCGGGGCGGTAGCAGCAGCAGTACACAGAATCCCCGAGTCCCTCCAGGGTAATCTCCTCCCCGAGAAAGTTCAAGGCACGGCAATTTCTCCCTAGAAGTTGTCTCAACCAACAACACAATCTTTGATGAAGAGGAGAGCTCACACACACACTCCCGAGACAAGCCACCTGCAGCCAATGCAGTGCCAAAGCAAGCCCAGACAGGCAGCGCAAGAAAGAAAGCGGCACGCTACAGACGACAAGCCAATTTCAAGTGAATCCCTGCGCTAAACCCAAAACCAGGGAGGGAGAGGGAAAGAAAAAAAAAAGCATGCTAGAACTTGACTAACGCAGCCGCACTTTCCCCCGGAGACGGCAGATAGTCGATAGCCGAGCTTGGCTTCAACAGATAACCCAATCAAAGGCATTGCTCCACCCAGAGCTGACGCGTGCACATTTTCCCACTCACACTATCCTGCTTTAGGCACCGGGGAGCGGAGCCCTGCCCCCCCTCTTTCGAGGCTTCTCCCGCGCTATTCCTGCTTAGGGATATGGTTTGCTATGAGGTGTGGCAGACTGCAGTAAGGGTTTTCCTTTTTTTCATTTTTTTCATTTTTCATTTTTTTTCCTTTTTTTGTTCTTGCTTTCTCACTGCTCGCCGATTTCCTTGGTTATAGTTGTGGTGACTTATAGGGTAGCTAATCACTGCAGGGCTATTTAGTGAATTTGAACTGAGGGGCCTTCCTGCAAACGACTTCAATATTGAATATACACCAATCTGGAAAAGAAGTACTTACTATACAGTGTACTCCGTACTGCACACACACTCACCACTCATCAGTCAACCTCAAAAAAGAGAAAACAGGGGTCCTGGCAGCTGTCATTTGTTTGATGCCGAAGGACAGACAGACGCCGACCAGCCCCGAAGTCACAACTTTATTTCTCCAAGACCCAGAAAGAGAAAAAAAAACAAGTCTGACAATTAAGTCCGAACTCAAAAGCAGAGCCCTGAGATGTCGAGAGTCGGCCTCCATAACGAACACCCCGCATTGGTTTAGTTCTGAACCAGCGACGGGATTTACAAAAATCCCTGTGTGCGAGAAAACCAAGAAGCCACTGCTGTTCTGCTACAGACAGACACACACACACACACACACACACCTACACAATCTCTCAAGGTTACAGAGCTAGTGGCCATCTGAAACACGCCGGTCAATTTGGGGCTGTCGAGAATCCCGCCAGGCGAATCAGACTCAGAAGTCCGCCCGCCAACAGCGGTCTTTCGAGCTCCACTGTCTTTTCTCTTCAGTCTTCCATAGAGAATTCATGCTAGACTAACCCGCAAGAGGCTAGTTAATTGTGGCCCTTCCGGTTGGTTGGGAAGGGAGGCATGGAGGATAGTTCCAGCCCATGATATCACCGTAGGTTGTCATGCTTGGGGGAGAGGAGAGTTCTCGACAGGAGGTACCCAGCTTGGTTATGAAAAGCAGGGTCTCGCTAGTATGCTTGTATAGTGAGGTAGTAATGACACACTTGCAAATAGTGGGCAGGCAAATGGAATTAGTTGCACCAAACTGGTGTATGTTTTTTGAAAGGGAGAGATTGGGGGAAAGAACGGACTATGGGAAATTCCAGATCTTGTCCCTCATAGTAACTACTGTGTATAGTGTTACAATAGTCGATACTGTGCTTAATAGGGGCTGAATGATTGAGGGAGGCCTAGAATAGGCAGGCGAATTACTCACTCATCGACTTGAATACAACTACGGAGTACACAATACTGTGTAAACTCCAGGATGTTTATCTGTGCCAACAAGACGGATCTCTCTGGATTCTAGTGTGCTTGGTTGCTTGCAGGAACCGTGTGCGATTGACTGAGAGAGATAGTCAGGGGGCTAGAGGCATAGAGTGGGGGAAGTAGGAAGGGATAGACAGCCAGGTTATTGAAGTTGACCAAGGACTTCACTTCCAAGCCCAACATCCCTGGCGGGTTCATTCCTTAGCTCTGTCTGTTTGCCAGTCTTGGCCTGTGTATGTGTGTGTGTGTGTGTGTGTGTGGGTGGGTGGGTGTCTGTGCGCCAGTCAGTTAGTCAGTCAAGTCACTCAGTTCTCCGCCCGGCAATTATTCAGTCTAAGACCACCACTTAGTTATCCGTACTCCAACAATGGCCACCAGCAATCCTTCCTGCTTCTGCGACGCGTCATTCTTGACGACCAAGTGTTCTACCCTGAGACAAACAAGTAAGACATGGCGTTTACTACCACCGGATTGTCTCTGCACTGCCGGCGACAACCGCCCACCCAGTCAGGAACGGGCAACCGGCGGAACCAAGGACCCTGAAAAGACCGCTCGAGTGTGTACCAAGCTTCCTGCGACAGCAAGCCTGAAGATCCAGGACTGTTTCTGAGAACTCCAGTGGGCGGGAAAAACAAACCTAGTGTGCAGAAAGTGGGGAGGCACCGGCCTTGGCGTGATGTCAGCTCATATACTTAACTAGTTAACTTACTATCAAACTGGATTCCTGCGGAAATCGAACGACTTTCCCTTTCCGCTTTAGGTCTAACTGGGTGCCGCTTTTTACTCACTGAGCGGCCTGGAGTGTGGGGTAAGCACAGAAGTGTGTGCCCTGATCAATCCCTGAGTGACCTTGGATTGCTCCAGAAAGTAATCTCTAGAGAAAGTGACTGTTATCCTGAGTGCTTGTCTGAGCCTACATGTCTTAGTCAGGTAACCCATATAAACTGTACACAGCTTAAGGCATGTGTTTTACTTTAGTCTCGCCAGCGTGCTTGTCATTTCCCTGGCCCAGAAGCCATCAGGCACATTGTAATGATCATTTCTCATATAACCCCAAACTAAATGTGGACATATTTGGTTGATATCTCAAGTCTAAAATCCTGGCAGAGATACTCATGGGTTGATATGTGCTTGTAACACACCTTATACTCAAATATAGAACAGCTCAATACCTAGACAGACACTTGATTCAAGGCTGTATGAATCATATGAGCGAGGCGCTTTTGTCCTGTTGAAATTTCAGATAGCCTTAGTTCTGGATCGTGGGCCTGATTCCAGACTAGCAGCGATTCACCTTCTCAACGAATTCCAGTTTCAGTTGGCAGAGAGACTCATTTCTCATTGAAATCTGCAGCTGAACAATCGTGTTAGGCATATGTACATTTATATATATAAAAAGGATGGCTTGCTCATCTTCCAAGCTCACCGCCTAGAATTGAGCTCACCGCCTGGTACTGGATCCACCGCCTGAGACTGGACACCGCCTCAGACTAGACACCGCCTGTGATTGATTTCACCGCCTTATGGATGACTTCTTCCAAGACAGTAAGGCTGAGGCTCACCACTCAGCAAAATCTCTTTCATTGAAAGCGATAAGTTACGGTTTCCATGATATGTACTCTACAGTACTAGCTGTTTTTCTTTTGTACGTCACACTGTGGCTCAACTATCACCCTTACATCAGCTTCTTGATGACAGATGATAACATAAACGACGGTTGGGCGGGCCACCCTCCTGGTAGGATTGCCCGATATGATCAAAAAGAAGCCTCTAAGCCTACACAGATGCTTATAAAAATGCTAACTAACTAATTACTAGGCGGCTTAGAGCACTGTGTACGTCGGTGGCCAATATTGAAGACAGCGTGGAGGCGCGCGTGAGAGGGTCTCCGTAGGTTGAGGTTGAACCTCAAACTCGGTATCTTCATCATTTTGCACCTCCTCTTCTTTCTGTATAGCTCTCTGGGTTTCTTCAGCGGTAGTGCCTTCTCATAAACCATCTGCTTTCTCGAATGCTTCTTTTTTTTGTATTTGCTTTTCATGGCTGGCGCGTGATTCCGCAATTTCCTTAGCCAGTATAATCGAGTTTGTAATTGCTAGCTCGCACCCTTTGAGCAGTTGGCGTAGTGTAGAGTGTGTAGGTGAAGTTGGACTTGCTTGGCCTTTTCGATGTAGGCATTGCAGTATTTTGAGTTTAAAGATGCTTTATGTTTAATAGTGTTTGAAGCACTGAGCCGCTTGACTGACTATCCAAACTTAGTAATGTTGTCAAGTGAATATTTAGTTGAGGAAGTACTCAATCAGAACCTAGAAGAACTAGACCTGTTGCTCTAAAGCCCCTGATAATATTCAACTTTGTTAGAGCATATTGGTGAGCTTTAGGATGGACCTCTAGGAAGTCAAGCTTGTTGAAATGATTGCGGCCGTAATGTGCCTGCTTTTGTATCATATCTTCGTACGTGTGTTTAAGCACGCTAAAACAACTAACATCGAGAGGCTGAAGCAGGTGAGACGAATAAGCAGGCATACAAATAGGTATAATCTCATTTTCAGTACAAGTTGGTCGAATTCAAGAGTCAAATGACTACCGTGGCCATCGAGGACTAGGAGACTGTATTTGTCTACTGATTTACCTCTTACTAATGAATAAAGTGTTTTTGAAGCCATCAAAGTCCGATTATATCAATAGACTAATTTTTATCGCTGACTTCAATCCTTCAGGTAGAGGGAACGGATTGATCTTTATACCACGCCTTGAGGAGTGTTTTGCCTTTGAAGATCAGGGTCAAAGATAGAACCTCTCCATTAGATCGGATACACTCAATTGAAGTAATCCATTCCCGACTTCCTGGTTGAATTAGAGATGGCCGGACAGCTTTCTGGGAACTAGTCACTAATCCTAGCAATCGGTCCCATAGCAAACCCTGTTTCATCAAAATTGTGAATATCATCTGGCGAGATCCCGTACTTTTGAATAACCTCTTTGACCCGATTGAACCGGTCTGTTATAATCTCAGGATCCTCTGTCTTAGTTCTGTGATAGTTGTATCGTCTAGCAAACCGGGTATGTAGGGATTCATGACGTTCAACAAAGCTGTAAGCCCAGTTGATGCCTTCTTCTTTGGGGTTTGATCAACCTCGTTTAGAAAGGATCAGATTAACCATATTCCTGACTCTCTAGATAACACTTGTAAGACTGTATAACTTGATCAGTAATAGTTACTTAAATTGTATAAGGAAGACCTTGACCAAGCACTTCGGCAACAGTACTGATATATATATGCATATCTGTTGTAATTATCAGGGTAGTTTCAATTTTTGTAATCCAGATCTTGACTATAGTATTATGCAATGCAGGAAACATGAGAGAGCTGATATTATGGGAAGAAAAATCTGCATAGCTGTAGATATGTAAGAATTTGATTTTTGATATTATTTATCTTATACTCACCTAGATCTCCTCTACTTTGCCTTGGACCGAGACGCCTTTTTGAGTCGCTGTGAGAGCGAGGTGTGGATACCCGGGCGCGGTCGAACCGAGCCCAGACTGTTGGATAAGAAAGACTCGCGATTTTTGTCTCTCTATTACGTTCTGGTTGCTCTGAGGCTCTTGACAGCCGACGATGACTTAGCATCTCGTCAGGATTTCTTTAGGATGGCCAAAGCATTCGATCAACCTCCAGAGCCAGTGACATATTGCAGCCCGGACCATCTGCCGCTCGAGCTCGCTGCTGTGTATTTTGCCAAAGCGAAGAGTCTTTTAGGAGACTTCTGGGATGACAGCGGATTGACCACACCCGGCATTTTCCCTAGGCCCCTTGAATCTACCCGCAAGCAAATGTAACCTCGAGGGACCCAGTCAGATGTATTGGCCGAGACCATCGTCTCGTAAAATGCCGGAGGAGGGTCCAGGAGTGTGCCAGTGGTCTCGGCACGTTTGAACCAAGCGTCTTCACGCTCCTCACTGGCTAATCTGGATGCATCATCAACAATGCAGCCGCATTCGAAGGCTCTGCCATATACACTCATTCGAACAATGACTGGGTGCTGACCGGGGCCTGCAGGACGATAAAGATCCCCGAGCAATATTGTCCCATCGGACAACGGAATCTGGATGTCCTCGAATTTCTCGATTCCTTGAGCAGCCCTGCGCTCCTCATTGGACTTTTGAGCTGTCGAGCCGACCATCATGATCTTTCAGTGCCCGATGTCTATCCACTTGTCGCTTATTGATCGCTTTTCAACGTCGGAACGGAGAGGTCGGTATATAATTCGGTGGAAAGCTTGTGGCCGAAGAATTGACAAAGATTGATACTATACAAATATGTTTTTATGTCCAGTATGACCGGACCACTGAAAGGTCTCTTGGATGATTTATTATCGCTCCTTGGTAGTTTCTCCCCAGCGGGGTTATAAGATGTTTTGCAGTTTGGTCTCTATTCACCCCGACTACCTAAATGGAAATTGCCGTCTCGGGGTCTTCGCTTTTGGAAAGGTGTATCTACGTAAGCTTCCTCCATGTGAATGATTTCACCTGCACCACCACCTATGAGTTCAAATCATTCATTTCATAGTCATCACTTTGACATTGTGGCTGTAGCCGTGTTACTCAATATCTAGATTTGAGCGACATCATGCGCCTATCCCATTTCTAACGTGGTTGAGCTCACTTTCGTGGTTTGGGTTTGGAGCGGTCGTGATAAACAGGGGAAATTGTCCTGAGAGCGGGACGGTCAGAGTCAAGGGCTCGGAGCAACTTCATGAGGTGAACATGGAAGGGTGAAATGAATTGCGACGCAGTGCCAACTTTCTTCTTTCGGCATGTCCTGATGAGCCACCTTGCTGTTCGAAATACAAAAAGGATCTTGTGCATATGTCTAACGTCCAATATATTGGCATGATGATTTTGGCAAAGTATAATAAGTTTAGCTACATTGCAAGCAAAATTGATCAATGTCCGCCAATTCAATACCAGGTTTGACCGGTGTAAAGATAGCAAGTACATGCTCAACAACTCCACAACCATGAAAATGAGGAAAATACAGCCACTGGCATTGATGTCGCAAGTCATACAATGCTGTAAAGGAGATCCCCATCTTTCCTAACTATGATCCATTGCCGACCTAAAGGCAATAAAAATGTCAGTAAGAGGAAAGAAGGTGCGGATTTCGGAAACATACCGAAGTCATAACATCGGCCAGGGTCCGCATTCTGGTGATTGAAAGAAGGCCCCCATCAACATTCCATACTAAAAACGTTGATACATCATCATATATACGCGAGTTTGAAGCGGGGCGAATAGTATGTACTTACCTGCACCTGTCACATAAGAGGCGTCTTCTGATGCCAGAAACATCATCACAGCCGCAAGTTCCTCCGGCTCTCCACCACGGCGCATTGGAATTGGTTTTGGAGAACTCTTCGGCGATCTTGGGGTCGGCACTGAGTGGAGCTGACAAAGGTGTTTTGGTCCAGCCAGGTGCCACTGCATTGATACGAATGCCATCCGTCGCATGATCAGCAGCCATAGTGGTGTTTTTGGAATTGCCGTGGGCATATCCGGACTCCTACTCAACATCCGAAATTATGATTTGATAACTCCTGCTTGAGCGATGATTATGGCATTGTCAAAATTAAGCGCAATCCAGAACATATAACGGAGCATCATTCGTCCTTGTCCTTGTGGAGGTAGCAGAGTCCAGAACAGTTGCAACACACTACCACTTTTTTCCATCCACAATCCACGTAAGTAGACTGCAAGCCTCACGAAGAGAATCAGATCATTGAAACATGAATAGAAACGGTAGACAAAATGAGCATCGAAATCGGGACCGAGGTGAAAAAATGGGGGATGACACCTTCAAGTTCATCGAGCTGCCTAGTCAAAATCCCGAGGGCCGTCTCCGGGCAGAAGTTACCATGCCACCCAGCGACATATTGATGCCTCCCCACTATCCTGCGAAAGTCGACGAACACTACGATTTCCTCGAGGGCGAGATGCGCATCATTATTAGAGAAGGAGAAGATGTGTATTGCAAGGCCGGCGATAAACACTACAATCCCCCTGGTTCTATCCACACTGGGTGCAACAATAGCAGCACCGAAAACCTTCGTTATATTTGGACATTTCAGCCTGCACATGATATGGAAAACTTCTTCAAGATGTGCACCGAGACCCATCCGCTTGCTCAGAATGCCATTTTTCGTCTAGAGCAATATCTAGCCGAAGAGTTAGCCGGAGAGAAGCCACCGGCTGAGGAATCGCTAAGGGAACTTGGTGCTTTGATCGACAAATGTGGAGGGCTGAAGACCGTTCTCGCAATGGCTCCTGCGATGAAAAAATACATTCATTTCGCTCAAGGTATTCGTCTACTCCGGTGAGTGACAGATAGTTGGAAGGCTTATCCTGGCGTTATGAATTTGCAAGCCAGGAGAAAGATAAAGCTAAATAGGATTGTATGATCCACAAGACCGGGTTTGGATAAATTCTTGGATGTATCTATGCAAACTGTCCTACAATCAGATTAAGATCTTCAATTCACTGCACACGAACTAGCCGTACCCGTAGTCGTCGGATTTCGATGCCTCGTCACAAAACGTCCAATCAATTCTTTGGTCTTAATCTGATTGATCCGTAAGTGGCCGGTGATCAATGATATCCTGATGGGGAAGTCAAAATGTCTGCCTGTGCCAGACCAGACTAAGGAGCTATATGTAACCTGTGCCACAATGCACTCCAATTCTGTTGTCTAAGCAGGAAGCAGGAAGCTTGCGCAGAAAGAGATTCTGTTTGGAAGAGCTTCGATGAACACTCTCAGTTCAGAAACATGCAGGACTTGGACTGGTGCATGCCCTATCGGATTTCTCCGATTGCCATTTCTGTGGAGGTATTAGAGGTGCACATGGCAGCATACTGGGCAGCGCTCGTATCACAATCACGGGGTTCTATTGCTGGCTTGAATTAATGGTCTCCTCATATTTTATTTTCAGGGAAATGACTAAACCTTTGATCTTTGGTTCTCAAGTCGGTTCGTTTGTTGGGGCGCGAAGCCGACGTCAATATGTTCGGCAATTGGCGAAAGAGTCACGCCGATTGCATCATGAAAAGTCTATCTTCTCGGCTATTGTGCTCAAAACTGTTTCTTGTCATTGCCACCTAATCTCCGTGTACCCCGGATTCCCCGCATTATGACTCGTTTACTAAACAGCAATCCGATTGGTCTGGGGGCAGCATATCAGCTTCATACTCAAAACTCTAGCTGCACTATTACTGTCATCAGTATATCAAGCTACGGAGACCATGCACGATAAATCTATAGCGATATTCATCGCTTTAACTAGTCTTGTTCAATCCACATCTCGGTGCTAACTGCTTGGTATCTTATCCATATCTTGTGATTCACATTATACCTGAAAGCCTTCATTTCGGGGTTCAACAAAGGCACCATGGCACCTGAACAAGAGAAAGGAAATGCTCTTGCTATCGAGAATGTTCACTCAGACATTGCCGCAAGAGCGAGAGCGAAATACGAAGATGGCGACTAATTTGCTGATGATAGTGAGGTTGCGATAGGAGTCATTGGCGGCGCTTCAACAGATGACCTCCCCCCAAGGTACTACAAGAGCTTTTCTTTTGTGGCCACCGTGCTAGCAATTTCCTTTGGGACAAACGCCTTGTTCCTGGGTGCGAGTATGCCTTCAACGTTATCACCTACATCAATGAGGATATCGGTCCCAACTCCAACTATACTTGGATTGCCATTATAGTAAGTGTTTCGCATGCAATTGTTGATTGGGACAATTGAGGATATCGTTTTCGGGGAATTTGATTCCCGGATAACATCTCACCCCAGCCCTGTCTATTCTGGAACTTTGCCCTTGAGGTTCCTTTGGGCTCTTTCTCATCTTATGTTCCTGTACTAATAGAACTACTCCAGTTTAGCGTGACATTTGCATTCTCCCTTTTGCTTATAGGCCGTCTGAGCGATCTTCTAGGAAGGCGCTGGATATTTATCGGAAGCACCGCAATAGGTCTCCTCGGTTGTATTGTTGCTGCCGCTGCTCGCACAATTCCCGATGTTATTATTGGAATGGCATTCATCGGCATCAATGCCGGTGCTCAGCAAAGCTCTCCGATGATTCTTGCAGAGCTTGTTCCCAATAAACACAGATCATATGTTTCCGCTGGTGTGGTCAATTCTGCAGCACCACTGACTATCTCTGGACCAGTCTTTATTCGACTCATGATTCAGAACATATCACATGGTTGGAGGTGGAGCTTCGGAATAGCCGCTATCTGTAACGGCCTTGCTGTTATATGTTTCTTTTTTGGCTATCACCCTTCAAGCTTCAAAATGCTACACGCGCGCCGTGGCAATGTCTCCGCATGGAAGATGGTCGACTTCGTTGGGGTTTTTCTTTTTGTCGCTGGGATGCTCCTATTCCTTCTCGGTCTTTCCTGGGGTGGAGCCACACATCCTTGGAAGTCTGGAATGGTAATTGGCTTCATCGCGGGCGGAGCTGTGCTCTTGATTCTATTCGTTCTTTGGGAGATTTACAGTGCCAAAGAATACCCGCTTCTACCGACGCATCTGCTCAAAAATCGTCCATTCATGGGTGTCGTGCTTGCTTGTGGTATCTCGACGATGACATATTTCGCACTTTAGATCCTTTGGCCGATTCAACTTACCATACTTCACCCTGCTTCCTTCATATTGATAGGGTCTAAGAGCTGCGTCTGTGAGTGATACACCTACGAAGAGCCTGCCCTAACTATTCCCCTTTTTTCGGCGTTGAGCCGAGTACTAATGATCATTTAGTACAAAGCGGTGTCGTGATTGGTTATGCAATCTCTGCATGCGTTATGAAACCTATTGGAAAGCAGAATTTGCAGTTCATTGCGGGGATGGTTGTTCTCGCCGCCGTCATGGGTGGAATGGCTGGAACATCACCATCCACTGAAGCCATGGCACTGGTGTTTCTTTGCATAACCGGTGCCAGTATTGGATGGATTGAGTACCTGTCGATCACCCTTGCCCCGTTTTGCTTGAAACATGATGAACTTGGCATTGCGATTGGAACCCTCGGAACTTCAAGAGCGGCTCTTGCGGCGATCGCCCAAAACGATTTTCGTCACCATATATGACAATAAGATTGTCACGGAAATTCCAGCATACGTGAGCCCTGCAGTGATTGACGCAGGCCTACCATCCTCATCCGTTCCCGCTTTGCTCGCTGGACTTGCATCGGGCAATCTTACGAACGTCCCCGATATAACTCCACAGATCATTGCCGTGGCAGAGACGGCTAACCAGGCTGCGTATTCCATTGCTTTGGGGGGCCTGGCATTAATCGCTTCACTTTTTGCTCCCAACTCGGAATCGAGATTCAATTCAGCAATCTCCAGAAAGCTCCATGGCAGGGGTATCGACGAGAGGAGGGCTCAGGACACATCTAGCGAACCAAGCCCGTAAATGTTCTTTGCCTCTCCTTGGAAATAAGAAAAGAGAGTTTGACAGGGCTATCAATTCCTTTCGATCATTTATCCCGATTGATTCTACTTCAAGTTATTCGTTTCGGGCTCTTTTCTACCTCTTGTAAGTAGGAATCGACTTATTCCTAATATCTTCCGTTTGGCAAATAGTATAGTTCTTCATGGTTTATTGTTTTCTGGACCCAGAACCCTCTGTGCATCAAGCCACCGGCTCCGAGGAGCTGTTAAAAGGGACAATGAGTGCGTATACCTAGTAGATGGTTAGGTATAACCAGCTAAAGAGGGCTGTACCTATTTACCATAGGTAAGCGCAGTTCACTTTCCCTTCTTAGCAAGTCTGAAACATGTCACACCAAATAGTGTACAAACTTGTTCAAACATGGGCATGTTATCCTTGCGCAAGTCAATTCAGCTATAATGGGTGATATCTTTTCCCATACATACCTGGCTCCTCAGGTGTCTACTAGCTTTAGTCCTAACTCTTCCTCCAATGTATAGCTACTGCCTTCTTTATTTCCCGTCGCTCTTCTTCATTCTCAGCACTATCATTCCGAGCAGATGACGGCTTTGTCCCTCAACACACTTTGTGCCTAAGAGTGTAGCACTGTGAAAGGTTCAACAGCCTGTGCACTAAACGTAATGTCTAGGTTCGGCAGGAATCAATTCGCTGAAGAGTGTCACGCGGTGCACCCAGTTGCGCATTCCAGGTACTTCCCGCCGCATTATTGGCACATGGACTAAGTAGGATGTACGGCCGGTTGCTGTACACTGCGCACGCTATATCAGGATGTCCGGGAGCGAGATTCAGGCAGATATCCTATGAGACTGCTATTCAAGGGATCCGACAACAGCGCTAGCTTGTCTAAGTGTTTCTCACAAAAATTCTTTCGTTCTCATTTGTTTCTGAATCATCTGCTAGCTTAGAGCGTAATTCATAATAAGTCGAGCGAGTCCGCAGTGGGAAAAGCATCCTACCAAGGATATATGTCGAAGCTGACATGGATTGTCGGGCCTTTTTCCGGTAGGTACTTTGCTGATTACATGGCCTCAGAATGCTATCAGTACGTTCAGAATATGGCGCGTAGAAGAGGGATTTTGAAATTCTTCTGCTCTGTTAGAAGGCACCCAGGCTGTTACGGTACAAGAATCTCACTGAAGCTTTGTTGACCGAATGCAGCAAGCCATCATGTACGTTCTTGAATCAGGAAATGCAGGCTTTTGAGTCTTAGGTGAAAAGTTGGACTCGAGCTATAGAACAGAAAAAGCGCAGACAACAGCCACCCTAAAGTGCCTATTTAAAGTAGTCTGAACTATGGGCAGCTTTCGAGTTGGGGTGGTTAGGTACATTGCCTGCTATATATAGGAATGCATCACCCTGCAAGAAAAGGAACTCAGACCGACAACTGACGGTAAGAGGCGATATTAGTCTATACACCCAACACGTATAACTTGTCTTTCTGAGTCGTCACAATGCAGCTGATATGTACCTGAAGAAAACATCTGCTCTATATAGCGGCTTGTGGTTGTGCAAATTACGTATCGGCAAAATAAAGCTGTCAGATGTGTAAACTTCTGTACCGGAAGAACATGGGTTGTAACGCATGCTCGTTTTTCTGCCGACAGAATATCTGGTCATATGCATACTAGCTTAGTTTTCTGCCGGCATAATCTAGTATGTAAGATTTTAGCTTTTTTCCCTGCAAATCTGAGAGAGTACAAGAGCGGCTTTCCGCGGTATAATCGATAACGTAAAAATTCGAGTTTCTGCCGGAAGAATCTGAGATGCAAGACAGTTTAAGAATTGCCTTACTCGTACTTTCTTAAGTCCATCTTTGTAGATGTCATCCATCAGCTCGTGAATTTGAATATCCTAAGATCTGAATGAAAAGTTATGAAGACAAATGAGGAGATATTGAGTACTTTCTTGTATTAAAGAATAAAGCCATTGAAGCTTCGTAGTAAGTGTACTACATGATGACAATGGGCACTAGCAATGAGCAAAGTACTAGATTCTTGAATGGATAATATTCTGGTGGTTTAATGTATATGTGCTATATGCAGTTTATTGGTATTCTTACGACTTACTCAGTATACTTGATCGAGTCGACTGCTGTAACAATAGTTGTAGAAGAGACTAGTGTTTTCGAAGTAGACTTGACGATCAATCAGACAAACACTTTTTCGGAGATCACTAGCGCTGGATCCATGCATCGAGCAATCTATCTGAAGGCAGAGGGAAAAACCGAGTATCCTCTTTTTCTGAATATACACAGTTATGGTGAAATCTATCTGGACCCTTTCATCTGGCTTTACTGGAACAGGAAGCTGGAATACTGCGTAGGACCTGTGCTAAACGTCATAAACTAACCAATCTCGGTCTCCGCCTCATCCCGCGTGCGGACAAGACAGCCACCGAATCTGCATCGACCAATCCACATTATAATCAAACTACGGATGTCATTCCAGGAGAAAGGTAGATAAGGGAGAGAAAAAGGAGGCGTTTTCCCTGCATCTCCGGGTCCAAGATCCACTCCACCCCGAGCCGTCTTGACCTCTTCATACTAGATAGATTGGAATGACAGGCATCAGTCACTAATCCACCATAGATCCAATCGTACCTTACAGCACTACAACCGCATAGGCGCTAACCGTTCGGTATACCTACCATATACTCTCGCCCTCCCTCCCTCTCTCTACCCCTGCACACTTTCCCTTAGGCTTCACATGTTCCCTCGGGTTGCTTGCTCGTATGAATAATGCACACGGTATACTCTCTCCACGGCTGAGGATTCAAGCGCAAGCGTCGTAATGTTGCTTGCGAAATCGCTAGCAATTAAGAGCACTGCATTCGTGATGTTTCATCTGAAGGGTGGCTGATACTGTAGCTGGCTGTTGCACTTGGCTTACTGGTTACTTCTTCTTAGGGGGCTGGTGGTACAATGCGGTAAGAGTGCGTCTATGATTCACAGATGGCATCATTTCAGTTCCATCTTCTGTCTGTCGCATACTCTATGCAGTGTGCATTCAGAGGTATACTTTCAACACGAATGTCATCATCGACGCTGAGCCAGCCATCAACCAATCCTGCCACAAACCACCATGACTACTACCTACTATGCAATCTACGGAGTATACATCATCAGTAAATAGAGTTCGGCCAGTACCTGCAGCTCTAGTAACCATACACCATACACCCTCATCACTCAAGTCCCATAATAACAACAACAACAGCAACCATAACAATAACACCAACAAGCAAGGATAGAGCCAAGTAGTACCAAGGTATTCCACCACCACGACGGTAGTATACCGCCCGCATACCAAGGATTTGGGAATGGAAGGTCCTGCACAAACGGGAACCTCGCTTCCCCACTTGGCTGGCTCAACCAATCGTAGTCCGCAATCGCGACGCACGCCAAGGCCACACATGACATGGGGCGATGGAGTCGGCTTACGCGGCTCACAGGCTGCCAGTGGGGTTGGAATGTAGTCACTGTCTCTCTTTTTCTGGGGGGTAGAGGGGGAATGATTATTATCTCATCATTGTTAGTTGGGTTGTTCTATTTTGGTGGTGCAGGGGATGGGGGGGGGAATATGGGTGCTTTGGTTGTGAAGAGGGGAGCTAATGTCTACTTTAGTATAGGTACTCGGTACTATTTGCTGCCATAGTGTCACGTCACATAGTAAGGTATTCTGTTAGTACGTACTACTAAGTGACGGAGTCCCAAGCCTCCTGTGATTGGCTTGGCACCTCACCGCCTCGGCCGCCGTGTACCTGGGCTAGATATTACCTATTCCCCAGATAGCCTGGAATCCACCACACTCAACACTCTCATCAAGGAGTATGTGGTTTTGTGAACTCTGTAGTTTGTGCGGAAAACTCCGGGCTCGTGGGCGCAGGGTCATACTAGCAGTCCCGCGGCACTGGCAGAATTGATTTACCATTTTTGATCATCGATAGATATACGCGGGTAGTAGTCATTGATTTGTATAGTTTATCTTTAGACACGGTCTGGTATCATTCAGTCCAGTAAAAGTGAAGGGTGGGCTTCTTTCCACTATCTGTGTTCTTCAGAACTTCCTGCATTTCTGGTGTGTCGAGGTTGGTGGGCAAAGTAGTGTGCACATCACAAGCAGCCGCGCCTTTACTGGCCCCAAATGTGGTGATTCCCCCGGATCCAAGGCTGTGCACAGTACGTAAAATATACCTGAAAGTATACAAATATCTAATATCGAAATCCTGAATTGACTCCCATCAACCGCCCCTGATATCGCTCCATGACCTCCCCAAGTTTCACCATCACGCCCGCAGCCAGAGTCCGCACCTGCTCTCGTGGATCACTGGCGTCTTGCACGGCAGGCGTCCGGTCGAAAACTCCCCCAACCCAGTCACGGAGTTCCACGACTTGTGTCGCAAACTCGGTTACAAGCCGTTCTTCACCTGTTGTGCCACATACCACATTTAGGTCCACTATGGCTAGAAACAGTGCGAAAAGCGCGGAGAGGATACTGGGGTCATCGGCGAGCGGGCGGCCGTGGAGCGATAGTAAAAACGACAAGGTCTCTTCAGTGAGGTTGGGCAGGTACGGTGTATGAGGGCCCATGCTCGAGAGAATGAGGGTGAGCGTTTGAATGAAGAGACAGAGGAGGTGTGGCACGTAAAAGGGATTGTAGGAGGGAGCAGTGGACCTAGAGATAGTAAAGTCAGCTTAGTTCAGAAGTCTAAGCCGGAGAAGGAGGCTTACGAGCCAAACTGCATCATCATCATCTCAAATCGACCCTTGAGAGGAAAGAAAAAACCTTGAGCCAGCACCTTGTATAGGTCTTTGATTGTTGACTTCTGCCGCTGTGCTTCGCGTTGCTGGCGTCGCTTTTCGACCTCCATGCGCGTGGAGAATGTGCGCACCTTGAGGGCATTGGGACCGGTCCGTGATTCTTCAGCATGGGCGGCCAGCGGCTCTAGGGACGCTTGCGCCATCGATCGAGTCAGGCTTGCTAAGGGGGAGTCCGTCGAGTAGAAGGCTTCCAGGCTGCTTGGTAGCTTCTTGGAAGGGAAAGAGGCGTCTGGTAAGCTTGGAAGACCAAGATTTTTGGCGTCTGCCTCGCCGTTACCAGCTAACTCGCGAGCACTTAAGCCTAGTGCGGTCAAGACCGCAGAGCGCTGAGGTTGGGAGAGATCTCCATCAAAGAATAATGCTGCGAACCAATGACCCATTTTCAGCGGCTGGGAGACGATCAAGGCAATCATGCTTTGAAGCTGGTACTCAAGGAACTTGGAGAGTTTTCCCTGCTCCTGCAGGCTTACCACCACCAGAGCTAATTCCTCGATATTCTCAGCAAGCTCAGTTCCGAACCCAGTCTTGCGTCTTATCAAGGACGGAGCAGTAGAAACAGCCAGCTCATAGCGTTCCACATTCTCAGTATCTCGCAAGTAGGTGATGAGGTCCCGAATATACCTAGTATATCAGTCAGCGATGCCGCGGCGAAAGCTGGCTTCACATCTTACACAGGTGCAGTAGGCTTGTTCCTCTGGACTAAGGTCGGATCTTCGTCGTCATCTGAGAAGTCCTCATCCGGCTTTTCGTAAGGAACAAGATCTTCATCTTCGGATTCCTCTTCCGAATCCTCGACCTCTTCGATCGCAACAATCTTGGTACTTCTCATATTGACCTTCTTCGAAGGGCCTGTTCCCTTTACGAAAGAGACTTTCCGAGAAGGCGTTCGTTGCATCCCTGATGTTGCTTCTTTGAGGACCTTGATTGAATCGGAATATCCTACACTGTCCTGCAAAGTGAGCAAGCTCAAATACCACTTTGCCTCGTCACTCTCCATCTCCTCGAGGTCAAACCTCATTCCTTTGCCCGCTGGTTCAATTAATGAAGAGATTGCGGTACCAATGAGCATTCCGAGGAACCGTGCTCGCCCAGAAGAAGCTGCCAGGCGATTAGAAACAGCATTCAGAAAGATCCCAGACCGTCCCACACGCATTACCTCCAGCGGATCAGTTTGCTGAAGATACCCGCAAGTCAGAAGGATGATCTGCGTGTTTGCTGGTTCATGTCAGTAAAGAGAAGAGCTATAGATAGCGAGACTAAGTACCTTCTTGACATCTGATTGGAGCATGTTGAATATAGAACGTGTCACCGGAGTAATCGAGACTCTTTGTCACCAAAGAGACCATTAGATCTCGAGATAACATGTCAGCACTGAAGTCAATAACATGATGCTTGATCCCCTCACCTGTCATATTGGCAAAACTGGCCACTATCGCACGGCGCAACTCTGTGGTATGTATCGAGCCGCCCTGACCTTTTGATAGCCATTCAACTATCTGTGCTTGTATTTGTGGTCTATCCTTTGTGACAAAGGAACACAAAGCTGCAACAGCACTAAGCACTTCTTGAGAATCATTCTCCATCTCACCAGGAGTGATGCCTGAGAAATGTTTCTTCTCAATGTCCCTAAAAATTGCTTCTATGAATGCGAGCTGCTCATTCGGCCGGAGATGATCGAAAAGAAGGCCATATCGCTGAATGTTTGCATCATTTATAAGGAGACACACGTAGATCTCCCGAACCAGCTGGTCTGGCATTCAAGTTAGGCAGTGGGGACTATCATATAGCGAAACATCTTACCAGTGTATCCAAGACTCAAAGATCGGCCGGTCAAAAGAGCCACGGCTTTCCAAGCATCCTCCTTATCGAGAGATATCTTTGAAGCCACAAGGCATATATTGGTTCCAAGCCAGGAGGCGTACCTGGGCCCGTCTCCCACCCATGACAGTGATTTCGTCCCGTCAAGGTCTTTGATCAGCGATATCGCCTCCGCAGCTGTTGAAAGGACCCTACTAGCAGCAACGTGAGAAAGCAACTCCTTCCATGCGACCTGTTTCTGAGCCGGGTTATGATAGAGACTCTCAATCTCGGCGTATAGACGATACATCAGATCATCTGGCTCTAGTAGAGCACATATCACTGACAGAATGTCTCTGGCCTGGGCCTGGTGGCCAGACGCACTCGCTTCCTGGGCCGATGATCGACAGGCAGCGATGAGAGAGCGGAGTTGCGTCAACAAGCAGCTGATACCTGCGACACTGCTGAGACATCTCAGCAAAGCCGCGCGTAATTTGGAGCTCGATTTGGATCTCCGGGATTCTGCACAAAGGGAATCCCAATGATCCGGAATGGTAACAGTGACCAGAACATTGAGTATTTGCGCTGTTTTGGGAGCCGGGATTCGAATGTCAAAGTCTTCTAGCTCATTCGTTTTACTTGACGGGTCAATTACCGCCAGAATTTGAGCGAGCTGATCCTGGTCGGGCTTGAATTTCAAGCGCGCGAGTATACTTTCCGGTGACGAGACATCCCAATCAAGTTCGGATACAACCCGCTTGTCGGAAGTGAGTTCAGCAGGCGATGGCTCTGCAGCGGCTGAGATTAGAGTCTCTCGATCAGGCGTAACTGTCTTCACAGCCGTAAGAAGACTGTCCATCGCATCAATGGATGACTGTGTAAATTTGGATTCGTGGTGTCGCAGAGCAAAATCACACTAGGTGGAAGGAGTTTGTATGGACTGCCGGGTCACGTGAGGCGGCTTTGTGTTCGGATTCCCTCGACGCTTCCATCAGTCAACGCCGGACTGGTTATCCTTCGTCAACATCAAAGCTCGTGTGCTTTCATCATCCGCATTGCTAGGAACTTGCAAAAGCTGGAGTAAAAGGCTGGTCATATCCTCCAACTCGTCTTCAGCTACAGCAGCTATATCACAATCAACTTATCAGTGGTATCACCGCGGTACCAGTGAGATACACACGCTCCAAAGCCTAGAGTATCAGCAGCCCGAGTCTGTAACCTTGGCTACTTCATAAATACCACACCACCCAAGATGGTCGAAATAAATCAGACGCTTCGATGGTAAGGCTTCTGAATTTGGGTGTCTAAGGTCATAGGAGCTGAGTTCGTCCAGGAAGCACTTGTATAATGTCTTGTCGAGACCTGGTCCATTCAGTGATGAGGATTGGGTTCCCGGACCAGAGACGATAAGCGCTTTGGAATCCTCAAAGATCTTGTAAGCAACAGTGTTCGTATCAGTAGCCATCCATACTAACACAGAGATAGAGTCATGTGAGCTCAAATCCCAGCATCAACGATCTGATAAGAGCTAATATGATCACCGATAGAGGTGCTGGAGGTTTGGGGTGTGAGATCCTGAAAAACCTGGCCTTATCAGGCTTTAAAGACATTCACGTCATTGACATGGGTAGATTGGCCTCCGTCCTATTGCGCTGCCTGAACACGAGCTAAATGACAAATGCAGATACGATTGATATCTCGAACCTCAACCGACAGTTCTTATTTCGTCAATCTGATATAGGCAAACCCAAAGCCGAGGTTGCGGCTGCCTTCGTGGAAAAACGTGTCAAAGGCGTCAAGATCACCCCATATGTCGGCAAGATCCAAGACAAGGATGAAGATTACTACATGCAGTTCAAAATCGTTGTCTGCGGCCTCGACAGTATCGAAGCCAGACGGTGGATCAACTCGACGCTGGTCAGCATGGTCGATTTCGAAAACCCAGAGAGCCTTAAGCCGCTCATCGATGGTGGGACTGAAGGTCAATATTGATAATCCCACCCCCAGACCTCCCTGCAGGTTTTGTCACCCAGCGGAGGCTTACTCATGATACAGGATTCAAGGGCCAAGCGCGCGTGATTTTGCCGACGCTCTCATCCTGCATCGAGTGCCAGCTGGACATGCATGCGCCCCGACCTGCTGTGCCTCTTTGTACCATTGCCACGATTCCACGCCAGCCACAGCACTGCATCGAATGGGCCCATCAGATTGCCTGGCAGGAACAACGCAAAGACGACACCTTCGACAGCGACGACCTGGAGCACATTGGCTGGATCTACAATGCGGCTCTGGAGCGGTCCAAACAGTTCCAGATCCCCGGAGTTACCTTCCAGATGACCCAGGGCGTGGTGAAGAACATCATCCCGGCTATTGCCTCCACCAACGCTGTCATCGCCGCGGCGACCACATCTGAGGCGTTGAAGATCGCCACAGCCTGTAACCCGTACCTCGAGAATTACATGATGTACGCCGGCGAGGAGGGCGTCTACACCTATACGTTCGAGGCGGAGAAGAAACCCGATTGTCCCGTCTGTGGCAATCTCGCTCGCAAGATGACCGTGGATCCGAACATGACATTGGAGGCTTTTATTGAAACGCTGGGGGAGCGGCCGGAGGCGCAACTCAAGAAGCCCAGCATGCGTACAGAGGAGAAGACTCTCTATCAGCGATTCCCTCCCCAATTAGAGGAGCAAACCCGACCCAATCTGAAGCTTAAGCTTCGTGATTTGATCGAGGATGGCCAGGAGATCGCAGTCAGCGATCCGGCTTACACTATCGACTTCCGATACAGGCTGGATTTCAGCTAAGATCCAAGCACGGTAGGCTACTGATATACGAATTCATTATGCGAGATCCCGATGACAATCCCTAGCCAAGAAATACGAAGTCAAATCTGCTTTTCTATTTCAAAGAAGTTTCCGTGTCCAGACTCCCGACAAGTAAAGAAGGCTATGTGACCAACTTCTCGTAAACGTATAAACATAGGAAAGAAAGCACAGGAACGGTAAAGAGATAAAAGAATAAAATTTCCAACGCCAGGCCAATGCATTATATAGCTTCAAATCATTTTAGGTGGGGGCAACGAAGGAGACCGAATTAGCGCACAAGGTCAACGAGGCCTCGCTTCCATCTCGCGCATTTCAGCTTCAGCACCTTCACGCTCTCCAAGAACAGAACGTCACTGTCGAACTGGCCAACACTCTCCACGTTGAAAATGAAGTGGTCACGAACGCGACCGAGCTTGACCTTGCCCTGGAACTCCTCGTGTCTCAAACACTCTCTGCTGACGGTATCCTTGAAAGCATCGCGAACGACGGCCTTCATTTCACCCTCATGACCTTCGTACCCGCTTCCCTTCTGCGAAGCCTCCTCACGAGTGACCTGTTCAAGACCAATGACCCCGGCGGGGAAGCACTTGACGAACTTGCGAGCATCTTCACCGATAATGGGACGTAGAATCTTGATGTCGGGAAGGAGACGGTACGAGGCGGTAGCGACCGGAGAGAACTTGGCGTGATCAGCACCGATGCCCTTGATAACGTGCAACTCCATATCTATCTTCTGACCGGGGCGGAGCTTGGCGATCAAGATGTCTGGGTTGACCGGCTGGATGGCATCGTCGCCCACGAAGAACTGTTCCTGGCGACCGACAGGATGGAAAGTGATGTCCTTGGCGTAGACGTGGGCGTGTTTGTAGAGTTTGCGGGGGTCGTCTTCCTTGGGATCCACGTTGGTGTTCTTCTCGCATTTGACATCCAGGCGCAAGACAATGGTGTTGAAATCGCTAGGGGTGCTTCCGCCCTCCGGATCGTCCTCGGTGGGCTTCTTGAACCAGCGCATCCAGTTGATACCCTCAACGGAACCCTTGAGGGGAATCAGACCCAGACGTTGAGCGAGCACCTCATCCTGGATGACCGAGGTGTTGTTGTGAACGAAGACAAATTCAATGGCTATGCTGGGAACCTCAGCCATGAGGATACGGCGGAAGGCATTGGCGATGGATGCATCGAGGCCGACCAGCGAGAAAGAAGCTTCGAATTGATCGTTGCGGTGAAACTCGACGTTGAAGTTCTAGTTCGTGATTGGATTGTGAGCGCATGCGCAAAAAAAAAAAAAAAAAAAGAAATGGCAATAGGGAAGCTGAGCTGAGCTGAGCTGAGCTGAGCTGACATACATCGCGGAATTTCCCCAGGTTCCATTCGTGCGACTCACCAGGCCAGTGGCCGGGGAAATCTGTCGAGGCGAAGTTGGAGACGGTTTCGGGATTAATATCAACAATCTAGAATCGCAATTAGCCTGAGTGGTTGTTATAGCTGTCAAAAACAGAAGACAGAAGACCAGACATACCCGTCTACGTTGAAGTTCCTCCTGCGAAGCGATGAGAGGTGCCATGATGGGCGACAATAGCGGGGGAATGGAGAAAGGTGACGGAGGGACAATAATTTGAAGCGAATCTCAGAAAAGTTCTTTGACCGCAGCGGCAGTATTTTCTGCAGGCCAAAAGGCGGAAAGGAGCGGGATGATCACTAAAATGCACCTAGCGGGAATGGGTGGAAGATACACTAGGAGTCTGCGCAATAGAGGGCGGGTGGAAGACCAACCAGAGACAGCCTGATGACCAGAAAGCTCCTCTCACGTGACTACCCAAAATGTATCTCGATTGGAAAGCGCAACCTCCAGAAGGCGTCACTGAGTCCGCCTCAATCCCACCGCGATTCCCGCATCTCCACCCCTCCTTCCAAGACCCCAATTGTGCCTGGGCTGAGGGCTGTTCGCCTCTAATCTCCCTCGTCCTTCTAATTCTCCCCCGGTCTTCCGAATGGCTGCTCCTTTCGCTCGCCTGGCGGGCAATGCGCCCAAAAGGCTTTGCCTCCGCCCCTCTAGCTACTTCAGAAACACTGCTATCTCAAGATGCCGGTCGATCTCGACGACTCTTTCTCGCCGGCAGGCCGAGCCTACCAGCTATCAGGCGACCAGACTCGTTCCGACTGACCCGACTTTCGCATCTTTCGTCAACAAAGAAGGTCCTTCCGAAGACGAGTACGCCGCCGATATGGAGTCTACGGACACAGGGGCTAATCGCAAGATTCGCCATTACACCGTCAACTTCGGTCCTCAGCACCCGGCTGCCCACGGTGTGCTTCGTTTGATTCTGGAACTCAATGGTGAAGAGATCATTCGCGCAGATCCCCACGTCGGTTTGCTCCACCGTGGTACCGAGAAGTTGATAGAGTACAAGACCTACATGCAGGCTTTGCCTTACTTCGACCGGTTGGATTATGTTTCCATGATGACCAACGAGCAGTGCTTCTCCCTGGCTGTTGAGAAGCTGCTGAATGTCGAGATTCCCGAAAGAGCCAAGTGGATCCGTACTTTGTTCGGCGAAATCACCCGTATCCTGAACCACCTCATGTCCGTTCTTTCACACGCCATGGATGTTGGTGCTTTGACGCCATTCTTGTGGGGTTTTGAGGAGCGTGAGAAGCTCATGGTAGGCAGTGTTGCCCGTACGGATTATGATTTAATGAGCTAACATGTGATTGTCTGTCCCAGGAATTCTACGAGCGAGTTTCTGGTGCCCGTCTCCACGCTGCCTACGTCCGCCCCGGTGGTGTTTCCCAGGACATTCCCATTGGCCTCCTTGACGATATCTACCAGTGGGCAACACAGTTCGGTGACCGCATCGACGAGACTGAGGAGCTGTTGACGGACAACCGTATCTGGAAGGCCAGAACCCAGGGTGTCGGTGTCGTTAGCGCCGCCGAGGCTCTGAACATGAGTTTCACCGGTGTTATGCTGCGTGGATCTGGTGTTCCCTGGGATATTCGCAAATCTCAGCCGTATGATGCTTATGACCAGGTCGAGTTCGACGTGCCCGTGGGTGTGAACGGCGACTGCTACGACCGTTATCTGTGCCGTATGGAGGAGTTCCGTCAGTCCCTCCGCATCATCCACCAGTGCTTGAACAAGATGCCCGCTGGTCCCGTCCGTGTTGAGGACTACAAGATCTCCCCCCCTCCTCGTGCCGCTATGAAGGAGAACATGGAGGCTCTGATCCACCACTTCCTACTCTTCACCAAGGGTTACTCTGTGCCCCCGGGTGAGACTTACTCCGCCATCGAAGCTCCCAAGGGTGAAATGGGTGTGTTCCTGGTCAGTGACGGTAGCGAGAGACCCTACCGCTGCAAGATTCGTGCTCCTGGATTTGCTCACTTGGGTGGTTTCGACCAAGTATCCCGTGGCCACTTGTTGGCTGATGCTGTTGCTATCATTGGTAAGTTGGCAGCTATTCTGCGCGAGAGAAGCCAAACCGCTAACTCTCCCTTAGGTACTATGGATCTTGTGTTCGGTGAAGTCGATCGGTAGAGTTGGATGAAGCGTTGCTAAGTATTCCGAAGGCCTGTAAAACAACTCCAAGACACGCGATTTCCGATATGTGGCACCAAACCATTATCTCTTGCTATTTAGAAGCGAATACAAATGACAAAGACAGAGAAACCATTAATCGTCTGTATCACTTGTGCGTGTGTGGGATGTTTGTGGGACGAGGGAAATGGTATATCAGTTGTACCAATTGGGTTCAATGGCGTTGACACTGTTTATTCTTTCTGGTTTCTTATGTTTTCTGTCTTGTCTCCTGCCCTGTAACCCACGAATTCTCATTTTATATCTTCCCCCCCCCAAAAAAAAAAAAAAAAAAAAAAAAAAAAAAAAAAAAAAAACCCCCCCCCCCCCCCCGACCCAATTGTGTATAGTGACACTCGAAATTCTTCTGATTACTTTTAGATTTTGAACCGGGGAACAGAGAGGAGATTGGATAGAAGCATATAGATCATGCAACATAGTCAAGAGGGTCGTGAAGTTGACCTGATCATTTCCAAAGGAGACGATCACGTGGCAGATGTAGTGGTCAGGTGACCAACGCTGGGGGGTGGGGGGGAGGATCGGCGGCGGCGGCAGCTGATCGACGGGCGGAGCTACTCTTTCCATCTTCGACTTCTGGGGTTTCAACTCTCTGCCTCATACAATCACTATCTTCTTGCGCTTCCGCTTGTTCTTCTTCCTTAGAATCACCTACTCCCACATTCACACTCACTCTCTGGTTATTTATTCATATTCCTCTCACATTTCCAGCCTTTTTCCCATCCAAGACGCTGCGTTCGTGTTCGTATCTCCCCCACCTTTGAGTTTCCAGACGTCATACCTCTGTGCGCTGCCTCCGATCTGACCGTACGACTCCTCCGCGGAGCCTCAACGGTCAACCGGCTATACTTTTTATCTGGCGCTGTTCGCTCTAGGTTTCTGAGTGTATCTTATTCAAGGACCTGTGCTCAAGATGTTCGCCACAAAGCGATTAAGCAAGGTATTCTCTCTCTCTCTCTATTCTTCTTCTTCTTCTACCCCTCTCCAACGACGACCTTTCACCAGCTAACGTTACACTGGCGCAGGAGCTTATCAAGGTAAACGATCTACCACCCACTTTCTTTCCCTGCTATTACTTCGACAAAATGACAATACATAATTCATCAACACATATACCTGGAAACTTGCTACGTTCCAGAAAACACTCGAAATAGAATACAAGCTAACGAAGTCGGTCATTCGCACCCTTGACAGATCAAAGAACACCTCCCGCCGGGAATCTCCATCGTGAAATCCGACAATCTGGAGGAATGGCAAATGGACATCAGAGTCCTCGATGAGAATCCTCTCTACCTCAATCAAATATACCGTTTGAAATTCACATTCAACAACAAATACCCAATTGGTAAGTTGTGATCTGATGTTTCTGAACCGTGGGAGGTGATTCCAATGTGAATCCATCCCCTCTACCCCGCCAAATAACCCCCATGACTGTTTTCCAGCGACCCTTCCCTCCCCCCGCGATCTCCTCACCTCCAATAACCCCACCCACTGAGGGAACCCCTCCCCCCGCCCCCATTAACTTTCTTTCATATGGTACCATGCGTTTTGAATAATCATCATATAGACTAACCAAACAAAACCCATATACGATAGAACCCCCAGAAGTCCAATTCATCGAGTTGCCAACCACCTCCGAGACCCCGCGCCCGATCCCAATCCACCCGCACATCTACAGCAACGGGATCATCTGCCTGGATCTCCTCAGCTCGGCCGGCTGGTCGCCCGTGCAGACGGTTGAAAGCGTCTGCATGAGCATTCAAAGCATGCTCACGGCCAACAGTCGCAACGAGCGGCCCCCCGGCGACAAGGACTTCGTCTCGTACAACCGTCGCCGGCCGCGGGATATCAATTTCATGTATGATGATGATAACATATAGCCTCGGAGAGGTTCCGCGCAGCTTGGGGAGCTGCTGGGGCTTGTAGCCACAAATCACGGTGCTGAGCTGGGGAGGAGGCCAAGGGTATGCAGCGGAAAGGAAGTATTGATCTACTTATCCCGTTTGATATTGAGATGAGAGCTGAGAATTTGGTTTCCTCGTTTCTTCTTACTGGGATATGTTCTTTGGATTTCGCTCCCTGTCTTTTACTTTTTCCCTTCTGTCCTGTTTCTTTTTCCCTTTTTGTTACGTATGATGCATGAGGCGTTGGCGCACAACGGGAGTTCTTCATCTTGTTTAGCTCCATAGTCTTTTCCCCTTGGACTCAAGGCCCTGGGGAGTTACATACCATTTCCTTACTCCTCCCACCTTCCTTTTGTCTCCTTCTCCAGCACTTGGGTTTGTCACATATCACTCATCATCGCCATTTCCTCTCGTCATTTCATACACTCAGTCTCAAGAGATGGAAATACTCCATTAATATAATTGCGCGATTCGACTGCGGCCATCACAATATCGCATAAATCCACTTGAATGTTATTTTGAAGAGTAAGAAAAGAAGGCCCACCACGGAAAGATGTTTAGATTTCTCGAAATTCACACAGATGGCCAAACCACTAGAAGATAAAGAAACTATGGACGGGGAATCATTAGAACAAAAAAAATGAAGAGAATTGCAAAAATGCAGCATTTCCCAACAATGCCCAAGAGATAAAAGACCAAGTGCCCCGCGGCAAGACGAGCAAAAGAGTCGCATAAGTGGCACACTTAAGATGGTAGATGGTTGGGTTAAGGTCATCTCTCGCGCTCTCTCTCACGCAGACCCACACACGCATCTCCTCTCTCTCTCCTTTACCCTTGCTTCTCGCTTTCAAGCGATAATGAATGGATTGGAAGAATGACTCAAGCAAATCAAGCATGAGAGCTCTTCTCGCGAGCTTCACGCTCGACGCGTTCGCGCTCCTCAGTCTCCTTGGCTTCGCGCACCTTGGCGAGGACGACCTCGCGGAAGATAGCGCCGCGGGCGACCTTGCTGAGACTACGCTTCTTGCGGCCAGTGGCGTCGCTTTCCGGGGAGGAAGGCGCGGATTTGCCGTTCGGAGAGGCCTGGTCGGCGGAATGGTTGTTGGCGACGGCAGGGGCAGCGGTGTCGCCGGGAGCGACCTCCACGGCGCTGGGGATATCGTCGTCGTCGTCCTCCTGCATCTTGAGCGACTCGATGCGGTTGGCCAGCTTGATGATCTCGATGCCGCGGCGGAGACGCGATCTCGCGATGTAGGCGCGGATCTCGGGCAGCAGGTCGCGGTCGCTGGCAGTCTCGCCGGTCAGCCAGGGATGCTTGAGGGCATGTTCCGAGGTCACCCGCTTGGCGGGGTCCGGTTGCAGCATCGTGAGGATGAAGTCCTTGGCATCTTGGGAGACGTCGCGCCAGTAACGTTCGTGGAAGATGATCCGGCCGGTGCGGCACTCCTCGATCAGGTCCGTCAAGTTCTCGGATCGGAAAGGTGAGTAGCCGCAGAGGAGGGTGTAGGTGATGACTCCGAGAGACCACATGTCTACGGCTTTGCCGTGTCCCTTTTTCAACATTACCTCCGGTGCAGCGTAACCGAAGGAACCCGCCATGCTGGTGAGCACTTCGCTGGGGCTATCCAACATCTTGGCAATACCGAAATCGGCCAAGACCAAGGGAGAGTCGGGAGCGCGAGTCAGATAAAGAAGGTTCTCGGGTTTCAAGTCTATCGCACATAAAGTTTTAGCTTGAGAGACAATACATGGGGTTTGAAACAAATCTGCAAGCCACACTCACCTCTGTGGACAATGTTGCGCTCATGCAGGTAATGGACTGCACCGAGCACCTGCCGGATCACTCGAGAAGCATCCTTCTCTGTGAACTTGCCACACTCGCAGATGCGATCGAACAACTCCCCACCCGTAGCCAGCTGTGTGACGATGTAGAACTTGTCCTATGGAGCTGTCAGAATACAGAGAAAAGCCAGCAGCGAGGTACAGCTTGAACCGACCTTCGATTCGAACCAATCGACAAAGTGGACGATGTTAGGGTGATTCAAGGCCTGAAGCATCTCCAGCTCATCGTACACCATTTGTTCATTGCCGCGGACATTCTTCTTCAGGATGATCTTGATTGCAACTTTGCCCTTGCTGCTATCCGCCTCCCGGACAATACCGTATGTGCCAGCACCGAGCGTTCTTCCAAATTTATAGTGGGCTCTATGCAGAGGAGGAATACCGTTAGTATAGCTACCACAAGCAGCAAGCATTGTTGTGAGTGAGGGGGGCGAGGTTGTACTTCTTCTCGTAACTCTCCGGCTGTCCAGACAGCTTGTTGAGCATATTTGAGACTAGAACGAGGATCATGAAATTAGCGCATTTTCGCTAAACTCTTTGATTATAAGGCGAATCGATGCGTATGAACAATACGTTCCCAAGACAGGGAAGAGAAACGCAAAGGGCAATGGAGACGACAATAAAGTCTCACGAGAATGGCGAACCAAGAAAGCAGAACAGAATGAGGAGTCCTCCCCAGACCCGGACAGTTGGGTCACAAACAAAGGTGATGGGGAATGAGGTGGTCATGGCTGATGATGCCTGACAGCCTTATGGCTCGAGCAAGATAGGATAAGGGAGCGATAGCGCTTCAAGGCGATTGAAAGTACCCCAAGGCGCAGGTCATATCGCATGGAACCAGTATGGGAGCTTATAGTACAAGCTAGAAGAAGGCAAAAGACGCACAACTCATCTCGATAGGTAGTAAGGCCGGTGTCAAGGCCGTGGAATCTAAAAAAGTAGTGTGCGGTGGGCTCTAGCCAGCGAGCGCGCGAAGAGCTGATGGGAAACCCCGCACGTGAGAAAAGGTAGCGGGGCGGTTCAAACGAGGTCGAGAAGAGCCACGTTCGAGCTTCGTAGGTGGTGTAATTGCACTAGATGAGCAGGATTATTCGGTGAGTATTTGATACGGATATGAATCGAAGGGTATAAACTGTGTGTGAGAGCTATGAGGGAGAAACTCTGGGGGAAAAGAGACGAGAGACGAATTTGCGGGTGGAGCGATAAGGGGGGGTAAACATGGGAGGGGCGGTACCTGGTGATTCGGCAATGCACGTGCAAGGCAAGGCAATGCAATGCAAAGAGCGAGAACACGACAGAAAATTGATCAGCCGCTCTGTAATTGAATAGTGCAAGCGAAGGGTTTTATTTGGAAAAAGAGAGGGGGAATGAGGAGAGAGAGAGGGAGAGGAAGAGGGAGGGAAGAGAGAGAGAGAGAGAGAGAGAGAGAGAGAGAGAGAGAGAGACAGTACAAAGTTCTGGCCCAGGCGATCAATAGAATTTAGCCCGTGGGAAGGAGAGCACAGCCACTACTAACGTTACGAGGTAGTTATCGGACACTCTGCCCTCCTGCTCATCAAACGCCCTCAGCCCAATGGATCAATAGTCTACAGTATTCTCTACACTGACACAATACCCTCGCAGTCATCTAACTATAGAGTTCTCTTTATAGTACCTCCACCTTACTTGAACTTTAACCTACACAGTACTACAGAGGTACTCGACACTCTAACCGTGTATGCAGCCTTGTGAATCAGGCACCCAGCCGAACCCAACGCACTGAACCTGAAACCGCCAGTCCCTGACGCTAAATCAGCCCTGTCTAATCTCCAGTCCCGGACACCCAATATTGGTGCCTCCTCTCTCTCGCTGATTGCAAATAGTTACTCAAGTCTAAGACACTAAGTACACAATCATAATGAACCCACAAAGCACCCACTGCGACTTTCGCAGTGCTGAAATGTTTGGCCTCTGTCGCAAATGCCATGTCTGCCACTAACTAAATTTAGCAATGCGTACTCGTACTGTGGAAATTAAGCCCAGGCAGCGAGCGACTTTTGGCCCCCAAGCAGTACAAGTACGTCGGAATCTGTCTCAGCTCCGACTCTCTCAATAATGGGTAATGGAAGCTGTCCTCCAGAGAGTAACTAATCACTTATTACCAGCCACAGAGTTCGTCGTTGTTTTCGAGCGTAGCTGATTGGATCATGCAGATTTGGAGCTATTATCTGAGCTCTGTGAAACAGACCTGACACGTTTCCTCGCTCGGCTATGCGACCCCTAATCGCCTGTCAGAAAAGTTACAATTTGATCACCGTGAACTTATGCGTGATGCTTCGTGTACTGTACAGTTCATCACCCAACTCCTGTGCATGCAAGAGAAAGCAGTGCAGCTGCGCATACAGCTGTACTCCATCTCAGTCCTTCTCTTTTCTTGTCCATCGTCATCTCGCGCTGGGGATTGACTCAACGATGTTACTCTCGACATCTCAAAGCCGTGCGGATGCCCTTCTCTTTTCGCATCTCGTGCAAGCGTCCTTCGACCAGCAGGTCAATTACCATCACAATTATAAACCCATCAAAGCCATGAACCAACCCAGCAACCATGCTATGCATATGCAATCCTGCTCGCTTGCTTGAACGCGGCACAGGAAACCCTCAAAGAACTCCAGTAGACCAACACCCAACGGCAAACAGACACAATATAAATCAAACGCCAACAACTCCTTGCCAATTTAGAGAAATGCAAGCAAACAGAGAATTAATTCTCCTCCGTGAGATAAAGCTCACCCAAGATCCTTGCGCAGTAGGCACGGTAGTACTCCTCTCCCTTCCAGCCTCGACGCCGGGACTTGATCCCGACCGTCTGCCACCCTTCACTGCGTAATCTCTGAATTCTCTGATCCATGCTCTCCGTAACAAGCGTTTGTCCGGAGCTCTTATCCGCAGAATTAGGACAAGAAGCAGCTGAAGAAGCGGACTTCCCGTCTTTCTCGTTGATGGGACTGAAACTCCAGAAAGAAGCCGAGCGGCGAACACTCTTCGATCTACGGCGAGTGAGCTGCATCTCGGTGACCTCTTCGATTGTGGCCTTGTTTCTCGCAATGCTCGAGTTGATCTGAGCTTGAAGAGAGCGGATGCTGCTGTTGAAGTTCGAAATGTGGCTCGAGTATTCGGTCGGGTATGGAGGAACCCTCTGTCCCCCATGCAAGTGGGAAGCGGCGTCTGCGCGCTCTCCAGGGTCGGGAGAAGATGGTCGAGCATGTCCTGTGTCAATTATGAGAGGAAGTGGATGTGCGCGAGCAAGGACGATCTTGTTTGTGCCGACCTTGTTGACTGCTGGCCGATTTATCAGGGCACTGGAGTCGTCTGTCTCATTTCCAGTTAATGCGTCACCAAGTGTGGTGTCCAAAAAGCTGGAAATCGATGCTCCGGAAGGCTTTCTAACGTTCAGTGGCGAAGGAACCAGAGAGCTGTGACTAGCACTCGAAGCCAGAATCTCAGTGCATAGCTTCTTATGCGACTGTCCGCTCTCATCACCACTGTCATGTGAGATGAAAGGATCTTCTTTCGCGCTGCCATAGTGGAGAGACCGCTCGATCATATCCGCCAGGCTGCTTGCAAGGCTCGAGGGCCTAGTTCTCGATCCCGGGGAATCACAATACGAGGAAGAGTCCGAGGGAATCGAAGTAAATAAAGCCTCGGAGGTGTTTGAATAGCGCTCAATAGCTGGAATTGGACCCGGAAGGACAGCACTGCAGGTGACAAAAGATTCTAGGGCCAAGTGCAGCAATGGAAGCTTGTTGCGAGAGTAATTGTGAGCGGACAGACCCATTGCCTCATAAGAGATAGCGCTGTAGAAGTAGAGGAAAGTCTTATGAACGGCGTGGATCTGGAATCATCGGTGTAAGTACTCGACTCACGCAAGCACGCTCGAGGAGGGTGATCCAGATACCCTCGACTCGCCTCCCAGGAGCTAGATACTTACTGGCTCTGGCGCGGTCCTTAGCACCTCCGAGACGCGTGCAGCGCATTGCTTGTATTGGCGCTGGGTATAGAGGAGTTTGATGGCTTGGAGGGCGACTTGCCAGTCTGCGAACGAGTGAGGATAGACGGATGGGCTGGATGGAGGGGATACGACTCTCGACTCAGCCATGATGGGTGAGGTCTCTGCTAGACTGGGTGCAGTAGGCGGAACGAGGAGGGGTTGGATGGTTGACAAAAACCGGTGGTTGCGAGGACTTTCAGGCAAAGTGCATATAGAAGATGGAGCAGTATCCACAATCACGTCTCTGACACGTCCAAGCGGGCCCCGTTCGTGTCGTTTTGGTGCCATGGTGTGTGAGCTGGGGAGACGGCAGATACAAGAATAAATCTTGGTTTCTTCATTGCATGAAGTCATGCATGTGACAGGTTGGAAGATTTACGGTGCATGGACGAACCGGTTGACTGCTCGCATTCCTAACCGGGATTTGCCTTCCCGATCTGAGTGCATTCTGAACGCATGCCTGACATTCCATCCCCGGCCGCCTACTCAGCCTGCCCAAAACATTTGACTTCAGGAATACTAAGATAGCTATACCGACGAAGAGAAACTTTTTTCATTGGTTTAAAGACCTTATTGGTTAACTGTTTGGAAAGAATGCACCTCGTTGAAGATACAATGCTCGAACCTGCAAGATCATTCTCTCGTGAATTCATGAGTCCATTATTTCCATCGCGTCAAATACATGCATGCAGCAAACTGCTTCATTTCCAAGTACTCCCCCAAAGATCTCCTTCCCTAGATCACTCGGAGTGTTCCGGAGTAGAAACAATGTCAGAGTTGACTTCCGCCTCAGGCCCAACCGTAGTCTGAGAAATTGCGCGACCCGTCGCGTTGAGAGCAAGTAGGAAGCCATCCAGCATTCTGTCCAGTTCCTCCCTGATGGCGTTTTCACCGGTTCCTTCGGTCAAAGCATCAAGCCGGGGAATGGGGACGTCGGGAAACCGTATTGGCTCTGTGTCTTCGGTAGATAGAATCGGAAGGGTGCGTCGAGTGGTGGGAAGAGGCTCGGAGGTAGGAGAGTCTGTCGTAGAGGGAAACGGCGCCAGATCGAGCTCTTTAACGGGGATAGCGGTGGGGAATGGCTCCGAGTGGGAGTGTACTCGCCCGGAATTGTTCTGCCAGGCAGGAGTCGACTCCTCCTCCTCATCTGGCCCTGGGCCGTCAAGAACGGGTGGCTCTTCATCTTCGCCGAATGACATTGTAGGAAAGTCCGACTCGTTGAAGGTCTTGGGCTCGCCAGCAGCGGGAGCTCCCGGGGGTGTAGAGGGACGGTCGAATCGGAAAGGATCGTAGTCGGCTTCAGAGTTGGCAGACACGTTGGAATCGCCGGATCGCGACGTCGAGGGTCGGGAATCGCCAGGTTCACCGATGCTCGAGTGTCGTACGGTGTCTGAGTTCTGGAAGTCCATGATAGGGGCTTTCAAAGTGTTGTCGCGACTGACATCGGCATCGCTTACGTTGTTCACAGGTACAGTGTTGGCAGGAGCAGTCATCACAGGGAATGTCCATTCCATCGTAGCGCGCTTCTCCGAGGTGTCTGGCTCAACTGGCTTAGGCCCTGGCGCTGGCTCAGGTTCGGACGTGGGTTCGGGCTCTGGATCCTCAGTGGCAGGCTGCATGAAAACTGGGAACTTCCAGTCCATGGTGGGGGGTCGCGGGCCGGTTGATGGTTGAAATGGAACATCGTCAGCATCACGAGTGCTGCTGAGACCGCTGCTTGAAGAACGAGAGCGACCGTCGGTGGAATTGCGCTGTTGACGACCGCTGGATCTGTTTGCACGAATAGTATCGGCGTCTGCGAGCTGGAAGGGCTGCGCAGATGAAGCTCCTGCCGCATAGTGCGCCGAGTCAAAAGAGCCGATGTCGATGTCAATGAAGGTGGAAGTGACGGAAGAGCGGTCGGTGTCTGTGCGCAGAGGGAGGTCAGATACGGGGGGTTTAGGTTCAATGGGGACGAAGTCGTTCTTTGTTTCGTAGGTATAGCTCGGCTTGTCTTCGTTGAAAAGACCTTCCATGGCTTCCGCACCACGGCGAACTCGCTCATCAAAGTTTGCTTTGTCTTCGATTGTCATTTCCTTCTCGGCCGGTTCATCAGGAATGTCTGGCATGGATTGAGGTTTGGTGGTAGGGCTGATTTCTGCCTCCAGCTCAGCGATAGAGGCTGCCAGCTGATCGAGGTCGAGGACGGAGAAGCGACGCTCGAAACCATCGGTGGTACTGAAATTCCAATCCTCGTCGCTTGGTTCAGTATCTGGCATTTCTGCAGCAGCAGCACCGCCTGGATGAAACAATGAGATGCGCTGTCCGCCCCTTTGTGACCACTGGTAATACATTCGGACAAGCTCGCTCAAGGACGAGGTGGGATGAGTTTCTTCGGTGTCGGCAATGTAAGAGTGGGTGAGGATGTCTGCCATCGCGGGTCGAGAGATGGGGTTCGATTGCAGGGCGAACGAGACGAGACTCTTGAGGCCATCACTGTATTTAGCGTTGTCCAGTTTAGGCGCGCTGCGGCTCAGCTGTCTCCCAATCTGCATGCGCTCCCGAAGGTTCGAGTTGGGAGGATTGCCCGTAGCAATCTCAAAAAGTGTGCAGCCGTACGCCCAAACATCAATCTGAGCCAGTCAGCATTGATACCGCCTACGCGAAACACGTGTCACTTACTTCACTTCCGTACTGATGAGCTTCGCCACGGGTCGAGAACATCTCTGGCGGCATCCAATGAGGGGTTCCGATCCAGGTCGAGCGTTTGTCCAACTGAGACTGAAGGACGCCAGCAACACCAAAGTCGCAAATCTGGAGATTTCCTTCTTCGTGAATCAAAACGTTCGCGGCTAGCCAAAGAGTGTCAGTGATGCTGCTGGAGAGGACATATGAGCTAGGGAACCATACCTTTGATGTCTCGATGGATGATGCCGGCCTTGTGAATCGCACGGAGGCCAGCCGCTAGTTCACGTGCAATTGGGATGATGAATTTCTCTTCCAAACGATCATCAGTGGCACGCATCTGAAAAGGACAGGTATCAGCGGTCAATGAACAGTAGCAGCCAGGAGTTGCAATGAAAGACCGACAAGACGAGATTGACAATGAGAAGAACCAAAGACTGGGCAGAGCACTTACCAAAGTCCTAACACTGCCACCAGGGCAATATTCACAAACTAGCCACAGCTGTGAATGGATGGAGATAGCCTCAATGATTTCGTTGATGTTCTTCGCGCCCGAGTCTTTGACCTGCTTCATCACTTTGGCCTCACGAACAAAGTCCTTGATCGATTCATCTCGAAAGTCTCGAAGAGATTTGTAGTCGATTGAGTCGATGTCCAATACCTTGATGGCGACGAGTTTGCGAGAGGGGAGTTGGTGGCCTTTGTAGACCCGACCATAGGAGCCTTTGCCGATCAATTCCTCGAATTCATACGGAGGGACTTCAGTCTTCGCTCTGCGGCACATCTCCTGGACTGCAGAGCTTTGCTCGCGTGCGAGCTTCATGGCTTCAGCCTTGTGCTTCGTGAGGGCCGCCATAGCGGGGTCGAGGAAACGAGAGACTCTCGGGGGGCTCATCGTGTCGGCAGGTAGATCGGTTGTGGAGTTGTTGGATTTCTTAGGGGCAATCCGCGGTGGTTCAAGAACAAATTCCTCGTCAGAAGAAGCTGCGTCACAAGTTTGCTCACTTCTATCACGTCCTTTCTCGTTGATAGAGTTCGAAGGAAGAGTAGGACAGGCAAGGTTTGGCGGGGTGGAAAGAAGATAGGCTGGGTCTTGCGGCGTAATAGTAGAGGCGGGAGTGAGAGGATCCTCAGGAATAGGAAAAGGGGGAGAGAATGGAGTGGATGGGGTGAGAAAATCCTTGGAAATGACTGGATCTGGCGAGGGAGAAATGGCGCTTGGAGGAACAGGTTGGTTGGGTGCCTCAGGCCCGACCGAGTGACAATCTCCTCCTAGTGCTGGACGAACGATTTCCGAACAGAGCAAGCAACGAATAGCTGGCCCACCGCTGGATTCCCGCGAGTGAGAATGTGAATGGATTGGTGCCTCCACTGGACTAGGGTATGCGCTGCTTTTACCAGACAGAAGTGGATTATGGCTTGCAAGCAATGTCTCTTCTAACGGTGTCAACGGATCGTCCAACGTAGAGTCACTGCCTCCTTGACCTTTTCTTGATCGAATGTGTAGAAGCTTTCTGAGAGATGGCCGCTTAGGGATGTTGCCTCCAGGCGATAGCTCTTCCGAGGCTTCGGGAGTCGGCGTGGAGATTGCCTTTGCTTCCTGGATACGTAGGGCGGCGTCTCCGAGCGCAAGCCTGTCAAGAAGAGGTGGCGTTCTTGACCTTTTGTTGCGCTTTTTCTTCGAAACGTGGGCCGATTTCCCTACAGGGCTCGGTCGATGGTGGCCCTGCGTATCACTCTCCGCGGACTGTATTGATTCCTTGGATGCCTTGCGTTTCTTGCGGAGCCACTTGAACCGCGTCGAGGCTTTCTGTTCCTCTTCGGTTGGTGGGTCGAGTGGCTTGGTACGATAGACCGCGAAGGGTACTGGATCCCTAGACCTGTCAGGTTAGCAATGATATCAAGCGAAGACCGTATGATCAGTAGCAGCTGAACGTACTTTTCGCCTTCGGACGACCAGTCGGAGTCGCTACTCCAAACAACTGTGAATTCGTTGTTAGCACAGCCATCTCAGATTGTTCGCCATGGGATACTAACGGCCGTTCGACCCTTGGACGTGTTCCTCGTCAAGCCTGCCTTGGAATTCGCGCCTGCCCTGATCTTCTCCAACAGTAGGCTTTTTAACCTCTGTTTGAAGTTCTGTTGCAACCCCGGATGTCGCTCTATTCGACAAGTAAAGGGTTAGCATATTTGAAACCATACAATGAAGGACAACGATGAGCAAGGAGTCAGACCCGTAGACACCCTCAAGGCGCTGGGAAATCCCTGAGCCATCCATGGTCAACCCACTATGCTGCTAGCGGAAGGATGGAGGCTTGGGCTCGAGAAAGTAGGGAACCAGAAAAATATAGAGAAAGAAGGGATGCTTGATTAAGCTATGGAGAGAACCAATGATGGTATTTCACGAAGAAAAGAGGGTGATAGAGGGGAGGGATTTGTGAGGGATTTGCGAAGGAGGGAGGGTAAAGAAGAAGGCGGCGGAAGGAATCAGGGAGACAGGAAAGCGAGCCGGAGTGACTAGATAATCCATCTTGATGGTCACGCACCTTGAAGAACCTGAAGATCACCCAAGTGACCGTCTCAGATGAATGTATCGCCTGTCGAAGGTGTATGTGCCAATTCGTCCGCTCTCCAACACCAGCACAGCGAGGTCGTTTGGTGTAGCACCACGAACTTGCCACCCGCACCCAATTTCCAGCCGAATTGCCTCGTAAAAAGGCACGTCAACTACTACGAAGTTAGTTCATATTCATATTCTGAATTGTTTTTGCAATTGAAAGCTCATAGGTGGTGTTGCAAACATGTAGGTACTTACCGTCGTCGATGCTCCTTTTTTGTTGGTACAGACCCCGTATATCGGCGAGTGCCACGAGTGAGATGTGTAGGCGGGAACGCTAGGCCAAAAGGCGTTAGCGTTGTTTCAGAGACCGGAAGACCGCTCCAGCCCTGGTGTCAACAGTGAATCTTCTTATAAACACAATGACCACGTGGTTGGTATTTTCAGTCTCTGCCTCCGAGGGGCAAATTGAACTAGAAAGAAGATTAAGCAAGTGAACAGATATTCACAGCAAGTCGATAAAGATATCGGATTTTTCCAAGGCACAAGTTGTGAGTTTGTGTTCGGCCAGTTAAAGATGTATGCACACCGCAAAGTGATATCTCATGCTATAGCCAGTCAGTCCTGCAATTGAAGAATCAGGTGGCAGAAAAGCATCGTATATCTGAGGCCTCCGAGCTGCAGACGAGCAATTGGACTCCACATCTCGATGAGACAGACAAGCTTACAGTTCCATATTCCAGCTAAAGAGCATGGCGGTATGATCTTGCATAGAATCACGTGATGAGTAATGGCACACGCAGCGACCAGGACACATGGAATGTGTTTGAATTCGAACAGAGAATGTCGACAGAGAATGGTTGATGGAACATCGGAATGCACAAAGAGAATATCTCAATTTTCAGGAGGAATGAGGTCCAACTCACCAACAAGTTAAGTCCTAAGTATACCAATCCAGCTGGCCAACAAAGGGGGGTGACAAGGGTTCCAATATTATGAGTTAAATCGACAGAACACCAGGCAGCGAAAAGAAACTGTAGGAGTATATAAGATACGACAGATCAGTCTTAGATTAGAGGCCGTCCAACTAGCTCGCCATTATCTCATTAGGACTGAAATTCCGACATGTAACGCGGATTCAGGGTTGAACAACGTTTGATTAAAGTTCCGATCAATTGTTCTCCTGCGGATCATTGCCGGAAAATTGTTTTTACGCGGCTATGATGCCTCGATGCTCGGGCTTCACATCCCGGACATGACGGACCGCAGCAGGCACAGAAGCATGCGTTGTGACGATAAGGGAACGATACTTCATTAAGTTCAAGATCTCCGTCTAGCTCTAGCTGTAAAATACTTATGCAGTAGAAGTATAGCATGGAAATCAGCGAGTCGAGTCCTCGGAGAATCCAAGCCATTGCACCACAAGCCGTCTACTACTTCCTAAATCTCTTTTCATATATACTTATCCAACCATGGGTATCAAGAAGAAGTGCTCTGCTTATAGACCAAACTGCACCCGAAGAGCCTCGCCAAGTCGCCGGATGGCTTCCTCAATGTTCTCCGAGCTGGCGGCAGCGAAAGTTGCGCGGAAGAACATTTTCCCCTCACCAGAGCTTTCGGAGGCCGTAAACCAGCTACCGCGCGAGACAAGGACCTTGCTGTCTACAGCAGAAAGAAAGATTTGTTCTTCGATCTGGTCGCGGGTCTTGCCTGCGGCGAGGCCGGGATGCTTTTGCCAGTCAATGCCAATCCAGTGCTATTGTACCAGTCAGTTGAAAACAATCGATCTCGTGAAACATTATCTGAGAACTCACAAACATGCCGGCATCCGGTGCGACCCAGCTGGCAATCTCCCCTGGAAGATGCTTCTCACAAGCAATCACCAAAGCATCTCTGCGGCCGGTGTACTGCATGCGAAGGTTGATCAGCCAGTCAAGATATCCAGAATGGCCCCAATGTTCGTCCAGAAGCTTGAACAGAAGAATTTGAGAGATGCCGCTCGGGTTCTGAGCAGTAGTCTCACTGTGACGGCTATAGCGTTCAATGAATTGCTCCGGAGCAACCAGCCATCCGGCGCGCGAACCAGGAGTCAGCACTTTGGAGAAGGATTCAATCCGACAAACGCGGCCATCGACATCCAGACTCAGATAAGAAGGCACCAGCGACCTGATGAAGTCGGCGTGATTGGCCGGAGGAGGCACGGGTTGGCCATCGGCGCCAGTGTAGGGCTGCATCTGCAGAAAGTAATATGGCTCGTCTTCCACAATGATAATGTCATGCTTCTGGGCGACCTTGTATACAGCTTTACGTCTTTCAACCCCCTGAGTTGCACCCGTGGGGTTCTGACCTGTCGGAATGGTATATAGTACGCGAGGCTTGGCGCCACCGCGAGTAGCCTCATCCCAATTGGTGAGAATTTCGTCGAGTGCCTCGGGCAGAAGACCCTGTTCGTCCATCTTGACACCGGCCACCTTCAGGCCAAGAGGAAGCGCAGTCTCTTTAGCACTCGAGAAAGTGTATTCCTCCATCATGATGTAGTCACCTCTGTTGCAGAGGATGCGGAGAACAGCGTCCCAGGCAAAGGTACTGCCAGGCGTCAAACAGCATTGCCAATCGGAGTATGGGGGGTTGTGGATAAGCTGGCCTTAAGGATTAGCCATCGGTGGAGCATTCTAGCCGTGTGGTGTTGCCCGTTTTTGACGCACCTCTGTGTGTTCCGTGACAAAGCGCAGCAGTTGCGGGGATCCCGTGGCTTGGCCGTAGTTAAGCGCAACCTCCAAATCTATGGAAAAACCGTCTCATTAATCAAGGAAACCCTTGAGCACAGAAAGTATTGCCACTGACCGTAACAGCTTGTTCCGTCGCGGCTGTCTCCCTTCTTTGCAGTGATAACGGAGCCGGATTTGTGGCTCTCCTCCGGAGAGAAGGCAGGAGGGGTCGGAACCTTCACAGAGAGTTCATCGAAGGGGAAATATTCCGGAGAGGGGAGGCCGCCGCCCAGGGAAATCAAGCCTGGGTTCTTGAGAAACTGCGCGGCGCCTTTCAAGGTCGAGGTCTAGAAAACATCCGAGTAGACCAAATTAGCTGCAAACTGAGCCACCGGGCCAGCCAGTGAGTTATGACGGACGCACCTTCCGAGCCTTTGCCTCGATGGAGAAAACATCTGGAAACAGATCAGAGTTCAGTCTGAAAAAGTAGAAGTGGACGACTCACCATCCCAGCGTTTGGCATGTGGCTTGGTATAGCAGTACTATGAGGAGAAGATGAGGGGTGAGTTTCCTGCGCCACTCACATAACCGGAGAATAGACATACTGGGCTCTTGAAGAGGTCACTATGAGTTGCAGGCGCAACTCCCAAGGGAATCTTTGCGCTCTTGGCTCTGAGTGCCGGGATGGCGTCGACTGTCAATGGTCCGGTAGCGGACGCCGAGCCCGAATCAACGTCCACAGCGGCGGGGGGGCTCATGGTCAGTTTGGATGTGGAAGACAATAGGTTGCAAGTAAGATGGTATTGCTGCGCAAGTAATGCACTCTCGTGTGAAAACAAGTTGCAGCAAGAATAGTGGGAGAGCGAAGAGAGAAGATTGAGTAGGAAAGACGAGAGAATAATAAAAGAGTCATCGATAGCTGCCCGTCCGCTTTTTTGCTCCGCTTTAGTCAAGCTCGGGCGGATCGGTTCCGCCGACAAGCGTCACGCCCTGCATCGGCGATTTGTCCACGATTGCAAACTGGACTGCAGCTCAGCTTTGAAGGTGACAGTGATTGGAAAGTAGAAGGCATTATTTCTGGAGCAAGTGGATCTATTGCATGCACTTGAGACACAGTACGGAATAGGGCGTGGTGCATTCGGTTCTATCGGATTGCGAATGCTGTCATCTGTAGGGCGCGGCGGGGTTACAGTACGTGCTGGAAGGATGTACGTACGGGATATGTATCTCAGATACCGCGATTGCACTGTATACAAGGTGGATTTTAATTCCCCAAAATGGAGTTGCCGCTCGTCTCCACATTTCTGAGACTGTGGGGTCAATCCGATTACTGCAACATATGTCAGTTCTTTACTAGATTTCTACGAATCTGAATCTTGAAGCAGGGATTGTGCAGGGGTCGAGAGTAAAACAGTAACATGACATTTCAGCGGTGTGACAGCCTAGCGTCTAGATAAGGCTATCGCCGGCATCGGAGTTAGGCTTATCGCATTGGCATCGGGACATCCGTCGTCCTGCTCCTCCGTTAGTAAGTAGTTCCAACCTTACAGTAACTTACTGTCTCCGTACTTACACTGCACGATTGGTGGCCTGCTCATGTGCGGTTATGCTTTGGATTGTTCATCGCCAGGAAACACCAGCCTGGAATGTCGCCGGAAGCAAGACTGCATCCGTAGCCGTAAAGCTGAGGCATCTGCATAGTTGTGCATCGAGTCAGTGGTTCATGGCCACCCCCTCTCCTCCTCTCCTCCACTTCCGCTCGCAACGAAGCCACTTCAGTCAGCCCAGGCCAAAATAAACATCACCCCGCGATCACCATCACATGCACCATTGACCTCAACCAACGCCTCTGAATGGCAGCACACACTACCCCGCCAGAAGAGAGGCCTGGGAAGAATCGACCGAGAGTCGACATTGAATCTGGGACTATCAGCCCGTCCTCCCTCCCCTCCGAGCTAGAACCTCAACCCCGACTTCATCAAGCCCAAAGACGTTGGCATGGATATGTCACAGTGGACCGAATCCTCTGCAACATGGATTTTCGTGTCGAGTCTACCATGGTTGCTCTCCCCAGTTGATCTATATAATGGCAGTCGAGGCGTGGGAGACTTGCCAGAGGATCCAAAGACAACTCAGCGTCTGAAGCACCGCATCAGCATTCACAACCTCGCTCGAAGCTCACTACTTCAGATACCAACACCCTGTTTTCCTTCAATCTTTTCAAAGACACCCTAAGCCCCCCTACCAAAATGCGCGGAAAGGTTACCATCGAGGAAGCCTTCGAGATCCCGTCCAACGAGGATCAGAGCCGTGACCAAGCCGCCATCTATGTGGCGCCCGATGATCTGGAGCGGTACCTGCGGCAGATCAAGTCGATCACGGGCGAGCGGCTGAAGATTTCGGACGACAACGGGATCGGGTACACGGTGCTGTCGCTGACCGTGCCGGGCATCCAGGGGATCCGGGACCAGGGGAAGGCGGAGTCGCACGCGCGCGAGGTGAACAACTACATCGCGGACAAGATCAAGGACCACCGCGACCGGCTGGGGGCGTTTGCGGCGCTGTCGATGCACGACCCGGCGCAGGCGGGCAAGGAGCTGCGGCGCTGCGTCAAGGAGCTGGGCTTCCACGGGGCGCTGCTGAACGACGTGCAGCACACCAACGAGCGCGGCCGCTGCTTGTACTACGACCAGCCCGAGTACGACGAGTTCTGGCGCGTGGCCGTCGAGCTGGACGTGCCCATCTACCTGCACCCGGCGGCGCCCACTGGCGAGAACTACAAGGAGCACTACGAGGCGCGCAAGTACCTGGTCGGCCCACCCCAGAGCTTCTGCAACTCGGTCGCCCGTCACACCATGGGCCTCATCACCAACGGCGTCTTCGACCGCTTCCCCAACCTCAAGCTGATCCTCGGCCACCTCGGCGAGCGCATCCCCTTCGACTTCTGGCGCGCCAATCACTGGATCAACGACGTCGAGCGGCCCCTCGCCAAGAAGAACGGCGACACCATGTGCGAGCGCGACGTCCTCCACTACTTTAAAAACAACATCTACGTCACCACCAGCGGCCACTTCAGCACCAACACCCTCCGCTACGTCGCCGAGGAGATCGGCGTCGACCGAATCATGTTCAGCGTCGACTACCCCTACGAGAAACTCGAAAACGGCTGCGGCTGGTTCGACAACAACGCCGACGAGCTCAAAAAGGTCCTCGGAGGCCGCGATGGCTACCTCCGTGTCGGCAGGGATAACGCCAAGAACGTCCTCAAGCTGTCCAAGTTCAAGGACTCCGACGCTCCCGTTTGATCTGGGGATTTGCAAGGGAATCAATTAAAAAAGAAAAAAAAAAGGGCATCTATTCAATTTGACTTTATCTTTGCTTGGGCTTTTCGCTGACTTAACGTCGGTTTTTGCTTCTTGTCTTTATTTGTCTTCATCGTCTCCAACAAGGCTGGAAAATGCTGGGGCGGAGAATAAGATTGCTCGAGATCCTGACTTAGGTAACCAAGTATCCCAGTAGGACTAATGCATTGATCGAATTTTGCTTGCTCAAATGATTCAGACACGAGGTGTCTCGTACTTACTACATGATCAGGGATTGCTAGAGTACCATAGACACTACTTAAAATGTCATAATTGATGTGTGCAGAATGGATTCACCATCTTGTACTCCGCTTGCCTAAATATTGCTTCAGGATCTATCTAAGAGCCTGTACTATCTCTATAGGTTGAGAAAGAACTTCAGAGAAGGGCTTTAGCGACATACTTCCCCTCCGTTCCATCCAGCTGCGCCTCCAAAACAGCCGTAGTCCCATTCTGCACACTCTTGATGGCCTCAGGCAGCAGCCGGCGGAGTTCCGCAACGGTCGACGCCTGCGCCGCCCAAAACTGACCGCCGGAAGCAGCCTTCGCGATGCCGGGATAGTCCGGAGTGGGCGCAAAGGAGATGTTGAGGTCCTCGTTAGTGGCCCGGGAGCCATCGCCGTTGGGGTGGACGAGGAGCATACTCCTGCGCGGCGCGTTCCAGCCCTTATTGTTGAGGACGATAGTCAGAATGGGGATGTTGTACCGGCGGGCAACCCAGTATACGGAGCCAGGCACCGAGAAAAGGTAGGTGCCATCACCGACAATCTGGCAGACGAATTTGCCCTTGTTTTTGCCCCCGTGTTCGCAATCAGTCGCGAGCTTGATGCCCAAGGCGCCGCCGCCGGACCACCCGAGACCACCGCCTCCGCAGTTTATCCAGGATTTGGGAAGAGTGGCGGCGATCTGGTCGGAGACGATGCCGGTGAGTGTCACAGATTCGATCGCCCAGATGGTGTCAGTGGGACATCCGCCTCGGATTTGAGCAATGAGGTAGGATGCGTTCAACGGTGCATTTTCTCCGCCTGCTGGGATCATGGCCATGTCCGCGATCGCTTTGCGCATCTTTCTGAACTCATGCTCGCGGCGTTCGCCCCGGGTCCTATTTTCAGCCGTGTTGATGGATTGTTGTAGCGCAAAGTCGGATGCAATGTACTCGTTGATCTGCTTGAAGGCTGTTGCAGACTCTGCCCGGAAGGTTGCGCTCGAGTTGATGTAGTGCACAGGGATTTGTTGTTTAAGAGGGTCCACGTCAACATGAACGATCTTGGCGGAGTCGGAAGGCTTGCAGATGGCCGGGATCCATGGAACGTCGCAATCCGCGACAAGAATGAAGTCCGCCGTCTTGATCGCATCATGAACGCCAAAGCGCAATCCGAGAGACGCGGGGTGGTCTCCCGGAAAGCACATGTCGCATCCACCTGTATCCAAAACACGAAGACCCTTGAAGGTGTCGGCTAGAGTGACCAGTTCCTTCACTGCCTGGGGATTGCGGCCTGAGTATCCTACTATCGCCAGTGGCTGCTTGGCAGCTGCGAGCTCCGTGGCAATCAACTCCACTCCTTCCGAAGGTAATGCGGATGGAGTGACTCGGACCCACTGCTTCTGGTTGATCGAGTACGGCGTGATCTCCTCTTCCATGACCTCTCGAGCACCCGCCAAGTAGACAGGGCCCTGAGGGTCGCTCATGGCAAACTGCAAGGCGCGATTCACCATCTGCTTGATGTTCTTCCCCGAGCGGATCTCTCCCGCATAACGACAATACTGCGAGACAATCTGCTTCTGGTCTGGCACATCCTGAATCCAGTGGATGTACTCAGTGCGAGAACCACGCATCTCCCCTTCAATGGTATAGGGCGAGAGGCCGGCAAAGATTAAGACCGGAGCACGACCACAAGAAGCATTGTGGATAGCGGCAGCTAGACCTTGCGTTCCAACATCAACATGAACAATTACACATTGCGGCTTGCCCGTCAGACGCGCGTAACCATCGGCCATGGAGAGAGCCACCATCTGTTAAGCATGGAGGGTGTCAGGGTTGGTGCGAAGATTAAAGCCGATGGCGCCGGCATTGGCGATAGAGAGATCAACTCACCTCGTTAGGACATGTTACTATCTTCGGAAATTCGTTGGGTTTCTCCTTCTGGCCTTTGACCATCGCTTCTAGAATGGAGGGATGATCGGACCCCAAATTGACGAAAACATGGGTAACCCCCGCCTGACAAATTAGCCTTAGCTACTATCAGAGATCGAGGCATCGTACCTCCCACAAAGCCTCGAAGAAGGCAAAAGATGCAGTATAGACCCTGTTACCGGAGATGTATCAGTGAATGGTCGCCTTGCAACGTCGGCTGTGAAATCAGTAAATAGCCATACATGGTTGCGACTTCACTCCGAGTCCAGAGATTGAGAAACGGGATCAGAGCTGGGAAGAGGAGGAGGATCAGGTTGTAGGAGAAAAGAGCATACGGGTATAGGTTGATATACCATGGATCTGGATTGAAGTCCAAGCGAGCAGTGGGCAGTGGGAGGAGGGGAAGGGATGGAAGACCGAGGTTAGAAAAGCGAGAGTGAATGTGAGGGGAAGCGGTGCAAAGCAATTGACTTTCGGATATAAGCCAGAGGAATGGGGGAAGGAGAAGCCTTTTGCCGCTTTCAGTACTTGCCACCACCTGCGCGCGCGGACTTTAGGTACGACCCTTGCCTGTTGGTGGATACTCTCTGTCATTCACATGGAGCTATTTTGCTATTTCAGTATTTTCTAGCATCTTCACAACTCCCAATTCGAGCGGCTGACCGGGGTGCAAGAGTGGAGGTATTCGCGCTGTTGGCAATCAAGCTTTGCGGGACCACTTCCCCACTGATACAATCATACAATCATTCAAGGAATCCCAGCTGATGACCTCAACGTCCCAACTTTAAACCTGTCACGGTTCAGTGCCGCAAAAATCCTCACCTCAGAAATCATGTCGTAAGAAGTGAGGTTGTGCTTGCACGTGTATCAGAGTGTGCGCTAGCACGCCCTGCAACTGCATTGCCGCTTTTGTCCAGCCCCTACCGGCCTGGATAAGTGCTTGCCAGCCATGCCTGGCATGATCGATTCTATGATACCATTCGGCAGAGTAAATGGAACCGCCTGACCAAAGTCGAAGGCAAGATCCAGACCCACCAAGCCGAACGGCCGTCCTCACTTTTCATCCAGCTCAAACGAGGGTGTATCTCTCCTGATAACTTCTGACGAAGCGCACTTCTGATCGCATTCGACGGCTGAGACCAAGTTCTATTACAATCGAGGATCCTGATCGCAGCGCGCAATATGCGCGGGACGTTGTCTCCGCCGTTCAGCAGTTCCAGGCCGCTGATATGCAGTTGGACGGCGGACGCATTCTCCCCATGATTGATCCACTATGCCTGAGCATCTGGGTCTAAATCCTGGTCGATCCGCAAGATTGACTGACTCCCTGGGCTACCGGGGAATGGTAGCGGATTTCATGGCGCGAACCGGTCATAGTACCAGATATACAGGATCGCGATGATCAAGATGAGGAAATCCAGGGAGTCTAACTGGGAGTTTTGCGAGCGAATCAAGCGAAAAAGTCGCGCCGCATGGTGAAGACTGCTCTGAGACTGCTTGGGTTCCGTCTGCAACCGTCGTGCAACCGTCGTGCAACATCTTGCGTGGTAGTTTGAGCCGCCTGGGCGTTCGCCATCCATCTAGCGGCTGCGTACATTCACCGGCACGAAAGAAACCGCAGCAGCCGGAACAGTGTACTGAAAGCTGTGGGTCACGTTAAACATAGAGGGGTCTCCTGTAGCTTGTGCAGAAGCTTGCCCTTGGAAGTGAAGAAGAATACGTTCGATTTCTGAGAGATCCTCCCCGAGAACTTGTCCAGCGGGGGGTGAAACCTGGGGCATGAAGAATCCCTAGTAGTATTTTGCAGGCGGCCAACTACCGCGTAGCCTGTCGCTCGCCAACATACACCGCAAAGGTGGCTATGATCAGCGTCATGTCCTCAAGCGGGCGAAGAGGCGTGTCATGGACGTCTTGTGTCTGAAGCATATCGAGAAGATGGAGGTCAGATTCTTGGTCTAGGTATCACGTTTAGTCGAGCACTCTGAGCATGCAGAGGGATTTTAATTTGCACCGTACATCATCCCGTTTTTTGAAGTCGTTCCCACTCCAAGAACTCCAAAGCTTGCCAAAGCTCACCCTGGCAAGACAGAGGGACTCGCATGGCTTCCAAGATAATCAGAGGAAGATCAAAAGTTACCAATCGGACACACTCGCCGACTGTTATATGACGTTAGCAACGTCTTCACGAAGATACGAGTGTAGATAGACTACTATCGCCAGGTGAAGTAGGCGACTCTCTTCCGAGACTCGGCCACAACCCATCGGGACCAGTCCCGGACAGAGACATCGGCCTCTAACGGGATGGTACTCGGCTCAGAGAGAAGTCCTCGGGAGGCCAACATCGGAGGGCACAGGGTGACGAGCCCATATCGTTAGTACTGCGCATGCATGATCCCTTCCCGAGTTCCGCACAGCAAGAGTGAAAGGCTGAGTAGCACCATTGTCGGAGCAAGTACCGAATCATTATGTAGCGCAAGAGGTGAGCTGAATTGCTGCAAGCATGCACAAGCTTGAAGTCAGTACTAAGTTGAAAGTGAAGGGTCTGGATGATGACGGATTGAAAAACGTACGTACCGTCCGGTTGACCGCTTGTCTTGCAATCTCCACTAAGCTGGTGAGTATCATCCCTCGGCTGGCCCGTCGTAAATACTACTTCCGATGGCAGCTAAAATACAGTAAAGAAGGCATACCTGGAACTTTCCCTGGTGGAGCAGAGGAAACCGTTATCTGAAAGTGTTCAAAGTACAGTTGAACACATAAATAGATCACTTTCAAGGGGGCAATATCTGTTGTACGAGATGAACTTGAGAGGAAAGACCAGCCATCCCAGCAGTAACGTTACGCATGTCCTCATAAGCTAGGATAGAAGGCTTTGATATGTGGCCATAATTTTCAGCAATGAGAGTGTCGTTATCTTCTTCCTCTGCTGACACGCCTTTGCTCCCATGGAACTCAAACATACTTGAAGAAAATAGGGGTTTTGGATTGCTGTAGAAAAGCTGGATTCTCCCCTGTTCCACCACCGTGAGGAAATTGCGCTGACGAATCTACTACTTCCATTGTCTGGCCGGTGGGCGCTTCAGGGCCGGGACGTGTCCATCTAGCCTCAATGTCCAGATCCATCTCCGAAGGCCAGAAAATCAACGAGTCAAAAAAGGAAGAAAATTATGAAGCGGAAGATGCAGCTATCCTACTTGATACAAGGGTTTCTGGCTGCTTGACGAGGTTCAGTGCCTCGGAAGGTCGCATCAATTCAGGATCATCATGAAAGGGTCGTGTGCCCAAGTGCCCCCCGCTGTATCACTGCTTGCGCCCTACACATCTACAACTACGCCTGGGCTCGGGGCAGGTCTAGGACTATTCGGCAGTTTGCAAGGCCAGCTTTTCGACTGCAGCGCTCACATGGCGGTGGCCCTGTGCACCGCTGCTTGAACTTGGTACAATTTGTACAAGCTCGTGACGCTCGCGACGAAGACTGCCACTTTTTGGGCAGGTCTTGGCCGTGAATGGCGATATGTCGTTGGATTGTATCCCTTCGTTTCGTCAAAATAGATCAGAGGCTGGCCGTCGGACTTGGGACTTACCGTCAAGAAAACCATTTCTGTCATTCCGCGCATCGAAAATCTTTGATTTTGGAATGACTGCGACGATGACGCTCAAAATGCTCACGCCTAGTGAATGAGACTGGCTGATCTCTTTCCAAATTGACCTATGTAACTAAATGGACTAAACTTATTTTACAGTAGATACGGGGGTGTCCGCTAGGCTTCCCCGTCGGACCCGCCACCTTTTGTCCGATAGAATCTCATCGACCTGAGGGGAAGCAGCATTGCGACGGCGTGGAAGGGCATGGGAGTATCAACATGGCGATACTCGATCCAGTTATCGGGTCCTTTCAATACGCTCTCGAATATCTAGTGCTCCTTTGACGGCCAAGAGGTGAGTGCCCCTTCCGAGATACCTAAGTGAATAGAGTGCATCCTTGATGGTGCACTCTGAACTTAGGCATGGGTGCCATTTCACCTTCTCAGCCTGCTTCTAGGGCTAGATGGAATTTATGAGACCTTACTCTCTTGTGCATCGCTTGGGTTACCAGTGGCCTGCTATCACCACCTCAACGCCCACGGCCGTTGGCGTCCCAGCTTGTTCTGCATTTTATGCGTTGTGGTAGTTACTAAGTCGAGAAAAGGGCTGAGAATCTGGGAAAAGGTTGAATTTAAATATAATAATTGCCATTTAGATTCACTCTCGGCCAAAGGACGTTTAAAAAACAGAAAGGACACACGCCAAATCCAGCCTCGGCAACACCGTGATAGTTAACAGGCCCCAGTAGAAGATGATGATGATGCTTAACACGAAGAAGTGACACAAGGTAGAATCAAGTTGTACATACAGGAATCGCAAAGAACGGCGAGTTGGGGAATCATACTATAATGGATAATTCACTCCGGTCCAATCCGTCATCCTCCAGGTTGGGGTAGTATGGGATCATTGCGTCTGCGCTCTGCACATACGCATCGTTGTAGAGACGCCAGTAGGGCACGCGCACCTTACGGGCAGGATGGAACAATCCAGCCCAGACGTAATTCATGACCGTGCCGGTGCCAACGGCCATGCGAATCGCATCAATGGCTTCAATCACACGATCAATGACGTGCGGGCTGGTTTCGAAAATGTTAGGAAACACCAGGTTTAGGAGGTGGACCATGGCATCTTCGCACCCAAGACCAACCACGCCCAGCGCAATATGCTTCACCACACTGGCAGCCGTTTGTCGGTGAACCTGGTCCCGATCAATCAAAGCATCCTCGAGGAGAGGCGTGACGGCATAGACATAATCTTTAGCCATCTCGCCGATGTACTCAAATAGGAAGGACATGGCCTTCAGGACACCGTTCTGGACGTTCAGCTCCGGGACACGGTATTCGTTCATCAAAGCAGGGAGCACGGTGAACGGCGCGCAGGTCTCGGCCACAATACCAATGGCAACAGCGGTACAGACACGTGACTGACGTTCCTGAACACGAAGGTTGTTGAGAAGCGTTGCCAGAACATCCTGGGGACCAATAGCCTTAGCGATGAAACCGAAAGTGTTGTTGGCAGCACGACGAATTCCCTTCTTGTGAGCCTTCAGCATGTCCAAAAGCTCGAAACAAATTCGCATCCATTCCCTCGCATTGACGGATTCGGGGCCACGGTCGGCAATACGACCCACGAGATCAATGGTATTTTCTTGAACCTTCTCGTGACGGTTGCGCAAGATGGGGGTGAGGCGAGGGAGCAAGTCTCTGATAGGAGGTTGCATCTGATTGATACCAACCACGGTGACAATAGATCTGAGGGCGCCTAGAATAGAACCTAGTACTTCAGGATATTCTTCACCAAGGTACTCGTACAGCACGATACCAAGCTTGCCCATTAGCGCATCCTCGCCACACTGCTTCATGACCATGGCAATGCGGGAAATGAGGTCTGCTGCCTGCTGCCGAACTGTGGCCGACTTGTTGTTCAGTCTCCAGAGAATAGTACTGACGATCTGAGGAAGGTAAGGCTTGCAACGCGTGCCAAGAGCATTCACCACCGTACCAAAGCCGTTCAAGATGACGATATCTTCGATGCTTTGTTCCTGGAAAGCATACAGGACACCGTCGATCAATCTTTCCTCCAATCTCTCGGAGATGTCTGCGGCGCCGAGAGCCGCAATAAGCTTCTCCACAGTTTCTACCGTCATCTTCCGGTAGGGTTCGCTCTCGTCCTTGAGGTTGTTCACGACGCGCTCAAGAATCTCACCCACGCCAACTTTCTGTCCAAGGTCCACCGTCGTGTCAACCACCTGCCGATAGTTTCTCCTGTCCAAAGCCATACGTCTCACCCAGAAACTCTTGAAGAAGTCTGTCAAAACATGCTCCTTGAGGTAACTGGCTGTCACACCATCGGTGCTGGCACACTGTGAAACCACCTTGAGGACGACCTTTTTCATCTCTTCATCTGGAGAGGAGAACTCGCGGAGCAAGATTTCCATGATTTGACTGGTGTAGTAGTTGGCATATTCTTCGTCCATAAGGGGGATGATATATCCAACAGCCTTTAGGAAGGCAGCCAGACCTTTACCACGCTGCTTCCTAGCGCCCGTCCAGAGAGGGTTAAGGATTTCATCAAAGCTCTCGATACCGTAGGGGTTGGCGGCTTCAGCCAATGCTGCGACGGCCAAAGCAGTAACTGTTCGCACCTTAGCTTGCTCGTCACTAAGATTGTCTGCGATACAGTCAACTAGTCCCTTGAGATGGGGCAAGATAGCGCAACCCATGAGGATGGGAATTTGCTGAACAATCTTGACACCTGTGTGTCTGGCCTGCCATGATTTCTTACTCCGACAAACAGCACGAAGGAATGGTAGAAGAGCTGGGATTCCAAGGGCAGAAGCAACAACCGCGAAGGCTCGGGCAGTCGTGTTACGAACATATTCATCGACGTGGTCGATATCCGGACGCATGGTACTGATCATGGTGGCTAGACCAGCGGCCTTAGCCAGGTTCGAGATAATTTCCCGACCCTCAACACGAGCATAGTAGTCTTGGTCGATGAGCAAGGGCTCGATGACGACGAGAATCTTGTGAACATAAGGGCGGACGAGATCATCCAGCTTATAGAGAACACGGTCGATGACCTTGACCAACAGGTGGCGCTCCTGGTCTTCGAGGGACTTCTCCATGAGAAGCGGAAGGATCTGGTTGAACAGAGGTCCCGCGCCAAATTGCCGTGCGTTGTCCGTCAGTTGACGCAGGGCTGTCTTTCTCATCGGCGGCGTGCCGTTCTTGACCTTGAGCAAGAGTCTCATAATCTTCCGCTCCTTCATCTCCTCGACTGTCATTGTACTCTCATCACCTCCTTCCATGAGTTTGCCAAAGTAAGCCATATCCTCAGGCTTGAAAAATTGCAGATCTCCGACACCGGGGATTTCAGTTGGAAGCTGTTTGCCTAGCGCACGCGCGCTCTCCGGCTCTTGCATCATGAAACCACCAACTCCAGTGGAGCTGGCCATGGGTGCCGGAGTGGCCATGAGCTTCCTAGCAGGGTTCCGGATGGGAGCATATCCAGGAGGAGGGTCAAGGATCTTGTAGCCCTCAGATGGCAGCATCATATCAAGTTCTTCATCGGAGAGAGGAGCATTGCGCCCAGAGATATCAGTTCCAAAGCTAGTTGGAATCAAAGGTGCACCTACTTGAGAAGGATGCATAGGAGTGGCAATCCCCTGGTTGCCGACGGGAGTCGCTGCGGTAAGAGCTGGTGCTTGGTCCCATCTGGAACGACGCTTGGGAGCCTCCTCGACGGCCCCAGGGGCGACCGGGGCAGGCGTCTGATCCCAGCGAGACCGCTTCGCCTTGGAGTCTGCTCCGGCGGGCTTGGGAGCCTCCTCCTCCTCAGGAGCCGGCTCCGCAGCTACATCCCACCGTTGCTTGCGCTTGCGGCCAGAGGCGACAGACACCGTAGAGCCGGCGTCGGCATTCTCTTTGTCCTCCAGTTTCAATGTAGCCTCGTGTTCAGTCACATCGTTCTCGCCACGAGCCTGCTTTTCCGCAATCAGCTTCTGGACACGTTCTTCTTCTTTCTCAAGTTCACGCATAGCCATGACTTCACGGTAAGTCTGGCCTCCCTCCTCCTCCACGTTGGCATGGGTGTTCGCAGCAAAGGGATCAGCGCGCGTGGGAGTCAGCGGACCGCGGTTGAAGCGGCGCTTCTGGTAGTCTGTCTCACGGTCTGCGATCCTAGCTGCCTTCTCGCGCCCGAGAAGAATGTCCTCCTCTTCCACCCCATTGCCGTGGGCAAACTCGTCGATTTGGCTCCTGGTGGCAGTGTATTGGCCCACCAATCGGTGGCCCGCATCCGTATCCTCCATCTCTTCATCATCGCCATTGACAGCAATCGACGTATCATATCCCGCAAACTTGTCGGCGCCTTCACGTTCGTAGAGGGTCGTGTCGAAGGATTCAGTTAGGGAGGCCTTGGTCGAGTTGTCAGTGCGCTGGCTAGACGGATCAAAGGTCCTAGAACCTTTACTTCCAGCTGCAGCAGCATTGCGCTCAGCTTGGAGCCGACGGACGGCTTCAAAATCAGCTAGAAAGGGGCGGTCAGTTAGACCGAACACAAGAGCGTTTGAGAGGGGCTGGAGGTTCATACCGTCGGACATGGTGGCAAGCTATGGCGATCTCAAGTGTGAGATTTTGAACAGACACTCCCAGGTAAGGGGTCAAGGCAGCTACATCCGGATCGGACAAGACGATGACAGCAAGCTTTGATGGGAACGGAGAAGTGACGTCCTTGAGGCGAAAATATCAAAGGACATGAGGTGAACTTCGGCGGCGGGACTAGACTCGCTGACTAACATATCACGTGGCTATCATGAAGATCGGTCAGGGACTCTTATTTCGGTAGTGCAAGAGCACAGAAATCATATTCCAGTTAAGATAATTACTTTGTATCAGTACTTGGTTGACATAAGTGATTATTTGGCTCGCTAAATATCGTTTGGTCTCTTGCCATAGTGGAGAAGGCCTTCCTGGTCTGCTTCGGAACCTGATGACAACTTGCGACTATATAACTATACATTCCTTGCTACCTGAAATGCCAATGCCAGATGTCACAGACTGGCAAAAACAAGATCGTAAGCACAACAAACATGTTATACTGCAGAATCAAGCTTGGCATAGGGTACTACTTTAGTAGCTTTGCTCGGTCTTACGACGAATCGAATACTAATGTTACAATGAAGACATTGAGCATCAGAGCTGTTTGCAATTTGTCAGGGAGAACTGAATTGAATCCTTCCATCATGAGTACGAAGGACCAAGCTCATTCGCCAACCCCTCAGCTGCTTCATTACAGATCTAAGTACTCTACTCTCATTGGGTCTCGTCTAATCGCTCACTATTGGGGTGCAAATGCCCGCCGCCGATGTCTCGCCTGCCATATCATCGCCCTACATGCAGTGGCTGCGCTATGATCGCATACAAACTTTCTTTCAGCTATCATGTACTAAATATCCAGAATTAGAGTACCGTAAGCGAAAATGGGCCCAAACTTGACGCATTACTTGTATATCATCTCATGGTGCTGGTGATAGTTCTGGAACAATGAGCAATATAGCCCTTACGTCAGCGCTACACGTGATAGCTCGACCGGATCGGGGAACCAGCCGCCAAACAGTCGCCTCCCGTCTCAAACACGTCTCCCCGACCAGCTGCGCTCAACTCAGCATCATCCTGTCTATCTACCCATTGAGTCTTACGCCCCCGTCCTTTGCGCTGCGCATTCGTTGCTCTTTCAAAGTGCACAGCTTAGGATTACAACGGAATTGAGCACTCCAGTTAGCGGGATTTAGAAGCGCCAGCCCGATTCGACCCGGACTACACATCCGCCCTCATACGCCATTTGCATTTTGCGCCTATTATTCTCCTACTGTCCACTTCCTTATAATTAGCGGGCTCAGCACAACCCATACTCAAAACCAAATTATGTCGACCGATTACAGCAAGAAGACCAACGCCGAGCTGGTCGAGATCCTCAAGTCTCGGAGTCTCCCTCACAACGGCAAGAAAGCGGAGATGGTGGCTCGTCTTCAGGAGGATGATAACAAGGCAGCGGACAATGCGAAAACAACCACGGAAGGTGCGGCTCCAGCTGCGGCGGATGATGTCATTGACTGGGAGGATGATGAAGTCCCTGCTACGGAGGCCGCTGCGAAGAGCTCCACAGAGGCTGGAGCTGCCGCCATCGCAGCTGGCGGAAAGGGGGAGGTGGCCAATCCTGTTGCAGTACCCAACCAGAAGCTAGACACCGATCCTGCCACCACGAATGACCTCAAGGTCGAGTCGGTGGGTGCTGCTGCCTCCGCGCAGGAAAAGCCCGAGGCCGCCACGGATGCTGCCGCTACCGCTACTACCACAGAAGAGGCAGAGCAAAAGCCGGCCCCAAGCTTCGCTGCGGGTCTCCCGGTCACGGAGATGGAGGAGGAGCTGAAGAAGCGCAAGGCTCGGGCGGAGAAGTTTGGAATTACGGAGGAGTCCAAAGCTGCTATCGAAGCTGCGGAGAAGCAGCTGGAACGGGCGAAGCGATTTGGAACAGCTGCCATCGCTGCTCCCACTACAGAGGTTGGAGTGAAGAGGCTGGATGAGGCACTTCCGGAGGAAAAGCCGCGCAAGCGCGGTCGTGGTGACAACGAGCAAGGTGGTAGTCAGGGAGGGAAGAGACGCGACTTTGGCGGCCGGAATAAGTCCCGGCGCCAGGGGCGTGGGAATCGCAACCAAGGCCAAGGCCAGACCCAGCGTCAGCAGCAAAATGGAAGCGGAAACAAGAGTAGTGGCTGGAGTGAAAAGGACGCCCAGGCCATGGAAGCCAGGAAGAAGAGATTTGGTTAGGCTGTTTCGAGGCTATCCTGCTTGTTGCTTTTATTCTTCGTCTCATCTGGTTTCCATCTCATCGGCGTTTTAGGGGAATTCAATATCGATTATGAGACTTCTTTACTGGTGGGCTAAGGCATTTTGAAAGAAGTTGTGATGTTTGTCAATATTATTCTGTAGTATGATAGGACGGCACCATGGAAGCTCGACCTGGTCAATCAGATCGGCCAAGCGCTATTGTACCGTGCGGCAGTCGTACAGTCCGACCGGGCTGCTGGGTTGAGAAGAGTGGGACAGAAACCACCAAAGCTTTCTCTCTTCGTCGACAACCAAACTCTCATCGGAGATTGGTGCTGAACGAGGACAAAGAACCGTTCAGGGTGACATCCAGTTGAAAATCTGTTTGCTTCACTTTTCTTTCCTGGCCATGTGCTATGTTCACTCAATTCTTGCGAGACTCAAGCAGCCCGAACTTGGAGAAATACGTGCATTCGTAGAAACGAGTTGTTCGGGACAGTCTATATCTTCTGAATCTCTAGACGCTCCATCATGCAGCAGCCATGTTACTGTGGCGGTTTTGGCAGCCTTGACATGCTCAGCTGAAAGGTGCATGATAGGCGCCGGTTCCTGCAGACAGCGGAACTTCTGGCCGTGTGGTGACCATCACGGGCCAGATATGATATTGGTAGGTTTCCTGTACAGTCAACTCGACCGTGCCAGTAGATCGAAAATGCGTACTCCACAGCATGCCAATAGTGACCGCAGAAGACCAGTACCATCGTGTCGCCCGCATGTGCACGCCGGCCTCCTCTTTTTCAACTCGCATACTGTTACCCATTTCGAAATGCCATCCGTCCCAACAAGAAGTCGCTTTCAGATCGATCGGTGATTGGTATACAGCGCTATCGTTTAGCTTATCCCAGACGGAGCCAGATATTGTTAAGCAAAACCAGAAGAATTGTTGAGCCAAGGCCTCAAATAACCGCCGATCTCCACTTGGGAGAATGATTACAGCACGCGAAATGGCCTTTGCTTTACTGAATTGAACGAATCGCCTCGTGAAGTGCGGTCTGTTGCGCTCGGGCGGGCTTGCTGCTAAACCAGGCCGCGCGGATGGCATCCGTCAATCAGGGCGGATTGTCGCACGGTGTCACTTTAGCGGCGGATCGAGAAGACCCACGGGCTGAGCGACTCCGCATTGTCTTAGGTGTGAAATTGTGAGTAGTTAGTGCTGTGAGCCTGTGAGAGCCAGGGCCACCGCAGAGAAAGAATAAGCGCAACGAAGATATTATTAGATCGCCGACTGCAATTTCGCAAGGGTCGATTCTCGATTTGCGATGAATTGATTGCTTCAGGGACCGACAGAATCCCCACCAGTTTAATTGTGGCCCTTGGTCTCAGCTGCTGTGTACAGGGTACATGGTCTGGGATGTCAATGGTCGGAAAGAGAAGACCATCAAATTCTGGTCGAAGTATGCCAATCCTGTTCAGCCGTTGCTTTCAGTTCCATGCCTTGGTTTGTCCTGGATAGACGAGGATGGACCATGTTGTTAAGGGGAGGAGAAACCTTGGAATGACAGGATGGTTCGGGTCGAACCGTCCAACGTACCAGAGTTGCTCATACTATTGCGAGAACTGCGGTGAGAGTTAATAGACTGCAATCAGGACAGCACTGTAGAAACTGAATGAAAGGGCAACTCGTGGTGGTTTGACACTTCCTCATCAATATTCCATCATCATTGTTCTTCTCTTCCTCGGACTCGCCGCGATCGGCAAGTCCAGTGACCAACAAAAGTCAGTGACCATCAGTGACCATCAGTGACTTCCTTCCTTCTCATCTGACCGCCACACTAAGACCATCTAAGCCCCCGCTCTCTACTCGTCCGTAGTTGCCATACATCTCCCCCCCTCCTCCGACGAACGAAGGAAAATGTCCGACAGGCGTCAAATCGGAGTCGATCTTCCTTAACACACAGACCAGATCAAACTGCGGCAATTCCTTCCTAGAAGAAAAAATCTGTTCAGGGTCATACTTACTACTAACTCGTAGCTTGGCTGATGCCTGCACCTCCATCTGCATGTTGGTCCATCGCAAGTGGTCAGATTCAAGCACGACGGACTGTCCGCTATTCTACGCCACTCGACTCCATCGAGACCTGTCAGCCCTTACCGTTGAACAGTCCTCCAGTCTGTGCTGCAGTGGTCTTCACCACTTATAACCACGGTAGCAAACGCGAGTGGATCTGATTAGCAGCGCTTCCCGTCTACTCTGGCTTACTATGCCTCCAATTCGACTTCGGCGGTATTATCTGTGGAGTCGAACAACGCTCGTGCCCTTCTCTAGGATGAGGATTCTCTGAGCCCATTTTGCCCCTCCCGCGGCGATAACCACTGCAAGAAGATATACTTGTGTACTTGTGATGACACCGGACGGGAATGATGTTAATAATGTACTGATTTGATAAAAGCTGGAGGCGACAGAGTAGTTCCTGCGCCAATGATCGTCCCGGTCACATCAGTGCTCGAATCCGGCACCGATGTCGATCGCACAAACCACGCCAGGATCCCACTGTGATAGTTGACCCTGGACTTATAGGAATTATCGACCTGCAAATGGATATCCTGATTCCCCGCGGCGCTCGATGGTCCGCGATGGGGTGGAACTTTATCATGAACGGTCTTGGACTGTCGCGCCCCGGTCCAGATCTCCTCGTCCTCCTTGATTAATACACCCGATCCATGGCCTTCGCCCACATATTCTTCCCATTTTTACTTTTCCACCTCTCTCGCTCAGCTGGTGCTTGCGAGCTTCAATTCGCAAGGCTTTCTCTGATTTGCAGACTGTCGCAGCACGTTCTCTGACGTGTTCGTGCAGACCCAGCTCAACCGATTCACTTTCTCCTGCCTGCCTTTAGCCACCGGCGACGTCTCCGGGCTGTGGCGCAGTGAGTGCATCTGCCCGCCGGCTCATGTATACCCACTGACAATTGGGTACTTTCCTGTCGGCGTCGCTCAAGTACAATTATATCATCTGGACGGCCAATTTCTCTTTTCACCTGCCTTGCTGACTAACTCGGCTTTTTTCCCTTATATTGTGCTTCTAAAGAACTTGTATAGAACGTCGCTCTGAACGCGACTACAAAGTTGTGTCTCGAGATACCCCGCCACTCGGCAACATCGTGAAGCCGTCCCCCATCTTTTTATGTTATCAAAAGCAGCGCCCTTGTCATTACTATTGCCTGCAGAAACCATGCTACAAGCTACAAACGTAAGTGACTACAGACCCTATGGTTTTAACTCTAGGCGCATCGACGCTTACATCGCCTTGTCCCTGCAGTATTTGCTTCGTGCTCAATAATCAAGGGACAGACGGAATGAGTTCCGGTCATACTATTCTCGATACCACCGCTGGATCAGTAGTCTCCGGACTGAAGCTGGCGACTCGGTCTTGGTCACACGATGGAGTCGCACAAGTCTGACGGTGGTCGAATACCCCGGTTGAAGGATGTCGCGTCTCAATCCCGAAATGTATCGTCGACCGGGATGGCTTCAGTGCGCTCTTCAAACACTGCTGCCCAATTATTGCATTGTCCCCGGATACCAAGACCGAATAATGCATCGTACATGAGCAGCAGAACATCACTTCTATCTGATGCAGCTGATAGTCGATATGCCTCCACATCATCGAACAAGTCGAGAATTCCGACTGGCCTTGTGGCTCGTCCACCCATGACTTCCCAAGATACGATTCACCAATCTTCATTGCATTTCACCCCGGGCATGATGACGGATCGTCATGTATCACTGGCTTCCCACATGGCTGCTGAACCCCCGAGACCCGCCGGAAGCGAACCACAGACCCCTGGTCAGGGTCGACTTCGGAATGTTCTTCGAAGGAAAGCGCCCACAATTGGTCAGCATAGCGCGCAGATTAAACCAATGCCGGATAGAATTAGATCTCAGAAGCTGAATGTCCTTATTCCCGAGCATCCTTCAATTGGTCCTTCGGCGAATACCCCATCTCAGATCCCACCGAGCAGTAATAGTCTGATCGGACAGGTCCTAGCACCAATGACCTCACAGCAAAATCCTTTGAGCAGCGTGTCGGACACCGGCGGGAATGTTCCAAAGGAGCTCGCCAGTCTTAGAGCAACAACAATCAATACACAGAATCTTCCACCCCCAACCCCAGTGATTCCGTCTGCAAGCAGCCCGTCGACGAGATACTCCGAGTCTCCTGGGATGTGGAGTAGGACGTCCACGCCCACTACTTTATCCTCGTACTCGCCGGGAATACCAATTCCTCCCAAGGGTCCTCGTATAAGACAACCGAGTCCATCTCAAAGCAGGCTCCCTATCTTCTCTCCTCAGCTATATCAGTTGAGTTCATCTGCAGGAAAGATTGCACAAAGCGCCATAGACGGAGCACGCTTAAAGTCGACACAGGACAATTCACTTCCCGAGGCCGAATTAAGCGGAGAGCCGAATAAGGCCAGTGCGCCGAATGTGGCTTATGGTAGCCTACCACGAAAGTCATCTACATGGACCAAATCCACCATCTCGAACGGACACAAGTCAAGCCACAATTTACAGGCAGTTTACGAGCCAACACAGAACTTCAAACCTGCGTCCAATAGGGAAAGAGCAGACAAGATGAAGATATCTGTCCAAATACCTACGCGGCCCAGCAGGGAAGGTACTCATCAATTGGTGCTGGAACCCTCTCCGGTCATTCGGAGCAACATAGTACCTGCAGCTTTGACAGGCCATAGACGCCGAATATCAGCCGATCGGCATGATGGATTAACACCCTCAGCCTTGTCTGCAACTACTTCTGTGGACTGTCTGCATTCCACGGTATCTGCGCGAACCACCTCCCGCGTTGCTGCGTCCGAGATACCAAGGTCAACACCTCAATTCCTGGGCAAAGGTCCCAAGCCACAGCACGAAGCCGGCAGCCCAAGCAAAAGTCTCAGTCTTGGTCTATTCGCTAAAAAGTCTAAATCGGAGACAGAGAAAGAAATTGAAGGTCGAACCGTTCGCAAAGGACCAGCTGCTGGAACAGGTCATGAAGGCTACGGTAGGTATTCACAGCGAGGCCGCAAGATGAGCACGGCTAGCAGTACAACCAGTCGAGCACGTTCTTCAAGCTCTGTAAGAAGTGGATCGAAGTCTGTTACCAGCAACAAAAGCAATACTACGAGGGGTCGTGCAGACTTCGAGCTTGATGATTTCCTGATGCAGCGTCTTGAGCCCGTGGTAATTCACGGTGGTGGTATGGATGGTGCTGCTGCTTTGAAGAGGCAGAGCGAGCAGAGCACAAGTAATTTCAGCACGGGTACAGATTCAATTCTAATACAACAGTTTAAGGTCTCGCCATCCACGAGCAGCTCCACAGAGACATTGCCATCATCTAGGGCGACTTCGGTGACTTTAGGCGAACCAATTTGGAGCGGTACGGAAGGACTAACGTCTTCAAGCACATTGGCATTTTCCGAGCCAGCGAGCATTCCTGTCACCCGAACAGAGCCGAGCAAGTCTATCAAGGCGCAGACATTTGCTCAATCTCATCCGCAGGGTCATGCACCTCACGTAGCCAATGACAATGTTGGACAGCTTAGAGCTCCCGAGGTACAAAGCCCACGGAAGAAGGCGTCAAAAAAAGGCCTTGGTATGAAATGGAATATCTTCCAAAGGAAGCCGGATACAGTTCGTTCAGATCACGATATTGGCGCAAGTTCTGGCCCAAAGCTTCATGCCACGGTTTCTCCCATAACTGCCCGCAGGCCCATTCCCTATTATGCGCTACTGGACGTTGATCCGGACCCTCTGGAAGAGATAGTCCATGACGTTGAGAATTCACCTCCTACTGAGGATGAGGAGATTGTCTCTTGTGTTGAGGCGCCAGCTGCATTGAAGATGCGGGACCCTACCGAATCCATACTGCTACCATCACCGCCATCGCTGCATGATAGCTTGTTCCAAAATCAGGCTCAGTCTTCAAAGGTTTACTTTAACAAGGGTCCTTCTCCTCGGAATCACGAGGAGCGATTCGAAGAGAAGTCGGAAGGAAGACATACCAGTCGCCTGACATCGATCGGTCGCATTCCCCGGGTCGTTTCTAGAAGAGAGCGACCACACAAACCAGCGCTGCAGTCATTCTCGAGACCATTTAGCGTTGCAGACTCACCTTCACTACTGGCTCCAGCTGCACCAAAGCCTAACGAGTTTTGCTCGCAAAATTCGCAGCCATTTATTATGCAAAAGCTTGAATCTCCGCACCATGAGTCTGCTCGCGGGTTTGACCTGACCAACCCATTTCGCGACCTTTTTCAATTCAGCGTGCTAGATTTCATCGCGGGTCCTTATGCAAAGGATGAGTTCATGACGTTCTCGCCTAGAAAAGTATCGGTGGTATCTTCTTCAAGTGGCTCTGAGAGCCTCGCGGCAATAACAGCAGTGGTTCCAAGCCCTAGGGCTGATTTAACGGAAGATGAAGTCTGGGGGGAGTATGATGACCTCATTGATCATGTGTTGTCGCCTCAAACAACAAGCACACTGTTTTCACTCGGCTCGGAGACGGAGCGGAATCTAGAGAATGTGACAACGGCCAGCAGGACGCTTCAAGCAGAATTGACTCATGACCAGGCGAATGCCTTTTCTGGCCTTATCGACGGGCCGAAAGTAGAGCTTACACCTTCTTCTCCCATCTCAAGCAACGGCTCAATCCGACTTCGCAGATCCACGGTTGCTGCTGAGACTCGCGCGTCGATCGCCCCGTCCTCTCAGCCTTCTTTCAGTAGCATAATTGCTTGCTACTGTGATACTCGTGAGGACAAAAGAGAAACAACGGAACAAGAATTCGACAACTTGACGATGCTTCCCCAGACTGAGCAATCGCTAGGCTTGCATAGCTCTGAAACATTGGTTGCATCGCCCAGTCTTAGAGAGAGTCGTCAACGCAGCACTGCCTTGTTTGATATAGCGGAACGCAATCGCGAAGGACCGACTGCTCTTACGAACATCAGATCGGGCTCACTCATGACGAGTCGGTGGTTGTCATTCGGGAGAGTCCTTTTCAGTCCTGGACATAGCCGCATTAAAAGTGGGGATCAAGATAGAATCCTGGTTGTCGATGGGCTAGGAAATGATGACTGGTCCTTCTACTGTGCCTTGACATATCCGACTGCTAGTATCCATAGTCTCAACGAGGGAGTCAATACTGCCACATTCAAACACCCAGCAGCATGGAAGCCACCAGCAAATCATCATGCTTTCTATCAGTCGACCCTCGGCGATACGTTGCCTTTCCCAAAGGGATACTTCACTGTTGCTGTTCTGCGCTTCCCCGCAGCTTGTGCGGAGAGCGCGCAAGCGAGGCTTGTATCCGAATGCAAGCGCGTTCTGCGTGCTGGAGGCTATCTAGAGATGAGTATCCTTGATCGTGATATGGTGAACATGGGCAACCGTACACGACGAGCCCTGAGGACGCTGAAGGAAAGAACGTTTGCGTCCGACCCGAGCATTAGCCTGAAGCCTGCCAGTGATAGCGTACAAAAGCTTCTTGGACAGTGTGGCTTTGACAACCTTCGACGATGTATGGTTCGTATTCCGGTCGCAGGGATGATTGTGAGAACGTCAGCTTCTTCCACCTCGACTGCATCCTCGGACCCATCTATGCTCGCTGCAACCAGCAGCCTTTCAAGCAATATTTCACCTTCAACAGTGTCTTCCGCGACCGTCTACCAGAGACCCCATGGAGAGCCATCACCTAACGACGTCGACTTATCCCTGGGAGACCTCCTCTCTGATCCCTCTCCATCACCTTCGAACGACGAATCAATCCGCAAGATAGTCGCAAAGGTGGGCCGGTGGTGGTATACTCGTTGCTACGAGATCCCTGTGCTCCCAAACGGCGATGTAGCTCTTAGCATCTGGTCCGATAGGAAGGTCATCCGTGAATGTCAACAGCGCGGCACGGGATTTCGCCTATGGGTCGCATATGCGCAGAAACCTTGCGAGAAACGCCGAACAATGAGTGTTTAGTACATCCTGCATCTTGATTTCTCACATACGACCACATGAAGATAATGACGATGATGATACATACGACTTTCGACGAAGAAAATATGCGGTTATTGTGCCTTTCAAATGCTCATACCCTATGATATTTTCCGACGAATCGGCCGATACCACGGGTCAGAAAGACAAAACAGGGAGATGCTTTTATTTATTTATTTTTTTTTTTTAAAGACCACTTACTTTGTGCATATATTAACCCTTTCGATACTTATCTCCTTATGCCTAATACTTTTTCCATTCTCATTGTCTCTGGGCGGCTGTATGAACCTTTTGTTATATTCGCGATTCTATTTCTTTGAATGTCTTCCATGAAGCTGGCTTGATGGGTGGAATTTGCCTTTTTCTGTCTTTCTTTTCACTGCGAGAGACAAGTCAAGAATGGTGAATGAGTGCGGGACTAATTGGGTAACACATTTCAAACAACTTCTCATCCCAGGGGAAAGAGACCGTTCCAGGTCGCTCAGACAGTTAAAATCAGAAGTATTCTCACCGCTACCGGGAGTAAGAACCCACCCAGACTCATTTCGCCGAGCAAGTCACAGCCAGCAATATTTCGTACCCAGGTCCTATAGCTTAGCAAGTAGGGAAGCCCAAATGATTGAGAAGTGCTCAAGAACAGCGCTACGGTGAACTAGTCTGTACTTTGTGCCAGTCTAGTGCTAATGCGCAGAGCAATGCATACAGACAGTAAAGAGTGAGCGACTGAACCCCTCAACATAATCCTCGTAGTATACCGACTTCAAAGTTTAAGCAACTGTGCACGTATGTGTGCATGCATCTGTCCCCTCGGTCTACTCCAGACCGCGAAGCCCCTTCCCCCGCCAACATACCAACCCACAGCACAATCTGCACGCGATATGTGTGGTAGCCAAAGCAAAAGCCGACCCGACAGAGAGACGAGCAAGCACTGCAGCCCAGCCCAGTACTGACCGACCGACTGACAAGGTGATTCTCTCTCCTTTCTGTCGGTGCCTTCTCTTGTCTGCTCTGCCTTGCTTTGCTTGGCTTGAATTGTGTAAAGCTGTAGTAGTTGAATAGACAGACAAGAGAGAACATTGAATCCCCAGGCGGTTCAAGTTCAGGTTCCGAACGACAAGTTATCACACGCTACCTTACATTGCCTCGCCTTGCCTCGCTTAAAATCAACTTACTGTAACTACATACCTCATACACCACATCCACATCCACATCTGTGCTCTTCAGTACCAGTACCAGTACCAGTACTACCACTACCACTATTATTAGCACCGCCACCACCACCGCTACGGAGTACTGCTACCACCGAATCAATCTTCCCGCATACGCCCCTCAAATCCCATTATTCCACGCTGCATATCAATCCCGCACAGAAGCCCAACAAAGAAAAAAACAGAAAACCGTTTCATTCCGCAGGACGAGACCGCAGAGTTGCATCATCTCGCATGATACTGGGGAAGAAAACTCACTCACGCACGTACACACACCCAGAAACAGAAATGAAGATCCAGAAGATTCGAAAGACGGCGAGGGGAGGCGAGGCGAGGCAAAGGGATGCGCGCCACTGGTTTTGGAGTTGTTGGTGTAATGGATGAAATCAATGGTGCAGACGATGATATCGATGGTGTATCAATTGTTGCAGGGTATGATATCTACGGTGCAGAGATGATATCAAAAACTGTGGGAGGAGAAGATCGAGAGCATGTCGATATCATAATCTCTAGCTTAGCGATATGGAAAGTAGTTTATGGCCGGAGGTAAGTCGGGAGGGGGAGGCGACATCGGAGGCGTTGGGATTGAGTTTTGCCTCAGGCCTAATGTACATACGAGTTTGTTACTCAGCCTTCGCAAGTAACGAGAGGAGGCGGCGGCGGCGAGGGAAAGAAGGGGAAAAGGAGAGAGGATTCTATTTCTAGAATGGTTGTGGTGGGACTTTGCCTCTTCAATTCACCCCTTCATAGGGATATGTACATAGATGTATTTCTGGGTTTCTTCTAGTTCTAGATCGTACACTACGAACGTCGGAGTTGTGCCGCCCCAGGAAAAGAAAGCAGAAAGATGATTTGCCTTCATTCTATAGGAGTCTGGTTGATCCGAGATTGGCGTGGGTCGTCGTCGTCTCATTGTCTAGGTTCTACTGGTTCTATTCACATCTGGGCGGCGGGTAGGCGCATCAAGAGGCGGCGTTTGAGATGGTCGCTGTCCACCATTGCCACCACTCGATCAGCGCCCATGGATACGTTCGTGCTGTAAAGGAGGGGCGACTGTAAGAGAGTCAGGTAGGGCGTTTGAATTGTCTCATATCAGTGGCGAGCATCTGCAGAAGATAATGCTCTATCTGAATTGAATGCCTTTCACGAGCGGGGAACAAGAGGTGGCTGTGGCAAGGAGACAAATAGAAATGCATAACGTCTGAACTTAGAGAGTGGGCTTTGAGATGGACCCAGGCGACGCAGTGAGTTAAGCCATATGGAGGCGTCTATGCCAAAGTGTGCTTACGCGTTAGGCTGGCTGGTTAGTTGGGCGTTTGTAAGCAATGCCCAGAGACTGCCAAGGTAGCCTAGGAAGAAGGTTCGATGCATCTCTGCTGCGTCTGTGATTTGATGTTGACTGTGCTGTTTGGCTTGGTAGGCCGATGCAGAGTGAATGTTGGGAGAAGGAGGCATTCTCACGAGGCAGAGATCACATACGGCGCGCTTCTGGAAGAAAAGAACACATGCTAAGTGGTCTTTGTGGCAGGTATGTGTGTCATTCCCATGTCCTGTCTGCAAGATGATTCCGACGCGAAACTCTGATGGTCATGTTGAAATTAGCATGGTGGCTGCTGAGCCATGACAGGGTGAAGATGTGCCAGGATATCCACATACCTGTGGATACTTGTATAAACGAGCATAGTATAATATAGCTACCCGTACTAACCTTGCCGTGATTGCTGGGTAAGCGACTAGACGCAGGAAGAGAGCATGAGTTGGCAGACCAGGGACTGTTGCGTATATGATGTGCTCCAGGATGTCTGTACCCCGCAAAGGCTGTGCTCTTGTCAAGTGACTAGCTCGAGGATATGGCCGTTGGGACCCAGTAATAGTGCTGTGGAGATGAAAGACAGTGTATGTCGTGATATTGCAATGCTGGAGGGGACGGATCGAAGCCATCGTGTACGTCCATCTTAATGGAAGGCTGCTATACCTGCGAACCCCACATTCGCGGACCGCGACGCTCACAACGTTTCCAATTGAGGAAGAAAGAGGGGAACACGGTCAGCCGGTGGTAAGTCGGACTGAAACTCGCACACAGCAGGAGGAGGGGTTCTGACGCTCAGACAATGTGTATGGCATGTTTGTCACGTTGCTGCCAGCCTAGGCGTTTCTCTTCCCTGCTAGTTAGAAAATGATGTCTGTGCTGGACGGGACCCCCGGTCCAGTGGCATTACCGGCTAGGCTTGCGTGGCGGAAGGGTGAAGACCGCGCTAATGGGACACTCTCCTCCGGTCCAAGTTGAGAGAATGGAGATCCGAAATCATTGAAGTGAAGGTTTGGGAGCGGGGTGGACAGGACGGATGGCTGGTATCGCTTTTACATGGGTATAGCTGCTGTCATGTGTACTGGCTCCGTGTGTTTGCAGGATGCGGTGGTCGGATATGCGCGGCCTCTCATGTTGGTATCGTGTACTGCTTTGCTGAGAATCAATCAACCTGGGTGTTGTTTGTTGTTCTTGTTGGCTGATGTAGTTAGTAAGTGAAGAGGAGTGCGTTAGATTGCATTGCTGCTGAGCATGAACAGCCGTTGCCCAAACATAGATCTGCCATTTCCGACTGATCCGTGTTTGACAGCCTCTTGGCCGGGGAGACTTCAAGTCTACTGTATCTTATTGTCTTTTCTGTGGATTCTTCTGTCCGGTCTCTCGCTCCTCCTCCTCACTTGTAGGGATGGGCTTCTTAGCGAGCGATTGAATTCAAGGGATCAACCACAGCCTGGGTCGGGGAATGCGGAGAATTGACGAACGAGGAACAGGATTAGGTCAATGCACTCGTTGTGGACACAATTGGAGATGGAATGCCGGAGGTGCCACATGATGAGCCATCCCCCCCCGCCGCTGTGGGTGTTGGGCGGTATAAGCTGGCAGAAACTGACGTCATGCAGCAATGGAGCTGCTGGCCCAGCAACGGTTTACCTCCTCCTTCCATTGCTTCTACACATTCTACAGACACATCACATTGCTGCAACACAATGAAGATACGGATACTTTCTCCGCAATTTCTGCTGCATGCCACGTAGACTGAATCTTTAATCAAGTGAGCTTCGAAACATCTGCACGAATTTTATCAATCATTGCGTCAGACTTGGGAATGCAGTGCGAGTCTTATTTTCACCGCAGTGATAAATGATAAAGACTGAAAGGCAAGCGGCGTCGGGCGTTGCATATGCAGTAGACTTTTACTACCATCAAATTGCTTGTCCAGTGAGAAGGAGACATCCGTCAAGATGGCTGATCAAGCTCAATGATCAGTCTGAGATCGGATACCTGCCAGTCCACAGAAAGGAGGGAAGAAGACTCGACGGCAGTCCCACGGACTCCTGATGGGGACTGGCACCGCATGATTTTCCCTCGGATCATCGCTATAACTGAGCCAGCAAGGATTTCAAACGCTGTACCAACGTTACTAAAGGTCAGAGGATTAGAGTGAGTTGCAAACTTTCGCGATAATGCCCGACATATCTCATCTCCCTGCGACCCACGGCATACTTCCAAATGAGGTTCTACTGCGCGCCCTTAGTTCGGCAGCGCTAAGGACGTCTGCTGAAAGATCAGACGTCCTCGTCCTTATCATGCTGATGATTGCACTATCATCTTACAAAGCAAACTTTGCCCAGTCGATCACCTCCGCAAACATCAATATCATAGACGCGTTAACCACCCGTATGACTTTGACCGGAACACCTGGGAAGGCAGATCACGGGATAAAACTCTGATCCATGCTCAGATCAAGCTGATAAGAATTTTGTGACAGTGGGTTATGGCGGCAGTCGCCCAGTCTTGGGGAAACGAGGCGGAGAATGAGTATACTTAATTACCACGCATCTGGGACCAAGTACCACGCACGGCCTGTCCGTTCTCGCCGTCACTCCGAGATATCCCGGAGGACCCCGCAGGTCAATAGTTCATGGCCTTGTGGCCCGAAAAGCGACATCTGGCACCACATAACCGAGCCTACCGGACACGGACTCCTTCCTGTGCTCCAGTGATCAACAATCATGTGGCCCTCAACTATACAAATTCGAAACTTTGCTCTACCACACAATAGAATACTCGGTGAGCCAGGCTTGCTCATTCAGGGCCAACGGCGGCTATCGGATACTGAAAATCACGTCTGCAATCCTGCGCATCTCTGAGTGCAAACAACCACGGCCGAGTTTGAGAGCTCGTCGGGGGGTTGGTGTTCAATAGCCGGCAAGGACCGACAAATCGCTATAGTTCCTGCATCTACACAGCATAGCCGTCACAGTATCAACCCGGTCAAAAAAAGACGGGGGCAACCAATCGGTCAATCGGTCAACCCAAGGGATGGGGGCTTCGCAGCTCAACAGAACACGAAGACAGATCCCCCACGGGGTCCCCAGCTTCAGACGCTTCTCGGAAGACAGTCGTGCGGGACATTATCTCCACAAATTTGGAGTTTGCATGCAAAGCATCGAGCTTGCGACGCAACAGGGAAGCCGAGACCAATCCGATGATCGGATCAAACTGAAGCTGTATCGTGGGTTGCTGCTGCTGCTGCTTCTCCTCCTCCTCCACCTCCACAAATATCCCGCTGACAGGGAAGATAAGACGCTTTGCGCGGGACGAAATGGGCCGGATTCCACAACTGTCATGCTGTACCCTGGCCACGGGTGTCCAATCTGATCGCGAGACAAGCTCTAGATACGAGCAGAGGAGAAGGTTGAGAGATTATCTAGACCGCCTAGTGTGGGGAGTTTCGTAAGCTTTGACACCGAAAAAGTTAAATCTGTTGATTCTGGAGACGCCCGTATTTGACAGGGCTGGGAGCAGGAGGAGAAAGAGGAGAAGGGAGTCGGAGACTAAAGACGCCAGGGCTCGAACGTGGCGGTAGGGGCCGATCAGCGAATTACGATGGTGTTACTTGGCGCCGCCTTTCCGCCGGCGCGCTCGACCGCCCGCCGTAGTGCCAACTGTAGCAAAGCTGCTAGTAGACGTTAGGTCGACGAAGGCTGAAAAGAGGGGAAGCTAGGGTCTATATTCAAAGTCAGTGCTCAAACTTTGCTAGTTTCAAGGGGCTTGGAGTTTCGGACGACGGCTTGAGGGGGAAATTAGTGTGATGCATGTCAATTGCAGTGGGAACCCACCAGAAGGCAGCTAAGAAAGGCATTGTATGTTGTGCTCGGTGATAAGACGATACCAGCTACATATCTGCAGGTTGATTTGCTCCTCCCTCGGGAGTGCCCCCTTACCATATCCCTTCGGCTACCTTTCCTTTGAGACAGGGATTGCTTTTTTTTTCCTTTGCAAATTTTTCGCGCACACGCACACACACATGCACATCTTCGTCCAGTGGTGCATGCTAGGCTGACAGGAAGAGAACAGACCGGTCAGCACGGTGCGAGTATTGGGGCTAGACTGAGCAGCGACGCAGCGGATGGCTTGGATGCTAGACAATTAGTCTGCTTCTGGATCTGAAAGAATGTTCAAGGCGCAATCAAATGAAGAGTCTCTAACGCGACCTCACAAGCTCGGAGAGGTCCTCGCGGGAAGGTCGATCTCGTTTCGGGAAGGGCCAAGACACCAGAGGTGCAGTAGATACCTGGTTCTCATGCTGCGCCCATGCAGTAGGAACGGTCTGGTCGGTCTATTTGAGGGTTAGAGCCCAGTCGGCTTGTTTAGTGCCGCCTGTCAATCAGCCCAGACGAGATTACTGCTCCATTAATGAAATGACGGGAAGCTCAGTCTCTGCCGTGGCTTGTGGCAAATTAGACATGGTGGTCTGAGTAGGAACGAATTGAGTTGCGCAAAGGAGGAGAGCGACCGGGGGGCCGGAGGCGCCCTGTCGTGCGGTGAGTCGAGACAAGATAAGACCGGCATGGAGGGTGGTGAGACAACCGCCCTCCCGAGTTCGATGGGAAAAGGAACCCTTTCAAAAATTCAAAAGTGAAGGTCATGCGACAGGCACAATTGAGCGATCTCGCTTGGTTGGTCAGTGGTTTGTGGTTTCAAAGGGTGGTGTTAATTGTGGGTGTAGACAGGTGGAGAAAGTGAGTGTGTACACTGTACACAGTATGGTGGGTGGTGATGAAGGTCGATGGATGCAGTGGACGATATACCTACCTATTTTGGGAGACCGAACTAGATCCCCTTCTCTCGACCTATCTTGATGGGGGCGGGAAGCCTTCACCTTAGCTGGCGAATTTAGCGAGAAGGTTAATTAATGAATAAAGAAGCCTAGACAACGACACCAGTTACACAAGTTCCATAAATGGAAACAGCAATTGCATGATATTCGAGATACCTCGAATTTCTCAGATCCTGTTAATCAATGCGCGAAACCCGAAAGTACATTACTACATGTTACCCGTCGCACCATTGCTACAGACTCTCAAACTGAGGAGGTGGGAGGCAGAGCGCAGGTCGGAAGGGAAGAAGGTCTCTACTGTGTCCTCATATCTGAGGTAGTCAGATTTGATCAATTGTGTGGCAAAAAAAAAATGGTGGGAGTCCGATTCAGCCCGATGTATGGCATCATAGCCCCCCGTCGTAGGTATCATTACTGGTTATCAGTCATATCGTACATATCAATGGGTCTTCCAATGCCAACCAATGCCAAGGAATGCGACATGGAGAGGGCCTTTCGAGACTCTTTAAAGGGTCATCGCCCGACGACAAATTCCAGTGCTCATCTCCAGACTCCAGCTTTGGTGACTCGGCTCTCGGGTGCGGAGCAGTCCGTCATTCTATATGCTTTGACCAAGGCAGCAAGCACGGAGCCAGTGAGCGGTGGATCTGTACGTAGTTAAGTAGTGGCAGTTGGAATTTTCCTCCAACTCTCCCCTCATGGTCCGTGCAGACTCCAGAAATTTTCGAACGTGACGACTGGAGAACTGACACCACCAAGAATGCGTCTCGACCGCTTACCGGCAAACAGTGCTCCAGCCGGCGCAGCTTTCATGATGTCATAATCCGGAATTTCCTTGGAACATCAGTCACTGGCCCGAACAACGCTAGTGCTTAGCACATCCAATTTAACAACTTAACGGGTGGGTAATCGAGCCCGGGACTAAAACCCCACTTGCACCTCTCCAAAAGTCACTTAGGCTCTGAAATCCGAAGAAAAGATACATGCATGCCTTCGAGACCATAGCAAAGAACAAAAAAGCAAAAAGGGTGCAATGTAGTGTGTGCATCCTCTGTGCCATTGCTACTGTAGACGTGCAGCTCCCAGCACTCCAGGCAATATCTGAGTGGATCATCTACGCCTGTAAACTTTTCTTCTCTCCACCACCACACAAGTGCATCTACTCGGTTACTTTGTGTATGCCTTGAGAAGTTTTCTTTCTCTTCAGTATCCCAAATGGTGAAATCCCTCGCTGATCAAGCAGAGGCCCCCCCATTTCGATTAGCGAGGGACCACCGGACCACCAGTACTTGCGCCATATCAGGACCACCGGCCGGAAGCCGGGGTCACTGTTTCCAAGGCTGGAGGCTCGACAACCCGGAGGCAGGGTCGGTTGTACATGGAAAGTGGGAACGTATAGCAAAGCGCTTCATCAATCAATGATGCTCGAGTACAGGGTGAAGCTGTTATCGTCCATGATTGGCAGATGGCTTTGCACCAGTGATGGGAGGAGTCTAATATACATCGAACACAGATTTGTTAGTGTGGGCAGGTTTTTGACGCTCCCCAACATTTTGCCCTCTAGACCTTCGACAGACACTTCCGGACCCGCTGGTTGGGCGGTGGCGATTTTTAGAGCGGCGCTAATGGAGAGCCTGGAAGCCCCTGAACTGAAGGCGCAAAGAGAGGAGAAGTGGAATGGAGGAACTGGGGGTGGAGACCAAACCATGGTAACTGGTGTTTCTCCTCTGATACTACGACGTGCTGGGTCTCCCGTACTCCGTACAAGAATCATCGGGTCATGGCGGGCTGTACCATGACACGGTTTTGGTTTTCTCGGGAGGGTCTGAGGTAATAACAGCAACGGCGGCAGAGAACAGTTCGGCAGACTCAAAGAAGACACGGTCGGGGGAGAACGTGAGTCCTTGCATAGATCGATCAGAGGCCCCGAGAGCTCTTATCAATCGAGATAGTAACGATTCCATGGAACCCCGGGGAGAGGGTTGGATTTATTAGCATTCCCGAGTGGTCAAGAGATTTTTAGTCTGTTATCACCATGATCATAATCATCATCACCGCTAAATTGGGTTTTCATATCTGAGACCGACAAACGAAGCCCGTATCGGTATGGCGACCGACATCATGGAAGCCCCTCGGAAGTGATGCAGCCATGCCTTGAAATTTGACATTCTTCTGGGCCTAGCACGTACATCATACCTCCTCCGAACGGACTAGAGTAGGGCCTACATCGTTACACACATACCTCCAATGAACATTAAGACATGAGCGACTAACTAGAATACTCCGGCCATGCAGCCTTGAAGATCACCTGCCCTCGACTCCAGCTACATGTGGTGATGTGCTTTGATATCAATGATAGCCAGAATAGTGGTAATGATGTGCGGTTAGGGTTTCCAATGGCGCAAAACGTGAAGAACCAGGGAAAATCAATCTCAGAGCGGATGGTGAGAGCAATGACATGGGAGGATCGCAGGAGAGATCATTATTGATAATCCTTGATTGTCATGGTGCCGTTTGGGAATGCGATCGGGGGGCGAAGGAAACTGGGCAGGACAAGGTACAGTATGAGTCTGTGAGTGAGAGACTGACTGTTTGACTGTATTGTATGTAGTACTGGGGACTAGTTGGAGACAGACAGACAGACAAGACGGTCTCACAAAAACCCAGTGCTATCATACTGTCTACTCCATAAAGTCAATTGTTTTAATTCTTTGATTTTTTTTCTTTTTCTCTCCCTCCCTCCCTCGCTCTCTCTCCCCCTTCCATGCGTACGGACATACGACAGAGGACGTACCGAAATCCATGGGACCCACCAGCCCGGAACGCATTGACTGGACAGTTGGGGATCGTCCCCAGTCCCAGACCGTTCGATCGCCTATTTTAAGTTGGTTAGTAGCATCCCAGCAACTCGTATTTACCACTAATACCACGGCCACCTTCATCATCATCATCCTCTCATCTTCATTGCTCCCGCTCCGGGTACGGCGGCAACTTGGTAGTCCAAGGTACCGACTTGTAGCTTCGATCCCACCCCGTTATCTTTTTGTTGCCCCTGTCATGTCACCATCCATTTTGCCTTCTTCTTCATGGATTAATGCACCTTAGTAAAATTCTAGTATAGTGATCTTCTCCCCAGAGGGGTATGGGAGTAGCAGAAGAGAGGTACGAGCCAGATGAGGGGCTAGACACCTGTTGCCCTCGGAGATCTCAAAGTCAAAAAGTGAATCTGGAGCGATGGAAGAAGGAAATCTACGAGCATCTACTCAATGCAGTAGAGGTTTGGTGGTGGGTAGTGGTTTGAAAGAACGGACCCGCCCATCTACTACTGCCCGCTTCAGATTTTGCCCCTCCTCCCTGGCGGACAGCCATTGCAAGCCCATCGCAGAACGAGACCCGTACCGAATTTTCCTTTTCCTTGCCTGCGCTTCCTCAATTCTGCCTACGACAACGTCCGAGCTCCTCCTTCTCCTCCTCCCTTATCAATATCATTCCTGAATTATGTCGACCTTTTCAGATTAGGAACATCCTTTATTTCGTGATTTTTCTCAATTATGATTTTAGCTTTTCTGGGACACTGCGGATATTTTTAATTTATTTCCAGACATGTAATTAAAACCAATCCTCTATTCACAAACTTCTTTTTCAACGTCTCTTCTAAAACTTCTATCTCTTTATACCGTCAACTGCGGCTCACTCCATTTCCCACTCCGCCCTGGAGACTGTCATCTTTTCATATACTCCATTTCCCCTTCCCTTCCATCCTCCTCCGAGCCCGCTTTGAAGTCTGGTCCCCTCCTCCTTTCCTCCCTCCCTCCTCTCCATTCCGATTCACTTCTTTGTATCTACTTCACTCAATCCCGGTTCGCCTTCAACCAACCAAACCCGACCTCCATCTTTCTTATTCTTTTTCTTTCGCTCTTCCTCCCTCACCAGCTTCTTTCTCCACCACAGTCTCACTTGCAATCAATATCCCTGGCGGTTTCTGTCCCTTTTCGAAGATTCCAACTCCCATGTCGCAATCAAACTGATGTCGAACTCCCAAGGTAAGTACTTAACAGCACCGGATCTTCAGCCTCCGCCCGCCTCGCCTCCCAATTCAATGTCAATGTCCTCTTTCCCCCATCTTCCCCCTCCTCCGCGCGAGATTGAAGACATCAGAATGTATGCCCGGTGACTTGCTTGGTCGCAATCGCTTGGTTCTTGATTCGTACTACTGCCTGGGATCTTCTGTGTCGTAACACCCCTGTTCTGCTGCATCTGCCCTCCGCCCAAGCCTTTGCCTCCAACGCTCCTTCTACTTATCGGCACCCACTGGAACCTCGAAGTCACACCACTTTTCCTCCACTTTCGGTTGCACGCCCAGCTCTGTCATCAAGCCATTCAACTACTCCTTATCCTCCCTCCCACCTATTTCATACCTTGCGCTCATGCGGGTCCAAGCTTCTGTCCCTCCTACTTATCACTGTCTTACGCTGCGTTTCCAATCTTGATCGCTCGAAACTGACTCGAAGATAAGACCACTTTCAAAGACGCCACATTCCCGGACATTTAGTCTCTTGATCACAGACAGGCGTTCCTGCTTTTCACCAACACACCTCGCTTCTGGAGGGTTCTTCATCAATCTATTATCTCACCCGCTGTTTGTGTTGAACCACACAAGGTCGGCCGGATGCCCTACACTGCGCCGTTGAAGACGTCGCCTTCCGCGCAGCACATCGAACACACTCAACTCACCCCCAACTCCTGTCCTAACTCGCCCACCGTGGTCTCCTCACACCCACCTCGTCCACACCTACCACGCTCCTACTCATCGACTTCTTATGTGCGAAGGCATCGAAGGAGTCCTTCCAATAGCAAGGCATTTACCTTCCCAGCCCCAGATCATTCTTCAAATCCAGACCATGTCAGCCACTCGCAGTCGAGCATCCGAAAGTCTCCTCCACCCCTGAGTGACGCCGTTATTCCTCCAGGGGCCTTGATTTCCCCTCCTGACTCTGCTCCCAATTCTAGTGATGAAGAGACATTATATCGACCACAGGGTGAGCTGCAACTAGATAAACTGGAGGCAGCCGTGAGGTCAATCGAGCAAAGGAGGGTGTCCTCGCCAGAAAGACCGGTTGAGGAGGAGAAGTCATCTTCAAGCATGGCATCTTCAACTGCCGATTCCGTAAAACATATGCGGCCACCTCTTTCCCGGGAAGCTCGCAAGATCTCTCATTCGCGTTCCGCTACTGAGTCTATGGTTGATCACAAGCAAGACGAAGTCTTAACTACCTCGCCGGAAGAAAGTGATCGGGACGACGAACCTCGTGTAAAGCATCCGATGGTCCGCAAGAAGTCGGGAGAGCTGGTTCGCCCCGCACTTCGCCCGGCTTCGGCGCGGCGGCGTCCGTCTAGTATGCCGGGGACGCCAACATTCTCTAAAGCTGTCCATTTTGATGCTCAATTGGAACATATTCGGCACTTCCTGCAGCTGGACAAGCCCCAAGCTGTTAGTGCGGACACGTCTCCTGTCGATGACTATGACGCTGCTGGGGAGTTCCCTTTCCGTCATACGGCTAATGATAACGCCTGGGAATGGGAGATTGCCCTCAACAACTTCCCCTCTGATGTCTCCTCTCGGGCACATCAACGCGTCCGTCTGGAACGTCTACACCTCTCTGCCGACAAGAATACCCTGATTGGTGTCGTGGCTGTTGCTAATCTGGCCTTTCACAAGCACGTTGCGGCTCGTTTCACGTTGGATCATTGGAAAACTGTATCTGAGGTCACGGCAGAATACAATCACAATCACCGACGGGATCATGCGAATGATGCCTACGATAGGTTCTCATTCAATATCAAGTTGAATGACCAGACAAACCTCGAAAAGAAGACCATGTTCGTGTGCATACGCTACAATGTCGAGGGCCAAGAATACTGGGACAACAACCATCACAAGAACTTCCAAGTTAATTTCATCAAAACAGCCAAACCTAGAGTCGGGCAGCAGAACCTTCAACCTGCAAAGCCCCGCACCTCGTTGCCTCGCAGTAGGAGCTTTGTGGTTTCCACCAGCCGTCCTCAATCAATGCCTCCGTCTTTTGACAACTTCTCTGACATGGATAAGTATGTGTCTTTCGGCACGCCTCCCAAGACCGGAAAAGAGGCTCCACTGTGCGACGACGAGCCCCACGATGTTGAGGTCGCTGCTCCTATTCGTCGCGATAAGCAGAATCATCAGGTTTTTGGCAATCGCTACGACTTTGAGGCATCATTGTCGGCGGCCATGAAGACCAAACCAACACATGATCGAACAACGTTGGCTGCACGGGCCAAAACCAATACCCCACCGCACATTCATCATCAGCACGCATCCGAGAAGCGGTCAACCGCTCGTGATAACAGCACCATTCCTACGGCTGGTAATGGCCACCAGACAAGCTCCGCATCCTATCACAAACCTTCCACTCTAGTATCGAGCAAGCCGCATCGCGAGTCCTCCGTCTACAAGGAGCTTGTGGATAAATATTGTTTCTTTGGCTCTTCCAATTTTTCAACCGACGGCAATGATGCTACAACTGTCAGAGATTTTGCAAGCCGAACGAACTCCAGCAGCAGTTCGAGCGCCGGATCACCATGCTCGTCACCTCATATTGAGGCGGCCTATGGTGGTGATTCACGGACCTCCTCCCCCAGTCACATCGGATTTCCGTACATTCAGAATAATTTCTTGAAAGAAACAAACACACCGGCTATTATCCAGGGATAAAGCAAGACATTACAACTCTCGAAACCTCATTTTCCTTCAATACCGATACACAAACCAGACCTAGTATCGAGGCGATACCATGTTTGCATGGATGGGCAAACATCACCCTGTTACACTTCATCTCGTCTTTCACCCCATATCCAGTCATTTTGACGGCGTCATTCTCCTTTTCCGAAACCAGATGTGTGCCACAGTTACATTTTCAATACTGTTTGGCGACTTTCCAATGCGGGGGGCCAGGGTTCAGCGGTCCTTTGGCTCCCAATATTTATCTCGGATACGCAGTCTGGAGCGTCTAGCTGGGTTCTCTGCGATGTGTAATAAACCGCGGGAATCAGGCACGATGCTTGACAAGTATCCTGTTTATTAATCAACATTCTACCAAGTAGTTTTCAACTACGATGACGATTATGACATGATGCCTTTTATCGTTTCCTCGCCTGCTCAAACTTTGTTCAGATTATTTGTTTATTGTTGATTGCTTGTACGTCAGTGAGATTCAGATGGCGTTTGTTTTCAAAAAGTCGATCAGCATCGGCCTCATATGCTTTTTCTTTCCAGCATGTCGATCATTGTTTTCTTTCAAGCGTGCGTACATGTTCTATTGTGGGTGGGGCTGGCGAAGATAGCTTGTCTGTATTTAATCTGTCATTTGACGAGAGGAGTTCTTGGGATGGCCGCATGCAGTCTGACTTCTGACTGAGTGAATCACAGAATATCTTCAATTTCCATAAGTGTCTGGAGTAGGGATTCTTCTACATGCCATAAGTAGTTCATGCTGCATCCTTGAGTCTAGATCAGAAAGAAGGATGGTCATGTGACTGACCTTCCCGCAGCGGAAAGGCGGCTCGGCTGGGCAGGCTGCGGCAGTAGTTACAGTCTGCCTGTAGTTTACATAGGTACGGTAAACGGCCTGCCATTCACTGTCTTCAAAAGTAGCCGTTCATAACGCCCTTTTTTTCACCCGCAACCCGCCAATCAATCTCTTCCATTCCATTTTGATCCTTCCAGATCACCCTTGGACGCTTAGTCATACCAAAACACCCTCTCGCTTGCCGCCCACTCCGCAAACCTATTTAAACCGCCTCTCGTCTCTCCTTTCCCCTCCTCTTGCAACCTCTGAATCTCCGGCCCGCTACGCGTCAAGTCGACTAGCGACTTATCTATTTTCCACCCCGCGTTTTATCGATTTTTCCGCATCTGTTCCAATCTTTAATCACTTTCTTCAAAAATGACTGGACGTAAGTAACTTTTGATGATTTCTCTCCTTCTACGCGAAATTTCATCATCGTCATGGCATCTGTCGTGATGAGACTGGGACCGTTGCCCGCCTGGGGCCGAATGAAGTTGACCCCTGACGACACGTGATAACTACCTCTGGCCCAAGCCTCGCGTCTTGTCATCTCCTTCTCTTGTGCTTTTGATGCTACCTCACCATCCTTCTAATTACCAATACTGCTCTAATCCGATAATGCTCTATTCCGATACTAATTGTGCCCGAATCTACAGGCGGCAAAGGAGGAAAGGGTCTCGGCAAGGGTGGTGCCAAGCGCCACCGTAAGATCTTGCGTGACAACATCCAGGGTATCACCAAGCCCGCTATCCGCCGTCTCGCTCGCCGTGGTGGTGTCAAACGTATTTCCGCTATGATCTACGAGGAAACCCGTGGTGTTCTGAAATCCTTCCTTGAATCTGTCATTCGTGATGCTGTCACCTACACCGAACACGCCAAGCGCAAGACTGTCACCTCGCTCGATGTCGTGTACGCCCTCAAGCGCCAGGGCCGTACCCTCTATGGTTTCGGTGGTTAAGCGCTTGCTTTCTTACCAATATCTCGTCACATCGTCGCCCATACCCTTTCTTTTCTCACCTGTCTAGCAAGTGAACTGCACGAAAACTAAGCTTTATTCTCTTTTGTTGGCCTCTACGCGCTGGTGGTCAGAATAAACTTGAGAATGAGTGTCTTGATGGATTGGTGGATGGGACAATCGCAGTGACGAGAATTGGAATCTTCTTTCGGCCTTCTTTTGCTTGGGATTTGTCGTTTTTTGCAATGGGTCACGGGGTTTCAGGAAATGGTCGGGCTTGGTCGTTAATCTTGATGTATCGCAGTTTGTTTTTAAATCACAGTCCAAGGATGGACTCGGATGTCACATGGATTGACCTTGAGTATATTGAAATGAGCAGCACTCAAAGCTGTCGCTAACCACCTGTAGATGGGGTGCATTAACTATCCCGTTAGGTTAATGAATGCATGAACATCTCTACATGACTGTCATGGAATGCCTCTTGTCGAGGAAATTCAGGCATTCAGGATGACAGCACACTGTAGGACAGAATCACATGCTCCATAGCTGCTGCACAGACCACCCGTTGCGATGATGTAATGGGCCCCTCTCCCGCTCTCCCTTTCAGAGCATTCAACCTCGGCCATCACACCATGCGGTCTATTTGTTACTAGGATCTCACCGGTCTTTTGATCGTTCTAGTGGAACGATGCACTGTGTCGGACGATGAGATTCCGAATCATCCCCTGGCCATTGTATCTCTCGAGTGATTCTTCACATATTATCTTCACATATCCATTGCTTGCTACGTCTTGCTAGTACGCGAACCTACTGGTGAAATCCAAATAGCGTATGTCCATACCAGCAGCGCCCCTTCGGAACCATCAATTGAGCCAAACAACTCGAAAGCTTTAACGGTGGTGAAAGATGTCAGAATACAAAATGTCCTACGAAGCGGAGCTGGTACGTTCATTCGCTGTCAACTTCTTGTATACCCAGATTATGCTCCACACCTCATGAGGATGGTCTCATTAACCGCTACTGCTTATAGGATTCCTACCAGCTCTACCACCGATACGAACAACCCCGATCACAGGGTAAAGATTGGAAACAGGCAGCTCTGCGAGGTCCCGCCCTGCCGACGCTGGGCAACGCCCTGGCAGGAGCTATTGGGGCCGCGTTGTCGAATGTGGCGACATACCCCTTGAGTCTGATTGTTGCGCGGCTGCAGACGCAGTCTACCCAGACCTCTAATAAGGGGAAAGCCCACAGATCACAAGAGAGGAGTGAGGGGGGAGAAGGAGATACTGGCGATAAGTATGCCGGCGTGCTGGACGCCGCGCGCAAGATTTACACGCAGGAAGGCCTCGGGAGCTTCTATACCGGCCTCGCGCAGGATACCGCAAAGTCAGTGCTCGACTCATTTCTGTTCTTCCTTGCATATGAGCACCTGCGGCAGCGCAGGATTCGGGCTCGCTTTGCGGGGCGGAGGACGAAACATACGGTCTTGCCGGTGCTTGATGAGCTAGTGATTGGGGTGATCGCCGGGGCGTTTGCGAAGCTGTTCACGACCCCGCTGGCAAATATCGTGGCACGGAAGCAGACAGGCAGGAAAATGTCAGCAGATGCATCGACAAGGGAGATTGCGGCGCGGATCCTCGCTGAGAAAGGCTTGCGTGGGTTCTGGTCGGGGTACTCAGCTTCGCTGATCTTGACGCTCAACCCGTCGCTGACGTTCTTCTTGAACGAGGTGCTGAATTATGCGCTCCTGACGCGGCGGCAGGATCGGACAAGGCAGAAGAAGCCCTCGCCTTTGGTGACCTTTCTGCTCGCTGCCGTCAGCAAATCGATGGCGTCGGCGGTGACGTATCCGTTCTCCAAAGCCAAGACCCGCGCGCAGGTCATGGGGGATGATTTCATGTCAAAAGCCACGGCAGATGAGCCCAAGAATAGTGATAACGGCGAGACTGATGAGGGAATGTCGTTTACGCCGGCGATCGTCAGCAATGTCATCAATATTGCTCGCACGGAAGGCGTCGCAGGTCTCTACGCGGGCCTGCCCGCTGAGGTCCTCAAGGGGTTCTTCTCGCACGGTTTTACCATGCTGGCCAAGGATGCAGTCTACTCGGCCATCGTCCAGAGCTACTACCTGCTCTTGATTGCGCTACGGAAATATCCCAGCCCCGAGGAGCTGATTCAGCGCGCCCGGGAACAGGCGGAAGAGTATGCCGACGTCGCTCGAGAGGGCGCTCGCGAACTGGCGGAGAAGACCAAGAATAGCGCAGAGGGGGTGATGCACACTCTGACAGTGCAGGGAGAACCCGAGGAGGCCAATCTGCTGGGCAACAACGAGACGGCGGAGATGGTAGGGGATTATGTGGATGATGACGGTACGCACAAAGATTTATATCACTGGTTCTGGGAGAAGGATAGGGAGGGAAATTACTGATGCCTACTTGTGGAAGAATAATTTGAGCGATAATGAGCATGTAGTGTACTAAGTTGTTTGTAGCTAGAGGTTTAGTGTTCTGATTTTTGCATGCATGCATTACTTAATTGACATGGGGTTTGATGTATTACCATCACTATAAACGACAATTACAACTTGAACAACACGTGTAATCGATTCCTTGGAGATACAAACTACATCTTGCCCATGTCAATGCTAATTGTGATGAACGGCAACCTCGCGATTCTTTTCCCCCAGCGTAGCGTGAAACAGAATCGTCAACCAGGCTAAGCGTATGGATTGAGATGACATCTGATAACCAGCCCACAACCTGGTCACAGTGGGTGCTCCGCGAGAAGAGTTACAAAGGGCTCTGCGAACTTTCCAGACAACGAAGTCTATCATAGCCCTGCTTCACGTACTCCCTGCTCGTGTGGCAGACCCTCGTTAAGTACGCCGAGGCGTTCGACGATTCGCTGAGCGCAGCAGCATGCTGGGCATGTAGAGCTTCTTGAGCTACCTGTTGGAGAATGTACAAGACCCTAACCATGCTTGGGGACGAGTATGATCATCTCGAGACCGGTGTGACGGTCGTGGTTCACGGGAGGGTAGTGGACGAATTGCGGGTTTGCGGAGAAGGATTCGAAGAAGGCAGTGCCCGTGTACTTGCTGGAAGGGACAAGTCGTCGCTTCATATGTGGGACAGGAAAGTCGGTTTCATGGGCGACGAAAAAGGGTAATGATAGGGAAGCGATTGCGTTGTCGAGGTTGGCTGCGGTGAAAAAGAATTGCGAGGAGTCGCTGCTGCTAGTGGAGTTTTGAAAGTGTATGTATGTCGGGTTCATTGGGAAAACGACTCTGTTAGCAGGCAAGACTAATGAGATCGACCAAGTAGTTATGGAGAAGGTCAAATGTGAATGTGGAGAACATCACCATGAAGGTCTATAGGATATACTTGAGATACAGATACCTTAAGCGAAGATACTTGCATGGTGGAGTCAGTGGACCCGGCGGGAGGAGTGGTACCCAGCCTCAGCCCAGTCCCAGCCTCTTCTTCCTCTGAGGCTCACTTTAGGCCTCCCTCCCTCTTATCATCTTCCCTGACTCCGATCACTCCGTTGGACTCCGTTCGACTCCGTTCTACTCTGCCCTCCCTTCCAACTCATCACATTCTTTTCAGATACTTCCTCTCTTTTTTTAACGCTTCCCATGTCGAATGCATCCATCCCAGGTCCAGGCCTGGGCGACCTCGAGAAAGAATTAACTTGCTCGGTAAGAAGTTACTGACAGGAACCATTGGAATGCTGCGGGAGGGTGACGGTGTTCCCCCCCCCACACCATGATTTAACACTGTCATTTGGCCCTTACTTGACAGCTTAGAACCAGACATCTCAACCAATATAAAAGATACGGAAAGATAAAAACTAACGCTTCTGAGGAAAATTCCCTGCTAGATTTGTACAGACCTCCTCTACCAACCCCTCACTCTCCTCAACTGCCTCCACACCTTTTGCGGCTCGTGTCTCAAAGAGTGGTTCGCCGTGCAAGGAACCCGTTCCCGACCGTCTTCGTCTGCCCGCTTCACCTGCCCATCATGTCGTGCGGCCGTGCGCGACACCCGTCCCAATGCCACTGTGACCACATTACTCGATATGGTCTTGACAGCCAGTCCCGATCGGGACAAATCGGCCGCAGAGAAAGAGGAGATCGCCCATAGATATAAGCCGGGCGACTCGGTATTTCCACCACAAGAAGACCAGGGTTCAGATGAAGAAGACCGACGGGTACTGGAGGAAGTAAGGGCTTTAAGCCTGCAAGACACCCGGTCGAGACATCGCCAGCAACAACAGCGATCGAGGCATTCGTCGCGGAGTCGTTATCGGCGGGTGGAGGGTACGGATGCGGATTCGGATGCGCGCAGAAGGGAGGAGGATGGACGGTCTCGGCGACGACGCGAGGCTTCTTCTTCATCGCGACGACAGCAGCGGCGAGCGGCTGGGGAGGGCAGCTCGGAGCGGTCGACACGACGGGTGGAGCATCAGTCGAGTTTGAGATCGTTGCTGAGTTTATCGGACACGGAGACGATGCAAGAGGAGATATTACGACAGATCTTCGAGGAAGGATTGTTAGACGATATTGATCTGGATAATATGGGTCCGTCGCAGGAGGAAGAGCTCAGTGAGCGCATCGCGGAGGCATACCGTCGACGGCACAGGCTACGAGCACGGTCCCAGCAGCGGCGACAGGAGCCTCCAGAGAATCCGCAAACACCGTCTTCTCGACCCCGCGCGCGCTCCCAATCTGTGCAGCGGACGGACAATGGTACAGCGACTGCTGCTACGAGAGACACAAGAGAGTCGAATGGGGGTCCTCCGCTGTCGAGACCATATCTTCTGGATCCGCTTGTCGCGCGTGATGGAACCTCTGGCCACCAAAGGCGCCTGTCAGATCAGGGTGGTAGTAGAAGCCGTCGAAGGACGTCGCCTGTACCTGTCGCCGCGGCGTCTGCTTCAGAAGTCTCGCTGCGGCCGGCAGCGCGGTCTTCTACTGACGTGGCTGCTGATCGACCGCGGAATTCGGAAGCCGCGCGCGCAAGGACATCGGAATCGTCGACATCGTCTCGGTTACGCCGCGCCACGGCATCCGAACAGAACGTCCCAAACATCTGGATTGAGGGAGCAAGAGAAAGGCAGCTTCGTTCGTCTTCTGGAAGGTCGTCAATCGATTCTCCTCGGGTGGCTTCAGCTTTGAATCATCGGGGACGCGATGGATCTTGGCCGACCAGTCCGGATGAGCCATCTACAGTACCACCTCCAACAAGCTCTTTGGTGGCTGAGGTAGGGGGCGCGGCTAGGCAGGAATCTCGTTCACGACCATCATCCTCCCGGTCAAATGTGCCTCCTCGATCTGCGACACTATATGCGGAACCGTCGATCAAGTGTGACCGGTGTGATAAGCCCAACATTCAGTATGGTTTGCATAAAAGATGTTCCACCTGCAGGGAAGGAAACTTTCATCTATGTCTGCGATGTTATCGCACCGGCCGCGGTTGTCTAGACTGGGCAGGCTTCGGAGCCTCTGCAGAAGCAGACCTGGAAGGTATTCGTGCATCATCATCGACCGGCGGATTTCGAGCCCCAAACGAGCCATTGCATATACTTCAGTCTTGCAAATATCTTCAAGCACCGGAAACAGCCTATCGATTCAACAGAGATGGAGGGATGGTCACCAGTGACGACCCCGCCCGAAGATTGCAAACTGGGCTGTTCTGTGATAGCTGTCAGTCTACAGCAAACGACTGTCTCTGGAAATGTAGCCAATGCAACGAGGGAGACTGGGGCTTTTGTAACCGGTGCGTTAATCAAGGCCGCTGCTGCACACATGCTCTTCTTCCTATTTGTCGTATTACTCGCGACAGCCCATTAGCTTCGCCCACGCGGGCTTACACAAATGTACCAAATGGCACCCCGAATGACTGCAGTGTCGCCTCCGCGTTAGAGACTGAATCCTATAAGACTCTTTCTTTCACCACGAATTGTGACATCTGCACGCATCCTATCCCCGCCTCAACGCTCCGCTTTCACTGTCTCGTATGCAATGACGGCGATTACGATATCTGCGCGAATTGCTACCTCCGTCTAGTTGCCATAGGCAAGATACGCAAGGAGAATGGCCACAATGGCTGGAGGCGCTGCATCAAAGGCCACCGCATGATTGTGGTCGGCTTTGACGAGCATGAAGAGGGACAGCGCCGCGTGATCGTTCGGGATCTGGTAGGTGGACGTGCCTTGAAGGACGACCACTTTCAACAGGCTCTTTCTTCTTCTTCTCCGTTCAGCATCTCCACCGCAGCCAGTGCGACCGCTATCTTCAACAATACAGACTCTACTCCTGGAAGTCCAATCTCACCCACAGGGCCGGGGATAGCCTCGCCTGAGTTCGCACCTGGCGACTGGCTGTGGAAGGAGGGCTCAGAACGTCGCAAGAAGGCTTCTCGTCTGCGCCCGTGGCCTCTGAGCGGCGATCGTGATCGCACCGCTGTCATCAATTCTTCTTCTTCTGAACCTAGTACTCCCAATACGCCAATTTTCGCTCCGGCGGCAGCGCCGTCCGTGACTTCATCCTCAAGACGCTACCCTCCAGATGGCGGCGTCGGCCTCGTCGCTCATGCCCTGTGGTCGTGGTATCCTGAAGACGGCGTCAAAGATGAGCTCATGTTCCCTCGTGGCGCGGAAATTACGGAAGCGGAGAACATCAACGACGACTGGTACTGGGGGTGTTATGCCGGTTTGACGGGGTTATTTCCAGGCTCACATGTCGAGGTGGTGGGTGAGATCATATAAGGGATGGGTGCCATTGTACCGGCTGGTGCAGATGAGCAGCGATTTGGGCTTTGCACATTACGTGGTCCTATCTCACTTAAAACTCCCTTCTGTTTCTTTCTCCTTGGATGCTTTAAGATGCTTTCTTGTCGGCTGCTCATACTTGACCTGAGTCCGGCACCGATCATCTTTTAATAATGTGCATGAATGATGTAGCATATGATGATGATCATGATGATTATGATTATGACTTTTTTCTCTTGTCAAGGCGATCTTACTTCTCGACTGGGTCACTGTGTAGGCCAATTTGAGCCAGAGATAGGTACTCTGGAACCCTGGTAAAAGTATTACCAGATTGAAGTCCAGTAATCTGATTATGATTGGCTCGATCTTGGAACATATAGAATGACTCCCAGTCTGCTTTATAAATGTAATGGCTCTTACAGAGATCATATGCCTTTGCGGAGGGATGAATTTCTAACGATCCTCGGGCGATTTTGGCCTTGTAAGGTGGTCATGACTGTTAAGCTGACAGTCAACTAACTTAGCGGGCTAGTCCGCCTAATTATCAATCTTCCGTCTTATTGGTCCGGTTAGTAGCATCTAGTGCTCACTCATGAGATATGAGAAGCAATCATATAAAAGCCATCCTCCTCCCACCATACATGACACCATTGATTCATGGTTCACTCGATACTCCATCCCTTCAGAAAGAAAAGAAAATGCGTATACTTGAGATTCACCCGGTCGACGAATGCGACCTCCCGGCCTTAACCCGCATCTTCTACGCGGGATTCACCACAGCGATCGACCAGCAGATGTTCCCCGACACCCCTGGTCTTCGCGCCTGGTGGGCCGATGCCAACCGCCACGATATCCTGCACAAGCCTGGCGTGCGTTTTCTGAAGGTCATTGATCGTTTTATCACTCCCGCTGGCAGCGATGTTGGCAACGGGGATGGTGACGATGACAGCGACAGTAACAGTAACAATGCCGGCAACAACGAAAATGTCATCTCCTACGCGAAATGGGATCTGGACCCCTCGAATCGCGGACGGCGCTTCCCCGAATGGCATCCCGACTCGGATGCAGAATTGTGTGATCGGTTCTTCGGGGGATGTGACCTTGTGCACAAGGAGATTATGGACGGGAGGGGGCATTATTGTAAGCTATTTTTTTTTTGCCGGGATTGGTCAATGAGCTCAGGGGTGTGGTTGACTCTGACCTTCGACCAAATAATGATAAAGACCTCGACATGTTGGTGACGCATCCTGCGCATCAGAGACGCGGTGCTGCGACGATGCTCGTGCGCTGGGGGTGTAATTTGGCTGATGAGACGGGGATGTCGGTATATATCGATGCGACGCGCGCGGGGGCGCCGGTGTATGAGATGATGGGGTTTGTGGTGGTGAGAGAGGATGCGGAGGCTGGGTTGCTGAGTATGGTGAGGGAGCCGATGGGGGTATAAGTTTTGTTGGGGATTCTCTGGGCTGTGTCTGTTTGAGCTGCCTACATTACCTACTGTAGTCAGAGACATCTTGTTTTGTGCGGACTGGGCTCGTTGTGTATCTCCATTGCATGGAACCACTGCATAGATCGAAGACACGCCCAATCCAATATGTCACCATTCATCCATTCTGGTTCCATGTGGAAGTGAATTCCGGCGGAGGGTGAGGTATCCTTTTCCGTTACTAAATAGGCAGGGGCCCACACCCGCATCTATGCAAACTGAGGAAGGGAACATCTCTCATTCGCAACGGCAAAGACTTAAGCCAGTGTCAGTCTTCTCTTATTCCCCCAACCGCACTGTTTCGATTATCACTATTGCCTAGGCAGACCATGTCTCGGGTCGATCCTAACCCAGGGTCACCGAGGTTCATTGGGGAAAACTATTTCCATCATCGAGGCATGAGTCCGACCGTTATCACTAGGATTATCACCCATTATCCATATTCTTATCAAGCATCGCGTGCATACCGGCTCTCTTACCACCGTCAACTATACAATCCCTCCTCTCATATCCATCCTGGATCGAGCTTGCTGCACCAGTCCGAGTTCCTCCGGATAGTAAGGGCTTGGATTCGTCGTAAGCCAGCTCACCTTGAAGCCCGTTGTTTGTTGGGCACGCCTAATGCTGCCTTTAGAGATTGATTTGAAGACAAAGGAGGAGGCGAAGTTCAGCTACATGGCTCGAAAAAAGTCGAAGGGCAAGAAGGGGAAGGGAAAGGGAAAAGCAAACACGCCTCAATCGTCAAAAGCGGAAGGCCAGTTGACGCCCGAAATATCGACAGCCGATCCCTTGAAATGTGACCGCTCATCAGTTCTTCCAGGAACTTTCCCTGCAACTCCTCCTACCACTTCTTCTGCGACTCTGCGTGCACCCGAAGTATTGTCGCAGGAGAAAGCAGAGGCTGAAGCACCTGACACGCCCAGTGCTTCGATATCCAGTCCCTCATCAGTCGGAGAGCCATCTTCGCTTTCAGCAATGGAGGAACCATCCCAGGAGAAACCAGACGCTGAAGCACGAAAAGCGAGTACTGTAGAGAAGCTAGCAGCCGAGCTAGCTAAGCTATCAGAGCTGATCGAATCCGTCAAAAACATGCAAGCTGTGCATCACGATGGGATTTATTACCCATTCCTCGTCTATCAAGAGCCGTATGAGTTATCCCGAGCCAGTGCTAGTCGCAGTATTCCAGGTCTCCATAGTGCTCTCGCTATAGGTGTGATGGACTGCAATCGCATCGGTACTGTTCTCTCGAAGCTTGGGCCACTAGAGTTGCTTTCAGTGCGAAATTATTATCGAGATATGTTCGGTAGGGAACTAATGGATGATGTGAGGGATAATCGATGTGGGTTGGTGGTCAGGCGAGACCCTGAAACCGAATACCGGATTTTGCCCGAGTATTCTGAAGCAGGAAGCGTGGAGTATGATCGTAGGTCAATGTCGCTTTTTAAAGCTGTGGGCCAGCCTGCCCAAGAGCAGATGGATACATTGTCGCCGGCTGTCGGCAGGCCTCAGGACCGTGATATTGAACGCGATGATGGTTAATCGTGGAAGAGCTCTAGGAGGGTCTATTGCTGAAATCACTTAAGACGTGGGATGTGGGTGCTAGTAGTGAGGTATATAGTACTCCGAAGGGCTGTCTAGGTCAAACCTGCTATAGGTTAGTTTTGGCTATCTTTTTTTTTTTTTTTCAAGTGAAGGTGATGCTGTCCAGATCGTAAGGTGATACCGGTGCGCCAGGAAACTGAACCTCAGGCACCAAAAACGAAGATGATCATTCCAAATTCGGAATCCTGGACCGACGCCCGAGTCGGTCACCGAGAGGCACAAAATGTGGAGACATCGTCTTACTCAGCGGCATTATAGTGACGCGAACTATCATCACGTGGCTGATAAGCATTTGAACAGTTTTGGGGATGTCAACTTTCCCCTCGAATGACGCCGGCATCATCAGGATAGACGTGGCCACATTCCATGCAGCTGACGAACATTATGACGCCTTCGTACCTAATTTAGAATCATGCAGGAAATTACACACACCCACCGAAGCTCCAACATGGCGCTCCGTTTCCCCAGAAATCCTCGGGCGGCTTGTCGATCCTCCTCGGACCAATTATTCTTCCTTCGATAAGCTTCGATAGAACAGAGCTCAGGATCGCTGGCAAACCCATCACTCCTAGCTGACCGAGGGGATTGTCCCGTTGCTAGCAATTTCATCTCCGTACGTAAAAACTGTTTCGCCCAGAGCGCCGACTCCCTGCAGCACATTTCACCGCTTCGCTTGAGGTTGCTGCCAAGATAATCTGGACACCAGCTTTGCGATTTTGGAAACAATAGTGTGCCACTCCCCCCTTCGACGAGGCTGCCAAGAACAGATGGGATGACGTGATGGTGAAGCAATTAGCCGGATGCCCCTAAGGCTGAAGGGCTGCAGCATCTGAGTGGGGAATCGAAGCAGCGTGCGTACGTATGCCTATATCCACTTTTGGTGGCGATGGAGCGGCTAGCGTTGCCCTCGGCGGGAACATCACCATCATGGCGCAGTTGATGGCCATGATGATGAAAGAAGTGCAAGACCCTGTAGGCCTTCATGTCTGATAGCAGGTCTGTCTTAACCACATTTTAAGCAATTGCTGCTTCATGGAGATTCACAATCAACAGGCGCAATCCGACAGTTCTGTGCATCTCCAATTCGGACGCGTCAGGAACCGCGTACCGCCCGTGAGCTTCGAATGACACGCAAAACCCCGTATCAACGAGTGCCACGAAAGTGCCAAGAGTTCCAAAGATTGGGGCGAGAGATCGGGAGCCCCTCCCCAGCTTCCCCCGATAGGCAACAGCATCCGAGAATTCGCAGCTCTCTACTGGGCTCCTCTGTCAGTGGCAGTGTCGTCGGGGCTTGACTCAACCAGTTATGACGCTGTTTCGACTGATGGCCAAGCCCCGATCTCCGTGGATTGTCTGGCCTGATGATGTTGTATGTGGCTATGATGTGCGCCACCTTTTCTAGAAATAGGAGCCGTAGTTTAGTCGTCTTCGTATCCGGATCCACTGCTTGGCTCCGAGACTGTCCTATATAAGGCGAGCTGAGCTCCCTCCTTCTTCACATATCAATCAAACAACCATCTATCATCTATCTATCATTCACAATGGGTCTCTTCCATCACCACCACGAAAATCCCCCTCACCACGGCGGCCCTCAAGGCGGTCCTGGCGGTCCTGGCGGTCCCGGTGGCCCTCACGGCGGCCCTCAAGGCGGTCCTGGCGGCCCTGGAGGTCCCGGTGGTCCTCAACAATTTGGCGGTCCCGGTGGTCCTGGCGGCCCTCACGGCGGTCCCGGTGGCCCTGGTGGCCCTGGTGGCCCTGGTGGCCCTGGTGGCCCCGGTGGCCCTCACGGCGGCCCCGGCGGTCCTGGTGGCCCTCATGGCGGTCCTGGTGGTCCTGGACGCTGGTAAAGTAAGTCGCGGCAGCATATGTCTTATGCATTGGAATCAGTTACTCACATTCGCATAGCACACATACATCCGACTATCATCGAACCGAATTTCGCCATGGGCTAAGGCTTGCTTGGACTGTACATACTTTGTCGGATTCGGGATTGACTGATCATTTCTTGCATCATATACTTTTGCCATGAATTTTATGGCGCAAATACCCAATACAAGCAGAAATCATACTCTCGATACTACGCCCTTCCGTGTCATTATTCCTTGAGCGCCGCTCGGTCTACGGCCCGTAATCTTCTTCGGCCAGCTGTAGGATGTCGATATATATGGGTGGTGCAATTCAGGTTTTTGTAATCGTATTAACGTAGCAGAGCCGTTCTTCTAGATTAGCATAGCCTAGTAAGCCTGATATTGTGTTGAGATTGATAAGAACAGCGTTGCTAGAGTTGATGCGAGTCGACCGGGTGTTCCAACGCTTGTGCTATTTAGAGAAAGAACGCCAGTTGAAGTAAGCAGAGACGAAGGGGCTGATCGGCGCCATATCATCACCGATGGATTACTCTCGGAATTGCACATGGAAAAACAATAATGACATGATCTATAGCGACGGCAACTTTCAGGTTGTGCTGTATGTACTTCGGCCCCCAGATCGGCGAACGGAACCTTACTACTGCCTCAGGCATCACGGACACGGAATCCCGAGTCCATCCCAGTAGTCATCAGCTCACGCTTCTACCTCCAAGTTTCGTCGTTCCTCTTCCCCCCCACTTCAGTATAAAGACTCGATTCTACATTCATTATGCGTGGTCAGGAGATCACGCCGCTCAAAGCATGCCGGCCATGCTCCAAGGCTAAGGTGCGATGCGACCCTGGGCCAAACCAAGCCTGTCAGCGGTATGTGTGCATGAGTTAGTATGCTTGTGAGCATATCTTCGAACGAAACTCATATCAAGTAGATGCCACCGACTAAGGAAAGAATGCATTAAACAAGCTCCTGGAGCTCATAGCTCGGATAGATCGAGAACTTCGGCGTATGTCCTGTCCACTTCCTTCCCCTTTCTCTCAAGTCCATTTGCGATCGTTTGAGACTAACAACCCCGTCCCCTACCATCCAGAGATGTGAGACGGCTGGAAAGAAAACTAGACAACATGGAAACACTATTGATGGTCTCCCAGCGGCCTACCAATGGCAGCATCTCCAACTCGGGATACTTGTCACCGGAAGGTCAGGTGCCTCGGACTTGTTTTCCGAGCGAGTCGGTGACTTTGAGCGAGTCGGAGCAAGAGGACACAATCTCCTACTTCCACCAGCGCATGGCGATTCGGTTCCCGTTTGTTACGTGTCCTCCCTCTATGTCAGCTGGTGATCTGCTTCTTCAAAGACCATTTCTTCATATGGTGATTTCCATGGTTGGTTGCCAGGACCAAGAGGCACAGCTGTTCATCGCGGGTAAAGTCAAGGATTACCTAGTTGAACACCTGGTAGTGAACGGAGAGTCAAGCCTGGATCTCTTTCAGGGGTTTCTCCTATATCTCGCGTGGTGAGTTATCTTTTGACCTTCTTCTCCAGATGATGCGGCTCTTATTGAGAACGGTGGGATATGCGGACAGGACTCATATTTACGTCCCTACAACGGAGCAACTGTGCAACTATCTCCATCTTCTGGTGGCCCAGAGCAGAAATCTAAGTCTGGCAAGAGATGTTTCGAGTGGACCGCCTATGACGGTATCATCTTATATGAAGTGCAAGCAGTTCGAGCGATCGAGCGGACCTCTCCGTTCCCTGGATGAACGCAAAGCTTATCTGGGATGCTTTTACCTTGTTACCATGTACGTCTCGCTCCCAGAAATCTTGCTGTTCCATGACGCTACTGACCAGACCAGGCTCTCGATGTGTTTAGGCGAGTCCGAACCCATGCAGTGGACGAGCTACATGGAAGAGAGCTATCAAGTCCTCGAAGCTGCAGCGCAAGGAGAATCCGACTGGTACCTGTTACGTCTGGTCGATGTCGCACGCATGGTGGACAAAATCTACCGCACGGTTCATATGGATGTCTCGAGTGGCTTCTCCTGCGCTTCCCGGGGAATCGCCATTCGCTGGCTGCAAAAGGAGCTGGAACAGTTGAAACTAAAGCTTACGTTCAGTGATCCTATACAGTCCTGTAAGTTCGCCGTCTCATTCAATCCCGCGGGGAAAAAAACCCTAGACGCCGACTGATTAAGACCTTACGCAGCTTTTCTCCTCTTGCATTACCACAACCTTGAGATCTTCGTCAACCGCACCGCTCTCCGTCGTGATTCAGATTTCAAATCAAGCACGTACCCGCCCACCCAGCTTACCACTCTACACGAATGTCTTCAGTCCGTCAAGGCCTTCTTTGACACCTTTTTTGCCATCCCCTCCGCCGCCTTCTTTCGTATGCCCTATCTCTTTTGGTGCCAACTGGGCCACGGCTTTCTGATCCTCTCCCAGATCTCGGTGTATGATGATGAAGATGACGAGGATAGGAAGGGACTTTGGGATCGCGAGTACGCACGCCAGGTCATTGACTTCCAGACTACAGTCGATCGACTCACGCAGAAGGTTGAAGATGCGGTGACGGCGGCCCGCGAGGAAGGCATCCTAATTCCGAGCGTGTTTGGAAAGGTAGCGTCCCGCATTGACATGTGGAGGGAAGTGCACGCGAGACAGGAGGAGACGCTACAGAACAGGCAGAGAGGGAGAAGCAACATATCAACTACGACGACAAGCACACCGCCAGAGGATGGTATGTTGGTAGATCTATTAGAAATGGAAGAGTTGATGCCTGGGATGGGATTGGAGGATTTGTTGAAAATCGGCCCTATGTGGGAGTTTCTGCCTTTCTAGGGAGGTTTCCTATGCTATGTTCCAGGTCACTTACTCTTTTATGACCCCATGACCACCCAACAGTATACAGCCAACGTCCTAGAACTCAGCTTCTCATCGACTGGTACGCCTACAGCTTCAGCTATGGAACAAAAATATAGGGTGCATGAGTCACATCAGCTCAAGCCAGGGGCAAAAGGACCTATGTCAGCTTCAGCATGGCTTTGATGGTTAATTGTTTTGCCCCGGGTCTTTTTGCTGCCGTGGTGCTAGACAACATCCAATTGCGGGTTTGGTTTGGATGGTAGAGGCGCTTACGATGAAGAAGGAAGAATACTGCGATGGCTTGGCAATTCCTTTGCCACTACAAAGCCAATAAAGGAACCATCACTTTGCAAACGATCGAAGGATCAAGGGACTTCCGTTCCGCCTATATACAAGGTTAGCTCTGCTCATAATTTTACGATGGTAAGCGAGCCGCCGATCGCGATCACACTAATGCACAGTTAGCACAAGAATGCCAGCAGTGACAGGCACATTGGCCGCACATGCCCTCCATCGTGTCGATTTGACTTCAGCCCCCGTGCCCCGATACTCGTTTAGGCTACTGGCACAGGATCTGGTGGAACAACCTGCGGGAGTAGTTTATACACCTTACACAGTACTCCGGGGGTATTCAGAGTGCCAGATGACAGATGATCTTTTCTAGTTAGTCATTCTAACTACTTCTGTTTCTTCTACCCAACCAATCCGTATTTCTGTGAGCTTCTCTTTCTTCCTCCCTCCCCTGCACATACTTGCTGACTCTTCCCCCTTCCGGCCTCAGACAAGATGACAACCAACACCACCCAGGAAATCCAAGGCTTTGCCTCCCGCCGCAACAACTCCTGCCTTGCCGACGAGGTCAGCTGCGTTCACACTTGGGGTACCTGGTACGCCTGCTGCCCTTCAGGCTCCTCCTGCCCCGGCGCAAAAGTCAGCGTCCCCAATAACGTCTGCTGCGCCAGCTGGACCGACTGCACCGCCCAGATCGAGAATCCGCCTGTTGCGCGGAGCCGCAGCACCAGTGGACGCTGTACAATTACGACTAGTATTTCTGTTGCGAGGGCGATGCCCAGGGGTTTGGGTTCAGGAAGGAGACATGGGTTGGGTGTGCTCCTGCGGGCTTCCAGGGAGATGCGTCGTATTCGGCGTTGACTACTATTGCGTAAGGTATGAGTTCCGTCTCTTTCCGTGAGAGGTCGATATTGGGTACATAGCTAGGGACAAGGTTACAGTCTGTGCTAAGGAGGATTATGGGTTGGTGCTGTATAGAGACGGCCACTACTAGTACCATTACTAGCTTTGGTACAAATACGGTAACGACGACCGCAGCAGCAACAACTACTGCTAATGCGAGCGGAACGACCATCTTTCCGAAGGCGACGGCAAGTGCAACGGCTGCGCCAGCGACACAGGGGCATGGGAGTAGATACTGGAGCGGTCGCTGGGGGCGTGGTGGGTGGGGTAGTGGGTGTGTCTGCGTTGGCGGCGGTCGTCTGGTGGATGCTACGCCGCCGCAAGAAGGCGCTGCCGCCGCAGCCTGTTGTGTCTCTGCAACCGCAGTAGTCTCAAAGTGTAGGTACATGTATGCCGCTTCCGGGGAGTCGGGACATGGAGAGCTGTCTGGAGAGCCCACGCGAATTGAGCTTGTGGGGCGTAAGGATCAATTGAGGCATGAGTTGCCTTGATATGCTCAACACGCTCAACTCTCACGAACTGCAAGGAGCAAGTACTCTCATGGAGGCAAGCTCGGTGTGGACTCAAGGGCCATTCCGGAGCATGATGCATGGAGATGTTAGTGATTATGACCCGGATCATATCCCGGAAAGATGGAGAGATAAATATTCGGACAATCTCCGCTATGGGTGATGAGTGAAGTTATGAGGCCGGGCATTGACGACAGATCATTTTTTGCGCTTTAGCGTCCCGAATGGAAGCGAGAGCCTTCTGGCAAGCAAGTGCAGATATCTGATGGCCGGTTATTGGCGTTGCTGGAATATGAACACATCTCCGGAGTCGAGTCAACTCCTGGACTCGGGAAGTGTTCCCTTAAAGTATCGGGAAAAGATTGCTGCCATCCGCCTACCACCCAGCACGATAATCCAGAGACCGAGCAGATGCTCCTGTCGATGTCTTTTCAACCAACCAGAACCTCATCTACGCTTTGAATGCGTTCAATCATAAGATCCACTTTCCTCACACAAGCCTACTCGTGGCGGTGGATCCCGGATTGAAACAAATCAGGTAGGAGGTATGACGTTTACGTTAAGGCCTGAGCCATCGTGGCAAACGGCATTCATATCAGGTCCGAAAACACGATCGAGCACTTCTAGCAGCGTATCTCGGCTCAGCCGGCCTAACTGGTATAATGCAGCAGCCAACAAGGGTGCTCACACCATTCGTGACCATTACATAGTGCAGGCCGGAAGCTCACAGAGAGCCGTCGCCAGAAGGGCTCGGACTTTGGAAGCGATGGAACGCTCGACTTGCCATGGTAGAAGCGCAACCCGTCACCAGACTGAAATTGACACATTGCCTTGATGCAGCCAAATGAGCGTCGTACGACTGGCCGAGGACGGCTCTTCATATCACCTAGTAGAGTTATAGCCTAAATACAGGGTATATACCACACATTAAGAATACATAATAATTGAGAAACAATCTAGTTCGCTAGAAAACGCATCATAGCGCAGGGGCGCAAAAGAACAAGCCAGATTTGATCTTCACAAATCTTGACCAGCCTATTTCTTCCGCGACGAACCCCCCGACACAGCCGCGCCGCCGATCAGCTCGGGGGTGCCGCCGACAAATGCACGGGTCACCTCATCCGCGGCGCGCCACAGCACCCAGAAAGGCACAATGACCCACAGGCCGTTGAAGAATGTCAAGTAGACGAAGGTGTACATCCAATGGCTGGTGTTCAGGGCGGGACTGCCAGCCAACCACTCGGGCACAAAGGTCATGAACCCACCGTACAGCTCGGCGGTGGCCAGACAGGCAGCCACGAGCCAGGTACGGCCGGCGACAACGCCGCGCTGCCGGCCCCCCAGGCGGCCATTCGCCAGGAGGTACAGGTTGTAGCAGATGTAGGTGGCAGCGGGCCCGCCGAGCAGGACGGTCAGCAGCTCGATAGAGACGACCGTTGGGTCGGCGCCGCCCCAGCGATGGTCGGCCTTGGCGTACTCCTGCCACAGGCGGGCGGTCGGATCCCAGGCGGGCCCGTAGGTGGCCCCGTAGGCGCGGTCGCGGTTGTTGAGGAAGACGGGCCCGAAGCGCGACTGCGCGGCGGAGATGGTGATGGAGCTGAAGAAGCAGTGGTATAGGAATGAGCCCTCGATGAGGAAGTGGGTGAGCGCGTCGTAGGCGTGCCAAAGGAAGAGCAACCGGGGCAGCGCTGCGGAGTCCGCCCCGGGTATCAGTCGCTTGCCCATGATATAGGCGATCAGCATCGGGAGAAAGGCCATGACGAGGCAAAGTACGGTGGGCAGGTCCAGCACGAACGGCTGGGCCATGATCGCCGAGTAGTCGTACAGGAGCGCCTGTTGCACGATCTTGTTGTCCGCGTTGGCGGCGTGGGGGGTCGGGAACACGGCGGCGGGAGGCTGCTGGTGGTCCACGTAATGACTGTAGGTGTGTGCAACGGGATGGATCCCGAGAAAATCCAGGTGTATGTGTGAGGCTATCTTGGACAGTTGGGTCTGCGCGATTGTCAAGACGGACTCGACCGAGTCTTTAAGTGACATGGTGATGGGAAAACGGGCGAAGAGGGGAACACAATGAAAACAATGAAGGAACCGCGTCCGGCCTGAGTCAAGGGAGAAAAAAAGGATAACAGGAGGTTTTTAATTGCTTGAGGTTGTTTTGTAGAGGGGTTTTTTTCTTCAATTCCACCGACCCCTGAGAGATGCTGCAGCTGTCTGTCAAAGAAAATCGCGTCGATGCGCGATCCGCGAAGGCCTCAGGCAGAGGGGAACTTTTCTGTTTTAGGAATGGTGGTGGGTGCCCCACCCGGGAAACACAGGACGGGGGAATACTTTGGTATGGTTCCACTCTTTGTTTCTTTCATCCATGGACTATGGTGCTATTTCCAGCTTCTTTCAAATTGGTCGAGTATTGCAAAATGTGAGGTTTTTGGGCATGTCGCATTCTTCTTGTACACACTGGGTGTTGTACCAAGGACCTTCTTTTCGGTAGTCTGTTTGGTCCTTGGACTTCTTTTTGTGTCGATACCTAGTTATGCCTGGATGTCCATTGCCAAGAACAATGGTTCTTGATCGTAATCTTCAGATCGTGATTCTGTTGTGTGAATTTGGGTATATGATTACCAGAACTTGTTGGCATATCGTGCACTGTCACATTTGCGTTCACGATCATCTAACATGCTCGTCGGCATAATCACCCTACATCTTGTACATACTGTCTAAATGAATCGGTTGCGGGCAGTCCGAGTTGAATCTGCTGCAACAGATAGTCTATCGATCCAGTCGCTGCTTTTGAGCAGGACGGCAGCGTTTAGGCCTGCAATAACTTGTTCTCTTATGATTGTGGAGTCTGCGACATGAAGTAAGCGCTGAGAGTCTTCGCCACAAGAGGACGGGGCGTCGCTGTCCTCCAATGCATCGCTTTCGTACTGGCTTGACTTCTCTTGGCGTGTGCCCGTTTTCTCTCCGTGTACCTCTTGAACATAAATGCTTATAGTAATATCTCGAAATGAGAATATCCGTCTTGTCCCTCTTATGTATATCCATTTCGGCGTTCATCGGGTTGACTTCGGTGCTCGGGGTGGAATAAAGACGATAACGGGACTCCTCGGTGTGAGTATGACAAAGGTGCTCAATATCAATAGGTATCCAGAGTCATTACGTCTGCCTTGGTGATCGGCTGCATTATCCTGAAGTTTACCGGTATCAATACGAAAGTCGTGACTCGAAAGGCAAGAACTTGTCAAGGTTGGCTGTCACTGAATTGCGAGTGCTCTAGAGTCGTGAGCCAATTGAGAAATCATCGTCAAGCGATTCATAAACGGCTCAATATCTTCTCCTTCTTGCGCTTGGTACTCACCGGTAACTTCAGTTACTTCATTCCTTGTGCCGACAAAGCCTTTCGCCTTATTATGACTTCTCACTATCGTCGTGCGGCCACAAGTCCTTCTCCACCCACCTTCAATTGAATCTCAGGCCAGCCGAAGATCAGACAACACGTATTATATACTTTCTCCATCAGACAGCATAGCGGTGGTGAAACATGGCGAAGTCCGCAATATCTATGTTCCTTGATTGCAGAAGCATCACAGTGTCACCAGAACGTGTCACTGTGATTTTTCATCTCGGGCTCGTGCCAGGAGGACGGCCGTGTGCTGGCCTAGGGAGCCTCCTGCCTGATTTGATTACGCCTTCAATATTAAGGTTGGGTTCCAGAGCTCCCCAAGAATAAAGGGCTGCGGGTACGTTATGGGCAGGTGGACGCTGGCATCAAGATACATTAGTGTCGGAGGCTTCTTCGTAGTTGAGGTGTATATTTGTACCGGGACAATTGTGAGCAGACGAAGATGGGTGCAATGCCGACGACTGGACGCTGTATCAAGATACTGAATTGACGGATCATGAGTAGCACATCCCGAGGATTGTCGAACAAGATTGCTGCGAAGACCATGCTGGTTAGCTTACGCACCGGAGGAAGTGGAGGGGACATTGGGAAGTTTGTCTCACGATCAACAAGGGGTTCTTTCATTCGAGACTCCACTAACGACTTGCTTGGAGCAGGGTGCATTTGGGGGATAATCGATTGTTCCCTCAGTCCTAGGCCAACTCATCTCGGGGAGACTCCTAGCAATCCTATAGCGATGATTCTGAGCATTAGAGGATTGGGACAGCGCATTCATGATGGATGGAGTATTTCTTGACTTTGAAAATGCTGTACGTATGTCCTGCTACTATGCTCATGTCGTGTCGACCAGGGAATAAGTTGCTCCATTGTGAGCTGTAAGGATTAGCTCGCCTTCACTGCGTGGTGGGCCTTGCGAGTAGAAGCACAAGGGCTAGTGTGCTCGACGAATATAGTTGGGACTCTTGAACTTCGTGATCTGGCAGTACGAGAGGAATGAATCGACTCGTACACTGCCACACTAGAGGTAAGTAAATTCTGGGGCATTTAGAAAAAAAAGAGAAAAGCTATGGGAAGGGTGAAGCTAGAGTGCCAAGTAGCAAAGCAGTGCGGAGCTGCCACCGAGTTACTTCACATAAAGGGCTTAGTCTCAGGTTTTTCATTCTTCCACTCTTCTGATTGTCGAACATATAATCTCTCTCAAACACCCTTGGTTGTATTCGCCTCGCTGTCTGGTCCGACTATTTCTTAGTGAAATCATGCGCCTAGCTCTTGTGAATTCCCACGAACCTTGCCTGATTCTCTGATTTCGAGGCTGAAATTGAAGTCTTAACCCTCCATATTGTTACAGAAGGCGCTAACACTGATAGTTCAGTCATAGGTCTAAATGCACTCGCTACGTCCTGTACTCTTCTATTTGCGATCCTCTGCCATGCATGTCTCATCCATTCCGAGAGCTGCTTTTCACGCACGTCAAATGGCTTGTTCTGGTCGCCAAGTAATCCCCATAAGGCTTTACATAGATTGAATAAGGGCCGGCCTCTCGCAAATCACAGTAGATCTCTCATTTAGAAGATGGAATCGCCACTGCTCCCAAAAGAATGGGCAGCTGCTCGTCGGTGGCAGTGCTGAAGGCAGGGACAGAAATAAGACAGTGACTATTGAGAAATTCAATCCACGCTGCTTTGTTTCGTTGCATCTCTGTTGTGCCTTGTCGAGTAGTTGTGCTGCACTCTTTCAATCGCGAATATAGCATTGTAGAAGGACTATAAGCTCGAATGTAGGTAGCGTAGGAAATGTGATGTCAATACATCCTACAATGATGTGTGTAGATTATCTTTTTGATTTCACTCTGGAAACTCTGGCCTCATTATGATATGGTAAACAGGCCTGGGTTTGATGTTTTGCCCGAGTGGCGGGCCTTCCATCTAGACCTTTGACGGGGCAGCCAAACCTATGGCTAAGCATTGCCGTTGAATTGCGATCTTGTCTTGTGCTCGCACCGCGCGACTATTGTCCTTTCCAGTGATTATAAGCGAGGACTAAGTCATTTCTGGTATGTCGTGGGGATCAGTGTGGTGAAGGTGTGAAGGCGAACCACGTCTCGAGTCTTTGTCGCCGGCTCGTGGCTTCAGCCTTGAAAGAACTCTCATCCACAACTCACCATTCACTTTCCGACCACTCAATTCATTGGTTTCATGCCATCCAGCGCTGCTAAGAGAATTCCAAGTGGATGTGAGTAGCATTTCGATTACCTTTCGCCCTGAATCAAACATCGGGGTGGCGTGGCCCAGATGCCCTTCTCCACGGCACTCTTGCCCCTTTAATTTTCATGGGTAACACCCAAATGTCCAATATTTAGCGGAATTATCTGCCATGCTTGATACCCCAATAAAGCTTGACTCCAGTTTCTTCAAGTTTCTCGTCAACCCCACCTCTTGATGCACACACAACCTGATCTCGTCCCCGGACATTCATACCGCACCATGGCTTCCGTCGACGGCGTGGATGTCGCTCTTTACAATCTGATTAGGATCGCATGGGACCTGCATCACAATTGCAATCTTGTTCGTGGTGAGGCACCTGAAGGATTCAAGCAGCTCGTGGATGGGCTACTGTCGCTTCATAACACCCTTCGTGCTCTGAAAAACAGTGTCGAGAGTGTGAGAGGTGACCACAAAGTCGAATTGCAGCCATCACTTCATGCCTGCCTCGAGACCCTGCATGCACTTCACATACTGGTCGCCCGGTATAGGGCCATCGGTGCTAGCAGCGAAACGGAGTTTTGGGAGAAGATGGATTGGCCGACACAGCAAGGACAAGTCGAAGAGTTGAGATCTGAGGTCGCTGCCCATACACATAACCTAGGATTGTGCATGGGTTCGATTGTGAGGTATGTTCTTCGTATCTTGCCTGAATTTTCATTCGTGGTTATTGATTCTTTCAGTTACTCGCTAGGTAGCTTTAACAACACGGTACTAGAATATCCACAAATGGACAAATCGACATTGCCCACGCCTCCACCAGCCAAAATATCTCCCACTCTTCCATCCCTTCCGCCGTTATCATCTCGAAGGCACAATACTATTGGTATCTCAGAGTTAGAGGGGAGCTCGACCTTTGAATCCAATAATGTTGATGTGAAGACACACGAAAGCTGCAGTAATGACCATACGCGTGGTTCAGTCTCTACAGAGTCGATGGCCTCAGGGTACTCTGATACGTCCATTATATCGGGCACCACTCTAACCCCATCCAGTAGCGTATCTGGAACAACCAATTTCAAGATGCCCTCGATAGATATGTTTTCGACGGAGAAAGAGGTGTTTCATTCTCGGACTCCCGGATTTGTGCCCCCAGGTGCGCCGGACCCAGATATATCACCTACTCAGTCTTATTCGCGGGAAAGGATCCGTCGATCGCTGCGCTATGAGCCCAGAGATAGATTTCATCAACCGGATGCTGAGCTGATGCTCCAGTTCGACGCCTCTGTGGTGAAGGGACAGGAATCTCGGAATCTCACCACGAGCGGGTGGTTACACATCGCTGTATGGTGGCTGCTCAAGGTACGGCAGCGTGGCTCTCCGATATAAATGATATAGACTGACAGATTCTCAGGCCCGTGCGGTCCTTGCTAATGCAGATGAACCGAGTCTCGCAACTCGAGGGAACGTCAGCCCTTCCACCTTATCATGGTCATCGAGTTATCAATCATATCTTGACCTGCTAAAAGCATCATATATCTTATATGATGTCGTGCTAAGGACAGGCGATTCACAAGAGTTGTTCTTGGATGAGAATCGAAAGATGGTATCGGACTTATCGAATGTAAGCAAATCCACTGAAGATATGCCGGGATCCACTAAAGCCAGATAACAGGGTATCAGGGAAGACTTCTCTCAATTTAGGGCTGTCGATGTGCCAGACTATGCTGCTATTCATTCACACAACCACGATATTCTGGAGACTATACAGCCGGAGGAGATCACTGGGGATATTGATCCTCGGTCGGGCTTGGGTGATGTCCGTTACACCACCGTCGAGATCGAAGACGCAGGCAATGAGGACGAGCATGTCGTCTTTCGCACGTTTGTCAACGCCGGGATAGGCAGCAAGAAGCTTCGCATGAGAACTAAAGGAGCCCCATATATGCTTCTCTTGTCCAGCAAAGCCGGAGAGAGTGAACCGAAAATCAGTTTATGCAACCAAATGGGAACGTTGTTTCTGCAGCGCGACTGTAAGTCAAGCCTAGTTCATCATAGACTGTGGTGTCTAATCAAGTCACAGTCGCGCCGGCCGATTTGACCCAGCTTGTTCAGATTTCGGACGCTTCACTCGAAGGCCTTCCAGTCGCCAAATCCACGGAACCCGTAACGCTGATGTTTGGGGGTACCAGTGTTTCGATCTCATTCCAATACCTGCCAGACCTTGTGCAGTTCATCAGCGTTCCGAAAGCCTACTTCGATGCCGTGTGGCCGCGGGAACCAGTAAGCTCTGATGAGATCACCGAGACTGTGATCTTCAAAGGCTCCGCTGAGGTCCTGGAACAGCTCAAAGCACCAAGCATGGTAGCCATGAGTCCGGCCGTTGTTTATAGATCATGCGAGGTGCGCGTTCTGGAGCGATCGTATAAGGAGGCATGGCGCTCCATCCGGAGAATAGTTATCAGCTCTTCTGTGGCCGACAAGAATCCCATGTGCATTGACTGGTTCATGCCTCTGAGTTGGGTACAAATCCACCGCAACAAGGGAACAAGGCAGGCGCTGCTGAAATGGTCCGATACGGGTCAAGAAAGATCCGATAAGACCGATGGAAACTACAATCCGCTGTTCTCCAATGTTTACGACGAGAAGAACCCCAACATAGGAATCAGTATAGAGTGGCCCACGGAGCAGGCAGCAGAGGAGTTCGAGCAGGCTATTTTGAGTCTGAACGGAAAGCCGATCTTCTCCTGGTCTCAGACTCAAAGCTCAGGGCACATTTACGACAATGCGGACGACACCCCCGAGCAGAAGAAATACAAATCCATCATAGTGTGCCAATCACACATGGGCTGGAGGACCTGTGGCGTGTACTATGTGTACCGAGACACTGACTACATCTACGAGCATGCCAACCGTCGTGTTCGGTTCCCGCATATTTTTCACACTCACTACATATCAACGCATGTCGATCAGCTGTACCGTGCTGAAACTCAGGTCCGATACTCTCACAGCGAGAAGACGATGAGAAGTGTTACGATCTGCTTTGATGAAGAGCTCACCTTGCAGGGATTCATGAGCTCACTGGCATCCTCCCACGAACTCGTATTTTCCAGGCGTGCCACATCTCTCACGACCAAAGGCAAGCTGTTCTTCGGTCTCAAGAAGTCTTCCAAAGGAGACTCAGAGGTCCAGCTGTGGCGAAATGAAGAGCACCTTCGTCTTGCTGCGCGATGGAAGAATGAGCAAGTCGCAGACAGGTGGCTTACCATGGGACTCCCAGCACGCGAGCCAACGCGCGAGCCCACTCGGATATGCTTTCCCAACATGGAGTTTTCACGAGGGATGGTTCTTAATATGGCTCAGATATGCGCTGGGAAGGCGAAAGACCCTGGCAAGGAACGAGTACGAGGGCCAATCACGATTACTTTTCCGACATCTAAAGGTAGGTTAGAAGCATGGCGGTATGCAGGAGATTTGTATATCTCGCAACGGGATGCTGACGTTTTTGCCATGGAATAGATCAAGCAGACTTCATGATGGCCTTGCTAACAAGACCGATATCTTAGACGGGTGCAAGCTGGGGAAAGGCATATAAACCTGATGTACGAAGCAAGAAAAGAGAGACTGAAGACGAGGTTTCGTCCGACGAATGACATTTCTGCCCTATGATGCCTGTCTGATGTTCGACAAAAATAGTCACGCCCGGGATCGAACCGGGAACCTTCTCGGGTCGTTCAGCTGATGTGAACGAGAAATCATAACCATTAGACCACGTGACTGATTGTGTTGAAGGCCTGCTGTTGATGTAGCTGATAACCTTGGTGCGATTCGCATACCACGGACGGTACGGTCGGTACCTTCCTGCAGACGAACCCGCCGCCGATCGCCCCATGACAGCAGACAGTCAGGTCAGGAACTCCAAAACCGTGGCCAGCCGGGAATTTGTCCCACGATGCTGGTAAGACAAGCTCTTCCGCTGACGGGGGGTATGAGCCGTGGAATGAACAAGATTTATGGTGCGTCTGATCATGTTCGTGAGTCCTTGAGATCAGGAGAGCCCTTCGAATCCTAGAAGACAATCTACCACAGCGGTTCGTGTAACTATCCAGCGTGCATAGAGAGAATCAACTAGCATCCGTCATCTTGCCAGTTGAGTTGATCCGACCCTCGTAACCTTGCTGCTTACCGGACAGAAAGTCTTCTCTTTGACCAATGTTCGTCATCAATGAACCCATCCAGCCATACCATGTAGTCATTCCATGATTCAAATCAAGGTAAAAGTTGACCACAAAGCACCGAAGTCGCGGATGACTTGCAGAGAGAGATCCCCGAACTACTAAAACTTTAGAACCCACATCTGCAAGCGGATGATCTCCGTCTGGGCAAATGGGAACATGAACACTGCGCCCGCGTGCGCCCGGCACGTGCACATCTCATGACTCTGATACACGAAGCCTGCTGCACTGCGGTGACTAGTTGCCTGTTTAAAAAACAAGTCCGTACCTACTCCTTGCCCGAGCGATTGGAATTGTGTCATCTTTCTCGCTGGAAAGATGACTGGTTGATAGTTTCCAGTTCACTTGCCCTGAGCCTGGGCGAAGTCGATACTATACAATCGTGGAATAAGGATTCAGCCTTTCCTACTTTGTACACTTATTTTACTGTACGACTGATGACTTTGTTTCTGCTTCCAGCATAACTTTTCTTTGTCCAAGTGTGTTATTTATCCTCTCTCGCTGTGAATTTCAGTAACGCTTGAAAGGAGCATATATATTTACCTGCGAACCTGGCCTGTCCTTATTAATCCCAAGCCCAGCTGTGAATCGTGTGGATATGCCATATCTGGTCCATTACCACCATCGTCAGCAGCATCGACGGCGCCACTCCTGGCCCTATTGCGGTGGCGGGACACAGCATCAGCAGCAGCAGCAACAGTTAAACTGGGCGGCGGTTCAGTCCGCCCAACAACAACAACAACAACTCCTCGAACAGCAGTTCCTGGTCCCCGTTGGATCAGAAGATCTACTAGATGACGATGCCGCATCCGCCGGGATCGCGTCCTCAGCGACACAGACCCAGGCTGCAACAGCAGGAGCAGCACCAAGGCCCCGACGATGGTGGTCATCATGGTGGCATCCCTCCTCGCGGGGTGCATCACCATCACCACCTCGGAGTGGCCATCTCCATCTGACCACGACTAGTCCTGGCTCCGACTCTGAAGCAAGCCCGCTCCGAAAGATGATGCGCCCGCCGCTGGACAAAGCGAAGTCGCTTTTCGTGACTCCTACCATTCACCATCCGGTCGCGGGGGACGATGTGGTATTTACGACGTACTGGGTGTCACCGCCGCCGTCGAGTGTGCAGGTTCTTCCGGCAGGATTGGTGGAGAGTGCTGGACAGGAGGCAGGTCTTTTGGCCATGCCTGTCGTGGATTTTGAGAGCGGTGGTGGTGGTGATGGTGGTGGTTTGTTGCGGGGAAGGATAATGCGGATGGAGGCGCGGAATCATCGACGGTGTCATTCGGAGCAGCCGCGGGCGTGGAAACCGCCGAGTGCGAGCCTGTGGCCGCTGGCGGAGGAGTGAGACTTGGAATCCGGGGCAGTCTAGAGTGTGGTTGTTTATTCATTTCATGCTGTTGTGTGTTAATTTTCCTCTTTCTTTTTTTTTTTTGTTTGGTTTGGTTTGTGCTCATGTCCTTTTCTTGTCTGTGATTTTCTGGTATTCTTTTAAGAGGCTTTGTGGGTTCGTTTTCGCGGCACCTTTTGCGTGGTAGCATTTATGATTCCATCTGCGAGCATCACGGTCGGGCGTTTGACATACACAGTACACATAGGTTCGGGGTCTTGCATATCTGCATGGATTCGTGGTTTGTTGCGGACATCGGCAATCGGTCGGTCGGCTGTTACATATAATCTGCTCTGGTCATTTGCGCTTTGCGCATTTGCAACTCAACGGGCGTCATCTTCGTGCAGTGCGGGTTTTGTCTACGGAGCATATAGAATGAGAGAATAAGAACACTAAAATACCTCATCACTCAACCCTAGCGTTTATTCCCTCACACACCCACATTCTTGCAGGAAAATTGTCACAGGGCAACCTTCGCATCTAATCCCTCATACTTTACCCCGGAATACACACACTACCCAGTTAGTAGGTATGTGCTCAAGACCGTGCTTGAACGTCAAGGCGGGAACCGACACGACAGCAGCCCCGACGGGTCGAGTCCAAATCCCAGCCTCGGAACGGCCGTGCCGATTCCTCTCCGTTTCCAGCTTCGAGGATTGGACTCCAGCTGAACATGATGTCACTAGTGTGGAAAAGAGCCTCATCCTTCCTAAGGCCGAGAGTAGTTATGGTCTAATTAAGTGGAGAATCATAAAGCGGTGGGGAAGGGGTGGAAAGGGAGGTTTGCTTGGGGGTTTCTTACATTAGTAGTGGTTGATTCGTTTACTGTGTACGGCATTTCCGCGGATACAATATGCACTGTTTTGACAGGTGGTAAGAATAGAAAGGTGTCTGTCTGTCTGGGTCAGGGGATGAAATCAGAATCAATAATTGATCGATAGTGCATACTAGGTATACCATTAAGATTGGGACTACCCACAAGCAAATGAAAGGAAATAACTAGTATTGATCACTATTTTAAAGCTCGAACACATGCAAACACACATCTTTAAAGTCTATACGATTACGGTCTGCGGACTGGGATGTGATGTGGTGAAACATGAACCTCAATCTATTAGTAGTACTGCATTTACCGGTACGAAGGAAGAAAAGGGAAGAGAAGGGGGAGGGAGGGGGAAATGTTTCACGGAAGACACGGAATAGACAACGAAGATCCCCCCCAAAAGGAATCAGCCCTAGTAAGCCCTATCATGTGGATTTGAGTGGATGATAGGGGGTGCTTCGTAGCATGTTCGACCGTGTGGGGGCGGATTTGGCCGCATGACTGGCCGAGGGAATTATTTCAATCTCACTCGACTTTTTGTGGTTTTTCTACTCTTCTACGGAGTCCTCCGTAGTGAGTGGTCAGTTATGAGAGATAACAGAGGGTATGTATGTATGTGTATAGTATGTCCATGTTATCGAGCATAGCAACAGGATCGGGAGTAATGGAATGTTAGTAGTATACATGTCCAGTTGATGGGGTGGAATATGTGGAATACGAAGCCGGTCGCAGACGCGGTAGGCAGCGGTGAATCGCAGCCTCGTGAGGGGAGTAGTCGTTAAAAACACACTCTGATTGGAGAAGATAGTCTCGTAGGGCAGAGGAGTGGGGACAAGAACTGGATTCTCACCGCTCCACTTGGTGCACACGCGTGAGTCAACCAGAGCCCTATCGATGGAGTCAACCACTTCGCTGGCTGCTCCCGATTCGCCGACCCGCTTATGTCCGAGTCCGAGTCCACGCTATGCCCCCAATCGTGGTGGAATTGAGGGGTTTTGTTGCGAGGATTGAGTCTTTAAATACTTTTATCTCCCTTGGGCTTGGTGGTTGTGTGTACGATCATTCTATTTCAAGTGATTCTCGATTTTGAGCTGAAAGCAGTGTTCGGTGATAAGAACAAGACCTCTACTGTCCACTTTAATAATAAATAACAACTCCTACTACCACTGCTGCTGCTTCCACAATAAGATCAACAACCATTCGAACTACCAAAATGACCCCCTCAAGAACCACCAGCATCCACTCCGACCACTCCGACCACAAACGCTGCTCCTCCTCCTCCTCTCGCAAAAGCACCGAAGACTACCGCCGTTACAACAACACCGTCAACCACTACGGCCGTCACTCCAACGACTGGCTCTTTGGCGGCTTCAGCCTGCGCGACACCGTCCGCGGCGGTGTTGATCGCCTGCTGCACAACCACAACCATGCTAAGGATTGAATCCATGAGCCACAACATGGCGGCCCTTCTACGAAGGGTCTCTCATTTCGAACTGTCTTTCGACCGACTACCACCACCACCATCATCACTACCCCTTCACAACTGAACGGCTCGTGTAAGCAAATGCAAGTGCAGTCTAAGGGAGGGGAGGATATCGTCCCGCGAACGAGGGGATTATCTAAGGATATCTGCCGCAAGATCTTCGTCTTCTGATGATTCGGATTGATCGAGTGCACTTCCTGTCGTCGTGCTTTGAGTTGTGATCTCCTTCTCTTCGATCTCACCTCTGCTTCCAAGGAAAGTGAAATGGATGCGACTGAACGGGCTGTGGTTCTGCCTATGGGTGGATACTTGTCATTGTCTCCTTTGAAGGAGATGAGCATCAGGGAAGGTCTTTCCATGCTCACGGTCTACGTGACTCATTCGTGCATGTTGACGTTGGTCGAGCCATATCAGAGAATCTCGGTGACTTGGTGCAGTATGCCTACTCTAGTTGAGCTTTAAAATCAGTACATGCCTGTGGATATCGCGCTCATGCGGTGCCTGATATTATATTTCTAATGTCAGATTGTCCAGCCGGGTAAAGGGATGGGTGTTTCAATAGAGTACTGTCAATTGAATCGTATTTTTTCACGTCCTTCGTTTTCTATTCCTCTCGAACCAGTAATCGCATGTATAGAGTCTAGCTAGTCTCTTAGCTATGAAAGTAGAACTTCGGCTGCGGACAAAGATAATATTACAAGATGTAGAAGACCAGATTCGTGGTCTTGACTCATGCGCGACAGAGACCAGAGTGTAAAATCTGGGATATGGGCAAATTCTCTGGGGCACTCAACACAGCAACGATCTTGAGTCCTGAAAGTCGCAATGCTTAGGCGTGCGTTAACATCATGTGGGATAAGGGGAATTGTATGGGTGTGTTTGTGAAGTGGGGACGGAGGGATCGAGGTTTGATAGGATGCACTGGCAAGATGCAGTAAATACTTCTAATAGTGCTGGCTGTGAAGTCCTTGGACACCCTGATAGATAATTTGCTGGATGTGTTCAAACTCTTGTGCATGATTGCCACCTCGCCTGATAACTCTCCCCATGTCCAGATTGGCAGTCGTCAAGTGCTCCCGCAGAGCAGCGCCGTCTTGCCTTTTCCCGAGTCAACCCGAATCCACATCGATCGACCGCTAGCATCACCTTCTGAATTGTACCTCCACTTTTATGAAGTCGGTATGATCCAAAGCTCAGCAGTATGAATCATTAAGCAGTCCTCCATTAAGACTCTCGATACGTGTCTCATCATCACGAGAGTTCGTGATCCGCAGGTCGCGCAAACATGCTTGATTTTGTGACTCTTCATATGGTCTTTTCAGAACACATCAACCTGTCAATTAGAGTGGAATCTCACAAATGAGAAATTTGAGAGTGGAGGACTGTGCCCAACTACCTGGTAGTCTTCCTCACGGCGCGTTATGTTGACATCTTCCAGACTAGGGCATTCATTCGAGCGGAAGGTACTCCGTCCTTAGTAGGTAAGCACTGATAAGACCGGATATGTGGTCTTACGAACGGAGATCATAGACCTTTCAAGAAAACATCATGTATAATTATATCAAAATGTTGAGCCCGAGGCAGGACAGATGTTCGATGGCTTTTGCCACATCAGTTCTCTCGTTTTGTTGAGTTATTTGACGTTTCAGGTGTGACACCTGGGAGGGCCAGGAGGGAGGTAGGCGGGGATGGGGAAGAGAACTAGCAAACCTGACCTTGTTGATAATATTCCATGTACAATCCTCCCTCACCACGCGAGTTATAACACTCTGAGATTCCACTGGTGGAAGCAGCTAAAAACACCTCAGCTTGCCGTTCTCGTAGTTAGATTAGTACTAAGTCTTAGGACGGGTGCGAGCCCAGCGGTCCACTGAAAGTTTATCGGAGTCCATGAATCTGCCACTATTCCTGCTACTTAAGTTATGTCCAGTTTATGACTTATTACTCTTTGAACCATAAGAGTTCTTGCCAAAGGAGCCCTAATATCAATTATCTTGACCTTGTAAAGTTATCTAGTATTCTTGCATGTCTTTGACTAGCTGACTACGTTCTTCGGCAAATCTTTGATTAGCGACTATTTTTCTGGACAAGCTTTAGGTACTTAGGTAGCTATGCACCGAAGATCTTTGATTGGCTATTATCCTGGGGGTTTTTGGCTAAGTACATACGGTATTGTCTGGAAATCTTCAGTAATCTGTTTGAAGGCATCTTTAGTCGGACTATAGCCTTAAGCTCAAATGCAAGATAGTACAATATCTTTGAGTAAGCGTGAAAGGTTGCTTGGATAAGCTAATGATTTATGTAGGCTAATATATCGAGATTATCCTAAATAAAAGCTTCGTATAATAATCTAAGACTACTTACTGCTCTCAGAACAAGTTAAAGACCACGCCGAGTCGGTAGCGGACCACACTGATCTACGCGCTCAAAAAAGACTCTGAAACTGTGCCAATCACTAACAGGTAGAAACAACAGAGGGGCAAAGATAACCGTTATGGTTGACCATTTATCAGTTTTCGCTGTTTGCTATGTCTAATCGCCTCTCAAGCCTACTACAAACGTCTTATCATAAGAATCTCGACAAACAGGCGACTATTATAGGTTTCGCATTGAGGGAAGGGATGCTGCTGTATTCTATAGTCAAGCTTCTCTAGTACAAAGATCCTTGAGGAAGGGAAAAATATGGAAATCATACTCATTATATGAGTCGTCATAATATAGAGTCCATATAGACTGTTATAGGTAATTATTAGTGGAATCAGTAGTGGTGGCTGTATTCCAGGCTTGCTGTGCCTTTAGATGAGTAGCCAGGGAGTGATGTTTGCTACAGCGGTGATATGCTACTCTGCAGAAATGCTGCACGTAGATAATTCGATTCGATACAATGCATGACCACGGAGCATAAAGACTAAAGGTGAAGAATACAAACCTTACTGAACATCACCACTTTGACATCAGGAAAAGACGCTACATCCAGTCCAAGACCATACCGTGTCTCTAATCAATCGATAACCTGTCAGCTGTGGTGGTGGTAGTCAAAGAAAGGAACAGCGTACGGGCCACCGGAACCCCGGCATAGGCTAACCCCAGCACTGCACTGCAATCGCCGCATAGTCGTCGAGCCAGAGGTCGCGCTTGGTGTGCAACCGGACGTGAAGCCGTAGCAGCACGGCCAGTACAGCGCTGATGCTGAAGGTCAAGCAGATAGCGATGACCCGCGCAACATGGCTGTGGGGATCCGGGTGGGTGAGATTATGGACCCAGCTCATGGCATGCAAATATCAAGAACCAGGATCATGTAGACAGTGCAATGCACATCATAACAAACTAGATGCACGATGTAAGGTGGAAGATACGAACTTTTTCTTTCTTCGCTTCAATCTCTCTTTTATCCCTCTTTCTTTCTTTCTTTTATTTTTTTTTCTGCCCAATTTCCCACACTCTTCACCTTTCTGGGCAATTTCTTAGCTCCTCAGACGCTCTCTGTCCGGTAGGAAATAGTCGGAAGCAGATTAATCTACGCGAAGTCAAATCCAAGACATGGGCTGCATTGGCAACAGTAACTCGTTTACAGAAGTGGGGCTTGGTATAGTTTAGGTTAAATTTGTTGGTCCTCACCAGCACGGGGGAACCGGACCGCGCTTGGCTCCATCAATCAACGGGGAGACTAACAAACTTTAGCGAGGTGGCTTCAGATTAACTATTTGTCTAAAACACTATACTCTTCCTCTCTCGCATTAATACATAACAGGATAGCCACCCGACTGAGTTTTCTGGGTTGGGTCCGCCTTTGGAACAGGTCAGAATGCCAGATCCATCTCAATCACATGGTCTGATAGTCACTACTCCGGAACAGAAGCAGGAACAGGTAGAGAGTGTCCCACTTGGTGTCATAGTCGACAGCTAAGCCTTGGGAGTGTCGGAGGTGCATTCGACGGTTGGACCACACTGCAGCCTGTCTTGAGCATACTATAAATTGGTCTGTATAACCCCCCTGTCGTTTGCTTGAAGAAGATTGTCTCCAAGCAGAAAAAGACAACCATCCAGCGGTCGTCATGCCATCAGCCCCCTTCTGGACCAGTCTGTTGGCCCTCACGGCCGCTGCCACGGCGAGCCCGAACAGCCTTAACTCCAGCAACTCCACCAGCTGCCGCTGTTTCCCTGGAGATACTTGCTGGCCCTCCGCCAGTGAATGGGCCAAGTTGAACCAGACGGTGGACGGCCGTCTTATCAAGACAATCCCCCTCGGCAAGCCCTGCCATGCGCCATATTATGATGCCGCAGTCTGTGACGTCCTCAAGGAGGGATGGACAGAGCCGGAGCTTCAGTAAGCCAGCTACCTAGTTACTAACCCTTCCGCTTCATTCCCCTTGCGTCTCTTATCAACTTTTCCTTACTGACATACTGACCAATGTGCTTCGACCCTCAGTTACAAATCCAGCAGCTCTATCATGGCCCCATGGTACACCAACGGCACCTGCGACCCCTTCCATCCGGTCGCCAAGCCCTGCACAATGGGTAACTACATCAATTACGCCGTGAACGTTTCCACCCCGGCCCATATCTCGGCCACGTTGAAGTTCGCCCACGAGCACAGCATCCGTCTGGTGATCCGCAACACCGGCCACGACTACAATGGCAAGTCCACGGGTGCCGGTGGTCTGGGGGTGTGGATGCACAACCTTAAGTCGCGGACGCTGGTGGACAACTACACTTCAACTCACTACACCGGACCAGCGGTGCGGCTGGCCGCTGGTGTCCAGGGCTTCGAGGCCTACGAATTCGCGGATAATAACGGTTACCGGGTAGTGGGTGGCGAGTGTTCGTCTGTAGGCATCACGGGCGGCTATTCGCAGGGTGGCGGCCACTCCGCGCTGTCATCGAAGTATGGCATGGCGGCTGACCAGGTGCTGGCCTGGGAGGTTGTCACGGGCGCCGGCGAGCTGGTGACTGCCACTCGCGACAACGAGTACAAGGACCTGTACTGGGCCCTGAGCGGCGGCGGTGGTGGCACGTACGGCGTTGTAGTGGCCATGACTTCCAAGCTGCACGCCGACACCCCGACCTCGGGCCTCAACCTGACCTTTACCAACAACGGAATCTCCCAGGACACTTTCTTCGAGGCTGTGACCCTCTACCACACCCTCCTGCCCAGCATCGTCGACGCCGGCGTGATGAGCATCTGGTACTTCACCAACACAACCTTCTACATCTCCCCCCTGACCGGGCCAGGTGTCCCTGTTGATACCCTGCGCTCCCTGGTCCAGCCCTTCGAGGCCGGTCTGACCAAGCTGGGCATTCAGTACACTCTCACTGCTAAGGAGTTCGACACCTACATGGAACAATTCAACACGATGGAGGCCGAGATCGCCGTGGGCAAGGCCCAGTACGGCGGATGGCTGATCCCGCGCGACGTCGTCGTCCAGAACACGACCGCACTGACGGCGGCCTACCGCGCCATCGTCGAGGACGGCGCGACCTTCATCGGTGTTGGATTAAACGTCAACCGCTCCGTTGCCGGCGACGTCGACAACGCCGTTCTCCCTGCCTGGCGCGAGGCCCTGATCGACACCACCCTGACCACCCCCTGGGAGTGGGACGCCCGCGCCGCCATGATGGAGGAGCAGGACAAGATGACCAAGGACTACATCCCCCGGCTGCAAGCCCTGGCGCCTAACTCTGGCGCCTACATGAACGAGGGCAACTTCCAACAGCCTGACTGGCAGAAGGCCTTCTACGGCGTCAACTACGACCGTCTGCTGCAGATCAAGAACAAGTACGATCCCTATGGATTGTTCTATGCGCGCACCGCCGTTGGCGCCGATGCGTGGACCGAGTTGGCCGATGGTCGCTTGTGCCGTGCTTAGTGGGTTGTAGACAGAGATTGATATATATAATCCTAGAGACAATGTATTTTGTCATAGAACACTGAGGCTCTCATGGTAAAACACGTAGATTCAACAATCAAATCTCCTTACAGCGTTGAAGTTCAAGCCATACGCCAGGAGGATAGTAGTCCATGGAGGGTTTAACGTAAACGCTAGGTTTCCTAAGTTTTCAAAGGACGTACAACGTACTAATTTATCTACTACATGGGAAAGCAAAAGGAGACCCTCAGGCCATCGTTTCCAAGTCGTTGCTAATCACACCTGGAGTTTTCGATGGACTTTTTCAGAGAGGCTGCTATTTCTGAAGACATCGTTGTTCATCTACGGATTTTTTAAACTTTCAGGTATTGATTGGATTTCTCAATGCGAGCGGCAACAGCGAGAAGATGCTGCATAAGGCACTTGATAGTTGATAGTACTACTCCCTCCGTCCGCATACTGTATCTCCGGGTTCGCGAGTGAGCGTGGGGCGATCGGAGAGATGGCGATCGGCGCCAGAGCGGAGGATCCTGTGGAACCAGGTAAGCGCTAATGGCAAGTACATATAATCAGGTACTATTGGCTTTTTCAGTTTTTTAATCTCCGAGGAGCTATCCTATGCATGATCTACCTCATGGTAAGCAGCTTAATTCTTTCATGGCAGCGATTTTCAGCTTTGGTAGTAGGATGGAACCACGCCGCGAGATAACAAGCGCTCGGCGGATGGAACGAAAGAAATACCTAGTCACCTAGCTAGCCTTAAGAAGCTTAGTCCATTGTTCACAAAGCATGCACGTTTCGAGCCCGTGATGGCTTTCTAGTCTCCATCACGTCCCGATGCTCGGTTGTGGCCGGTGCTATTGTATAGTATGTGCTCGGGAATAGCATGTAGGGATTTTCTTGAGGCGTTAAAAATGAAGGCAATAAACTAGAAGTTATTCAAAAAAGGCCTTTCTACTTGCTCATTAGAACCAAACCACTTTGTTCCAGTCTTTGATAATCATATATGATATCGTTGACTTTCTTCAAGGTCTCTATTTAGGCATCCCTTATTAGCTTGAGAAAGTTCATCTACTTGGGTTATGACCCTATAGATAGTCGGCGAATAAGTCTCTGAGTCTTCAGATGAGCTTATAAGTTTGCGAACGAGCCTCTCAAGCCTTATTTACCTTTGCTGTGATGTACTTTGCTTTTCCTTTCTCCATCCGTTCTTGATCACCCTTTCACCTTCCCATGACGATCTCTCTCTCTGTCTCTCTCTTTTCTATAGTCTCCTCTTACTATTGCTCTGCAATTCGTCAAAATTCAAGTTGCGAAGAGAATCTGGCGAGAATGAATAGCTCTTTGTCATACTTTGTGAATTGAAGGGCCGGAGGGAAAAGAAGCAGTACGCGAGGTTTTGGTTAACAAAGAGGGGCGTAATCGTGTACATAAGTCCTTGGCGAGTACATGCTAGTTTTCTGTGAAAGAATCTTCTAGAATAGAAGATAGGAAAAATTCTAACTCAACATGGCGTGTCATCGCTGCGTTGTAATAGATTGTATCGCGATCTTGGTTCATGAAGGTGGAATCGGATTTGAGTTTCCCTCTGGGCTGGCGATGGAAAAGGGGGTCCGGCAGGACAAATACTGGGAAAAGGAGAGAGGGTCACGACACTTGAACTTGGAGGTCTATTGTCGGGGTATTGTCGATCTGTGCAAATTGCAAGGATTAATAGAGGTGGGGGATGGATGAGGATGGGGGGGTAGTTTGCCTGTGCAGCGAGGTGATCACTAACTACTAGCATGCTCATGTGAATTTGTAAGGTTGTTCATCCTTCAATTCTTGGCTAGTTAATCAAGGATAATGGTTGGCTGCTTCCCAGGTGGAGCTATATAGGTACCTAGAGGTTCAATTTGAAAGAACAGCCGATTTGAAGGCCTGGTCGATGTTGAAGCATGGTCATTACGAAGGCATAGTCGCTGTCGGGATCATATAATTATCTGGAGGTGCGGTCAACTTGAATTGAAATAGTTTCAATTGATTAGTGAAAATTAATTGTAAATAAAATTTAAGACTGCCTGGCTAAGTGATAGACATATTTGCTAGAGATGGAATTGGTATCTATCCTCTCGTCGATGTTGTACTGTGAACTCCTCACCCCCTGCTAGCCACTACCCGTGGCTGCTCCCAAGGCATTTCGATCTGAACAAAGTACCACCAGCCAGAAATAATTAAAAGACGCTCGAACCCTCGCGATCAACGCGGAAAGTATGCCTTGAGATAAAAAGCCTTTCGGAAGCGCAATATGTCATGCGGCCTGCCATGCCGCTATGTCCGCAACCGTAATGTCGATGTTCTCTGGTATCAGAGTTTGCAGTTTGGCAATTTGCGCAGGTGTTGGTCGCGGAGGTGCAGCACCCGCTTGAACCGTGATGATCCCAGAATCAACATACTCCCTTGTAGACACACCATCGGACGATGCAGCCCCGAGCATGACTCGTAGCCTATATCTCCCAGCTTGGGTGAACTTGAGAGGTCCGAACCGCGCATAACCGCTTGTCGTATTCCCACTACTGCTGCGCACACTAGACGTGACAACGCCCGTGAGCCCTGGAGAAGGGGCGGTTCCGGCTTCGTTCCTGAGAGATATGTGTGCAACTAGCTGCTGTGTAGGAACTCTTGGGGCCCCTACAGGTCTCACAGCAACGACCACTGGTAATGATATGAAAATTTCAGGTGAGACAGTAGTTGGGGGCGTGATCTCAAAATTTATCCCATACTCGCGACTGGAGCCTCCAGCGTCTGCTGTGTTGCTTTGAACCATGATGATTTCTGGGCCAGTGAGCGAGCGAGTAGTTGAAGACAGACTAACGAGACCGATTATAAGCTGCTTTCGTGATTCTCGATTTCTTAAGAAATGCGATTCGCGTCGATGCACAATGAGATAGCACAATGAGATGGTACGAAAAGTCCCGGTGTAAGAAACGAAAGGATGATGATGTGAGATATTTCTGTGTCCAGCTAGCCCGTGTTGTGAATTGTGAGGTTGTAGTTGAAGAACAAAAGCATTGATGAGAAGGCATTCCGAGCTCTTCAAATAGGCGACCCTTGAATCTATCAATCAAGCAACTAGGGTGACCATCTTGATCTGGGCCAGGAAATGCTCATCGTGTCAATGAATCTTTGCCACTGGCTTAGAATCAGTCTCTCTCAAGAATGGCTCTAGTTCGCTCGATCTGCATAGTGAAGTCTTTCGACCCCTGTATTGCAGGAGATTGAGAGGGGAACAGACGTTAGGCACTGCGAAAGCGGCACGGTCCAGAGAAAAGGGAGCCTGCATCATCATTACCCACCTGCGGATTCCATTGCTTTGACTCCAAACTTTACTTTTTGACCCTGCATCGAGTCTAGTTGCTTTTGTTGCCCCATCCGTAAGCGCAAACCTAGAGGTCCAGCTTGGCGTGCCGACTCTCAACTAGTGATATGACTGAGTCGAGATGAAGGATGCCACGGTAGCGTTCCTGGAAATGGTCCAAGGCACATCGTTTGCGATAAGAGATGTCGAATCGCATACTCCCTTTCAGAGTGAATGCAATGCCAGGGGAGTTGAAGTCGAAGCTTGAACCGACTGAACAACTAAATCGTACCTGAGGATGATCGACAGGTAGTCACGAACTATGGTTCGTGTCAGAATTTCTTTTTCCGCTTCCTTTCCATCTACGGATTTGTCTTTCTCGCTCTTGACTTTCTCCCCACCAAAACCCCCAATCATCCATCCAACCTCCTCATGCTCCGTGAAAGTCCGAAGGGCCCAGGGAGCTCACGCTTGCTCTGTCACCTTGCATTGACGGCTGGAGGAAACGACCAGCGACAAATCTACCGACGGACCCCGGGATTTCGTGATCGTCCACCTACTTTTATCGAAGCCACGTTTCGACAGCTTCCAATGTGACTTCCAAGCTATCATTACCTCTACATCCCTGGCAACACACTTTTAGAACTTCTGACCCGGTAAGTTGAGGCTATCTTGTGCTAAGCAAAGTGTTTCCTTGTCAAGCTTACGCGTGCTTCGTTGTCCAGCTAGTATGGTGGTCGACCTCAAATCCCGATCAGCTTAGACAATGAATCCCACCATTGAATAAATTCCTCGCAGCATTTCACAAATCGAGGCTAGTAAGGGATGATCGACCCTCCACGAGGAATCGAATAACAGCAGAAAGGGCGGACAAAGCCACAGACGATCTAGGGGAGGCTTCGCCACACTCATACCTATTTGGGTCAAGACTGATCGACCAGCCACATCTCACCTCAGCCTCGGTATGGCTGGAATACGTGCATCGTGCAGATCAAAAACAATAGCCCTGGCAGGAAATGTCAGAAGATCCACTCTCCTTGACCTCACGCTGCTTGACCTGGCCCTGTTCAAAATTCCCCAGGCGGACAACTCCGTACGGATTCCTTCTTCCTCCTTTCTCAGTCCGGTACTTCTCCGGTCGGGCCAACGGATCATCATCCTTCGGCTTTTGTCGAGGCATGCGAGGGGCTAGTCAGCATGAAACCTGATTTCATAGAAGCTCAACCCTGTTCATGAAACCAACCCACTATGACAAGTGGACTAGCAATCTTAATCTTACATCTCATATTTAGTGCTAGCCACTCACAATGCTCAATTACGTTCACACACATTGTGGAGTCAAAGAGTCATTGGATGCGGAATATCACACATCCTTCCGCGCAGGCGGAGAACATCGACACGGTACTGCGCTGCCACCGGTACGGTACTTTCGGACTTCAAGATTTGCAATGGGGAAATATTAGAGACCCAAGTGGTTGACCATATTTCCCCAGTGCAGAACCAGAGCAAGGTCGGGAATCAGCGCTCGTGGATGCAGAAACTAAAATAGAATTGAGCAGTATTTCAATCCCCGCACCCTGAGTCTCCCTGACGACATCATAAGAGGATGCTGCACCATCACACATCGCATGAAAGATACGGGTAAGTCTGCTGTCTCGTAAGACAAGCATACTAGCATACAAAGCGAACGAAGAGCCGTGCTTGACACTTGAGCCATCGTCATTGACCCCACAATTGTTGCTTTTTCCCACATACCAGGACTAGACTAAGTACTTTAACGCGCATGGTAATGCAAGACGATAAGTTACATTAGTACTATTGACTTCTAGTTGCATGCGCGAATGGTTTTGACCGTCTGAGGTCAAGATGCCCTCCTTCTTCATCGGGCGAGCAACGTGGCCCACTAGCCACAGATAGCCTCCCGACGATTAACGATCGGCTCAATGTGTGGCGATGAATCGGTTGTCACTCGCTGGGGCCAGATGAAGTCCTTGCATCATAAATCCGGGTGTTTATCGCTCCGTTATTACACATGCATTGCTGAGAGCCCTGTGGAAATTGAGGGCTGTGACATACAGGGGACTACTAGTTTTATGGTGGACAAGGATGACTCTTTATTGAATGTCGGACACCATCATTGCACTGGATTTAGGTCTTCTGAACGCAAGGAAGTGTTGAGAGTGATGGAGACTGACCTCCTGACCTGCTTCGATAATTCAGAAGCGTTTCAGCGAATCTTGACATTCTTAAGTCCATATGCACATGGCAGACGATCATGCAGATATTTGTCGGTCAAAGTCCGCTTCGGCCGAGCGTTGCCTGAGTATCGACATACATAAGCGGAGCGTGAGCTTATCCAACAAAGGTACCCTGCATCTAGGCTCAGATAACGCAGGATTACAGTATTTCACCCTATGGACTGAATTTAAACAAGCTGTGATTTGACTACTCGAATGAGTGGTCACCCTTATTGTTTGGTCTACGGAGTACACGCTGGTAGTATTCTCTGCTTTCGTCGATCTGCTCGATCGCCACAGCATGGCTATCTTTCTAAATTGTCCGCACGCCACCGAATGTGCTTGCAAGCTCTGGATCGGTCTGAAGATCTATTCGAGATGCGGCTGACGCAACTTAGGTACACCCCTTAGCAAGCTGGAATAGGCAAACAAGGCCGCAGAAGTGGAGAACACCGCTCCAAGTGTTGTGATTTGTGTAATGGACACAAAGGAAAATGGTCGGCTTTGTTTTCCATTGCCGCGCATGTGGAGTATAGATCTTAGACACGCTCCCATTGACCGCTTGGACCTTCTGAACACCATCCCTGCGTAGCCCACCAGGTGTGGTTCTCGAGCCACTGAATGCACTGAGGAGACTGAAAGTAGTTCAACGAGGATCAATTACTTCCGTGTCTTCCTGTGCACTGATTTCTGCAAGGCTGACCTAATATCAAGTCAGCAGTCGCAGCGAGCTGACAGAACTCCATCTTTTCCCACATTCTGATACGACTGTACGAATTTAACTAGTGTTCTGAAGCAACAAGTTTGGCGCCTGCATCTTTGGAACAGAAATGACAAAGAACTTATCGCGCTCAGCTAAACATAACTGTCTACATGCGATTTGTCAGACTACCACGGTTGTGATTGTCATACGAGCAACGGTGCCCCATTTCCAATGCACAATCCAGCAGCTTTGATTCTGATTGCCACACCACCTCAGACCAAGGAGCATGCTATGTGATAAAAGTACTTGGCGGAATTGGAGCTCTACATTCCGGCTGTTGTCGCCTTACAAGGATTTGCACTACTGCAAAAGGCATTACATACGAGCCACTAGCGTCTCGATAAGTGTGGAGACCCCAAGACAATGCTGTCTCGGATCAAATTTCTAAAAAAGTCGCCGCATGGATCAGACTTGACCGGGTGCTAAATGACGCAAGTGAAGTACCGTACATCTCAATCCTAGTCTTCTTCCCACATGTACCGGACGCTTTTTCCCACATACCAAACAAGGAAGCTAGTTTGGGACGAGGGGCACCCTTCAAGGATTCGCCGAGTTCAATGATCGCTTGACACAGACGTAACGCTAGCTTTTGATCTCAAAGTGGGGGAGATACATCGCCTAGAAGGGAAGAGGTAGAAAGATATGAGCGAGCAAAGGTGAAGGATTGCGTACGGAGTACTCCGTAGATGGAAGTGAAGAGGCACTGCATGGGTGGCTGTCAGCCAAATTGGAAGCTCACAAAACGAGGCGTCATAGTAAAACAAGGGACTGCAGCACCATCACTCGCAGGATAAACATCTGACATCGACTTGTTGATTTCTCTTCAGCCTCAGTAGTAAGCAGCGCGGTTCGTTCACAAAGCGTTTGGTGAACTTCGGAGCGGAAGTCAGCATTGGCATTCGACGAGCTTTCGAGTTTGCAAAAATGGATCTGTAGCATAAAGCTGCATTCCAGGTAGGTTCAATCACTAATCGTTCCCGCGATGTCTTCCAGGACGCGCCGTGTGACTGGTGCAGAGCGAGTGACGAGGTTTCGAAGATTTTACCAGGTTCACTTCTCACAGCCTGTCCGCTTGATAATAGCTTATGGTGTTTTGGCATCACTTAAACACCTCACGAGGTCAATTCGACAGATGTATGGACTTTTGGTAGGTTCATGACTCTGAAGTCCGGGCCATGGGGTGTATAGGTTGGTCATGCTCGGTTTAGTCGAACTAAATCATCGACGATCGATGTTGTGGAAGAGTTTGAAAGAGGTTAATTCAGGAAGAGCTCGTGCGAGGCGAACCTCACAGACTTAATGACATGGTTTCGCTTCTCTGTGCTTCAGCAGGAGTCCAGCGACATTGCATGGAGCCAACGGTCCGGTAGTTCAGGCAGGGAAGGTGAGCGACGAGGTCTTCCGCCATGCCTTCCTTCCTCTGTCACAATACCGCTTCACTCCATTCACTTCTAACGCCCACGACATAGCCGATAAGAAGCCACATCACACGGTTGCAAGCAATAGTATTCTTATCAGAATGACTGTCTTGCCACGCTCCTTTTATGCGTCCGATGGCACCCGTCCTTTTACACCCATATCATCGTCCCTTTCTCTCCCATGCTACACGAAGCTCCGACGCGGCTCCTCTGAAAAGCCCCAAGCACTTCAGTCTCAAGGTGCTCATTCAACTATTCGCAATCACGATCGCGATCTTTGTCCTTGCGGTGCTCTTCTGGAAGCTTGGGAAATTTCTCCGCCGGTTCACCCAGGACAAAGTCGTCAAGCGTGGCAACGCAGTCACCGCCCGTTACGCGCGAACCTGGTACGGCTGGGTGCCAGCCGAGAGACATACACAGTGCAAAAAGTTCTTTCGGGCCTGCTTCGACAAGCTCGGCCGGTGGATGGCGTGGCGATCCTCGAACCAGGACTACAGCTGGGTGTGGTGGGACCCCGGTCAGAAGGAGTTGAATAGATACCGAGAGACGAGAAGGCCGCTGCGGTGGTTGCCCGGCTGGATCAGGAGTTACAGCTTCACTACTGCAGATACCATTTGGAACCCGAGGCCCGCTGAAAGTACTGGTGGTATCGCCGCGCCGGCTGGTCGTCCCCAGTCGCCGTCATTCAGAATGGCCGGGGCACTTGTTTCATACCAAACGCTGGATCGCGTGGTGGGCAGCCGACATACTGTTTCCAGGACGAGTATCTGCACACGGGTTTCGATCAAGGTCTATTCAGAGGAGGTGACTTATGGAGCAAAGACGCGGCTCGAAACTTCTGCGCGAGCTCGGGCTGATTCCGTTAGCAGAGGAGAAGAGTTGCGCAGACCAGCCTACACCCGGATTGAGGCTAGAAGGAAATTTGTCCTAGCGCATTCAACTTGTTCTTTTCAATTCGCTTCTCCGCAGCGAAACGTCCAAGCTATCGTCCCGAGACTGTCGCGATGCCGATCACTTCCCTGTCTTGGCCCTGACACAGAGCGCTTCAATCAACGGGGAGACGTCAAAGCACACTGGAACTGTTATGATTCATTCAGCCTTAGCAATGAATTCCGAGTCAGGCATACAACTCGCTATTCACACGTATATCGCATGCGATTCGCCCGATTCGGTCTCCATGCAACTCTCGACGGCTCTCTTTCTCCACCTGTGCGGGTCGAAAGTCCTGACAACTTAGCGAGGGTTCTATCTGATCTTACTCTCCTCCCTAGAATGTATGGTTTGACGAGACGATCAAGCGGCAAAGTTTCATCTTCGAACTGGAGCAGCTCACAGCTCGACAGCAGGAGACGCAGCTTTGCTGCAAATGCTTCGCCCCTTCGACAGACACTGCTTGGTTCTGATATAGCAAGGGAATGCTCTGGGACGAGCAACCCTGGACATTTATTCCAACACCGAAAGGGCAGTCCGTCTTTGCGGGAATTAGAAACTGAAATGTGTCGAGACATTCGGAGTGATTGCCTGTCAACAATACCAAAGGGTTTAGGGCACAAGTCAGATGCTCAAGAACGATTGAATTCTCGTCAAGAAGCGCACCCTGGAAGTCTTCAACCGATTAGACCCAAAGCAGCTGACGTCGAACTTACTGCCTGCGACCTACGGTTGATAGATGACTTGAACCGGAGGCTTGAATGGCTCTCCAACCAGCTAAGCCCGGGACGCAGACCGTATCATTTTGCCCTGCTTGCCAATCACTGGCTGAATCCGGAGACATGGATAGTCATCGACCCTCCTACTAGGATCCCTATTGAAGCTCGAAGGCGGCTGGGAGACCCAAGATTTAACGAGCCTTACCCGGCTGTTGACTGTACTCCAAAGCCGAAGTATCCCCAGAAGCCACGCAAACGTGCTGATGTCCCCAAGATCAACTCTTGGAGAGTAGCTATCAACCGACACAGACGAGCGCGTGGAATTGAGGACATGATCAGGGGTGTCGAGCTCTTCGAGGGCTCAATCGATGCACCATCCGATGGCAAGGTCGATCCTGCTTGCTGGATTCTCCGAAAGCCGCCCCAAGGATATAGCCTGTCTTCTCGCCAGGGTACTGTGTTTTACGAAGGAGGAGCAGGCTGGCAAGAAACGCTGGATGACTGGCAAAAAGTCCGCCGCGGCTATCGCATTCGGAAGGCCATCCATGAGGGAAAGGTGAATCGCAAACGAGCAAAAGAGATTGCGCTGGGAATTACCCGATGCTATCGAATGGGCGTATCTAAATTCCCCTAGCAACTGCTGACAGGGCACGTCGTCAACTGGTCAGCAGCAGCTTGAGCTTGAAGTAAGGAAGGGGAATCTCGCAAATAAGGGGCAAGTATTGGAAGGACAATTTACGGAGGTGATGGAGACTTCTTCTTGCCATATTCTTAGTTCCAAGCTGTCTTTCTTTGATATGACTATCTGTCCACCTGGGAACTTTTATCTTTAAACTGTTCAAAGATACCAATGGCGACTTGACCATTCGATGCGAAGATAATGGTGTACGGTGTAAGGCGAGTGGAATGAAACATTTGACTCTCAAGAAAAACCAATGCATCTATGGTGTCATCTCCCATTGCCCCGTAAAACTCCGATGATCCCGCCCTTTGTCCCCTTTCCACAGCTAAATGGTCGCATTGTATGGAAAGGATGATCAACACGGACGTTGGTGGTGTATAATACAGTATAGAATTCCGAATATGCTTGACTGAATAAGAAGAGCTCGATTCTCGGCTCTCCCTTGTGTGGATAATCCGTCCTCTCTCTCCTCACACGCTTCCTGCGTCGCGAAAGGATGAATTCCTCAGAAACCAGGGGGGTTGACTCTTTGGCTGACTCGCGTCCACTTGGGCAACTCTGTATGTTGAAAAAGATTACATATTAGCTTTCTCTCCACAACTTCTTCCTCGATCAATGAAGGGGCAAGCCTCGTAGCTTCTGCGCGCTTCCTCATTGTTTTGTTTGCCAAAACGGAGAGACGTACTGTGAATACCCTTCCGATATTTCTTTTCCTTCTTATCGAAGATGGTGTACTTGTCCTTGGGAAGCATCTCCTCCTCGCGGGGCATCTCGTTGAACCACCGAGTCACGGGCTTGGCCATCTGGCCGTTCCGGGCCAACGCGGCGCTCACGGTGTCCACCACTCGGTCGACGGCGCGGAGACGCTTCCTCTGGCGGGCTTTCTGGGGGGCGGAGATGCGCCAAGGGATCTTCCTGTGATTCAGGGGGTATGGTCAGTAACACCGTTGTGTCCGGGAGGTGGGTTCTTTGGTGGGAAGGGAATTTGTTGGTGATGCCAGCCAGGGTCACACACTGCGAGGGGGAGTGCGGAGTTCCTTCGGACCACAGAGGACACATGGGATGCAGTTCGCGACTTACCAGAGAAGACCCGAGAAGAGAGGTGATGAAGGCTTGAACATCATCTTGAGGAACGTGACACACACACACACACACACACACCGATTGGAAGAGAAGGTTGGAGGTAGGTTGGAGATGTAGGATGGCGGGCAATACGGCAAGCGGACGAAAATCCCGTTGCGAGGTTTAGGATAAGGTGGTCCGTGCCCTGCTTGACCTCCGCGGCGGACGGGACTTTCTTCCCCTCGACTCTTCTTCCCCGGGTTTTCTTGCGCGCTGTTTTGTTCGCACGTCGTCTAGTTGGGGTTTCTTCCCCTTGTGTGTGCGGGATTATTAGACTTTGATTCTCTCTATTTCTGATAAATCTGGTTTTCTTCTGATATTCGGTCGGCACTTTACATGGAAGTACAGTTGAACCCGTGAGGCGAAAAACCCACCATCCACTACAGAATGTCGCGCTCGACGGACTCTGGCGCAACGGCGGAGGCTCCTTCATTGCCGTGGAGGACTCTGTCCGCTACGACAATGCTGGGGGTTGCATCTTTGTGTCGCTCGTTTCTTTATGTGTGCAGCAAACCTGAGGTGTATGGCTTGGACTCATTCTTGGAGATCCTCGATTCGAGACGCGATCCGGCTCAGAGGACGAGGGGCTTGCTAACAGGTACTTCCATTCCTTATCCATTAGATCTGTCGCGCATTGCGCCTCAGAAGACCGAAGAGCTAATGCTTGTTTGCTTGCGACAGTTTCAAATCATACCAGCGTGTACGTGCGTACAATACGCCTTGAGGTCTGAGGCGATTCAGTTTACTTTTCACAACGGAAACGGCTGACCAAGGTCCGCGACACCGAACAGGATGGATGATCCGATCATGTGGGGGTTTCTTCCTCTGCGCTACTGGTTGAGTCTTTCCTCGTCGAATAAGCGATGGGGATTTGGAAGCCATGATATCTGCTATCAGACTAGGTATGCGCCCCCCCTCGCCGCATCAACAACAGCGACAACACCAGGGATGGATGGCTAATGCGTTAAATTGATAAGACCACTGGCGCTGTTCTTCACCATGGGCCAAGTCCTCCCCACCCATCGACTGGCGCATTCGCCGCACGGCGGTCTCGCGCAGCCCGTTGTCACTCAGGCGATCCGATTGCTGTCGAAGGGACCGTTCCCCGCCGATCCCCATCTTGCTCGCCCCGAGCGGCAGTCGTGGAGCCTGCAGAATGTTTGCGTCGACCCGTTCTCCGACCTTCCTACGGCGTTTACGACCGACGGCCACGACTCCCATTTATCTCCATCCTCCTTTGCCTGCAATTCATATTCGTGGTTCCACATCTTTCCGGAGGGCATGATACACCAGGCGCCTAATAAAACAATGCGGTATTTCAAGTGGGGTGTTGCTCGACTTATTCTCGAGGCCAGCGAATGTCCCGACGTGGTGCCCATCTGGCTAGAGGGTCTCGACCAAGTCATGCATGAAAGTCGCGAGTTTCCTCGCTTCCTGCCCCGGGTGGGCAAGGAGGTCAGTATCACGTTTGGAAAGAAGGTGGATACAGAAGCCGTCTTCGGCGAGTCGCGAAGGAAATGGCAGCAGATCAAGGCCAAGGCTGAGCGCACATCGCCCGACACTCGCGATCTTCCGCTTGGTGTTCTCAATGACGAGCTCCTGTACGGAACGGAGGCAGTGGAATTGCGCAAAGAGGTTACGAAAAAGATTCGGGATTTAGTCCTTGAAGTGCGACGTTCCAGAGGCCATTCTGATGAAGACCCCAAGGAGGGCCTCGTTGAGACTTGGATCCGAGAAGGTCCTAAACGGGATGGGAAAATGTTGGATGATTCTTGGGTACGCGATATATGAAGCCATCGATAAGATGGCGGCGACCACAGGATATTGTAGATTATAGCATTTTTATAGACCATGTGTACAGGACAGGCAGTACAGATTTACCATGCAACTTACCTACTGAGTCAAGTCGTTTCAGTCTCCGCCCGTTGAGTCAGTCAATACACAATTTACACAATGCAAGGGTAGGTGAGGCTGTGGCGGGCAAAGTCCATCCACTGAGAGTCAAAAAAACCCACTTCTTCCGTCCAGCCTTGCCTTAGCTTCAGTTCAGACCCGCTCCGACGTCAATCACTTTCTTCCGCATTTCCCCGCCGCTGCATACAATAATAAGCAATGGATGTCAATCTCCCTCACGGCTCCATCCACACTCCACGCCCATGACCACTATCCTCTATGCCCAAAAAGTTCAAGAAGAATGCCTATGCGAAACCAGCGAGCACTGCGCATCACACTCTCGCCTCCAGTGGTTTCCGCAATGATCGCCTCCGCCCCTCCGCCTCCGCGGCGACAGAGCAGCAGCAACAGCAGCAGCCCTCGGTGAACGAGCTGATCGACCATCTCCGACGCACGCAAGTCACACGGCCCTCCGACCAGGGACCTGAGAATCCATATGCCCATAATCGATTCGTTGTTCCCCGCACTGTTCATCCATCCCTGCGCAACCTTCTCGAACTCCCCGAAACCCCGCCCCCGCGGCCACGTCCAGGCTCCCGCCGCCATGCCGTCGGCGCACGACGGCTCAGACGAACGCCGGGGCCACCGCCCCCTCAGAGCTGGCTCGTGGGGAATTATAATTATCTAGAGAATCGCGAAGAAGAGGATGATGCGGCGCAAGAGAGCGCCCGTGCAGGTCGCACGATCTACCGATTGGAGCGGTTACCCGGTACGACATTCCCTGCAAAGGGGAGCCTGCAGCACACAGTCCTCAAAAACATGGCGCTCTACTGGGGCTGGCACCTCGAGTACGACGGGCTGTTTCTCGCGGATCTTCCCAACCACGTCAAGGTTCGCCTTCTCAGTTATATTAGTATATACACTCGTGACCACGAGATTCCGCCGAGCTTGGGACTTCGACCGTTGTTCACTCGCCCGCATCATCCGGCTGGAGATCACACTCCAGGTTTTGAAGTTGGCAGTGAGACCGCAGCGCAGCAGCCCGAGAATGATGGCGAAATCACACGTCTCGACCTAGGCAGCGCACTGGGCCGCTGGCTCACGCTTAAGCAAGTCTCGAGCGAACTCTTGACCACTACCAAGAGACTTACCCCCCTGATCCAGCAGCACACGGATAGCGAAGCCGCAGCAGCCGTGCCATCCTCCTGGGAGGACGAATACGACGAACAACTGCCTCCACCAAAGGGCGCACCTTTAACAACCACAACCCTCCGCATCCCGCGCTTCGAAAACCTCCGCTATCTGTCCCTGGCGCACCCGACCCCCGGCTCCGCGAACTGGAACTCCCTCATCACGCTCCTCTCGCGTCTCTCGCGCATCACCCATCTCTCCCTGGCCCACTGGCCCGTCCCCACGGTCACCCCGCACGCTCTCAACGCTACAGTCCGCCACCCTGCCCACCGCTCTTTGACTTTCGCGTACGGCGGAACGGACTCTTACGCCGCTAGCGAGAATAATTGGGCCGAGGCCGCGGGGATCCTGCGGCGGCTGTCGCGGGCAACGTATTGTCTGAAATGGTTGGATTTGGAGGGTTGCGGAGAGTGGATTCCCGCGCTCAACTGGGTGGGTGTTGGCCCGGATGGAGAAGTCTATCCCACGGGCCCAGAGTGGAATGGCTCTTGGCGGGACATCGAATGGATGCGCCTCGGGGCGGGGTGGTTCCCCTTCCTGGACGGGGATGAGCACGACGGGCAGAAATTGGGCGGTAATGAAACCGTCGCGCAGCAGCAACAGCTAATAGACAACAATCTTGGAGGTGCAGGTGCAGATGGGAGAAGGTCCCTGGCTGCTTCAATGCATGCACCCCCTCCTGCAGTCGATCCGGAGACTTCCGATGGTCTGCCGTGGGATGTCGAGGAGGAGAGGGTCAAATACCGTCGTCGGAAGGAGTTGCAGCGCTATCGAGAGATCGTCACGACAGCCAAAGATGTACAGCGGGCGGTCCTGCGGGCCAGGAAGGAGGGGAAGGGCAAGTGGGTGACATTCTCCTTTGGGTTAGAGAGATTGGAAGACGACGCGTTGAAGAAGTTACTTGGTCCGCAGTGGTTGGGGCTGTTGCCCTGAGTTTTTCGGTCTAGTGGATGGCATCTAGGGAATTCGTCGCGGGCATTGATTATACCTAAGACGGACCTCCTCATGAAGCAGGCTTAGGATATGCATGCGCTCGTGTATAGCCGATCGGATTGTAGGTATGCTCTTGGACATGCATGCACTGGACAGGCTCGCTTGTGGTAGTTGGGCATGTGCATAGGTGGAAATAGGCTGATGCACATTCAGAGCTTAGGATTTTATACAAGCAGCAAAAGGATTGCAGAATACAGTACTCAACATGATGCAGAATGTTATCCAGGCTGACACGGGTGTTGGGTCTAGTTGCGCGAGGCGGATAATGTACCTTCTGGAGTAGGATAATCAAGCGAGTTTCCAACAATTGCGAAGAGCTTACTATGATTCTACTCTCAGGCACACCATCCAGTATGTGTATCCGGGGATTGGGTCTTCTTCAGTGTGCATTTAATCGAAACCGATTTTACTGTTTTTCAGTCCACGTACCGGAAGAATGCATACAAGTTCTCACGCAGCATTAGCATGGCAGTTTGTTCTTAGATCTGGGCCTGAATTAACTTGGTCTTCATTGGGGATTTAGTGGGAGGTTAGTGCTTGGTACTGTACACATATACCTAGTTCCCAAATATCGTTTACGCAAGCCTATGCTTGTCTCCGTATTATACAAGCATACCAGTAACTGTGTCTTGTTCAGCATTGTGCTACTGTAGTCCGGGGTACATATACTACACTACTAATATTCTCATACTGCATGCACTAACAACAATCATGAGTTTTACACACTCCGCAGAGTAAAACAACTTTTCCATATGAATCCTAGGCTATGTACAGATGCATGAATACTCCGATGATACAGAATCACTTCCTCCCCCGGTTGAATGTTTTCAAAGGATCGACCTTGCGGGCCCCACCGGGCTTGCGGCCGCCCTTGCCCTTGCCACGATTCTTCTCGCGAGCCTTGCGGATACGGTTCTCGCCGCCGACCTTCCGGAACCCGACATAGCCGACGGTCTCGGTGGAGATCCCCTTGCGACCCTTGGCGGGCATGAGATACTCGGGGATGTGCTTGAGGTGGGGCTGGATGCGGGCAGACCGTAACTCGCCGTCGTGACGCAGCTGGCGCAGCTCGTCCGGGTTCTCTTCGAAGTGACGCTTGAGCTTGTCGGACTTGATGAGCTCCTGGCGGATCTCGCGGGCCCGGGCCTCCTGGACAGCGAGGCGGGTGATGGCGCGCAGGGCGTCAGTCATACGGTACCGGAAGGCGTCGACCTGGCTCATCTCGAAGTGGTAGGGCTTGACCTCGTGGCCCAGCTTAGCCTGGCGCTTCACGATGCGCGCCACCACGGTCTCGTCGTGCTTGGCCGTCGGGAAGCTGGTGGGCTTGTGCCGCCCGTACTGGTCCGCCGGCACCACGAACGAGAGCGCCATCCCCGTTTTGCCCGCGCGACCTGTGCGGCCGATGCGGTGCGTGTACGACTTGGCCGTCGTCGGCAGGTCGAAGTTGAGCACGCAGGCCACGTTCTGGAAATCGATACCACGCGAGATACCGTAGTCTTTGTCCTTGGTGGACGTCTTGCGTCTTTTGCTACTACTCTCCGCCGCTTTATCCTGTTTCTTCTTCTTTTTGTCGTTGCTATCTTCGACGTCCTCTTCGTCTTCGCTAGAGCCAACGAGGCCGTCTTCTTCTTGTTCTACTTCTTCGGCGTTGTCAGTCGAGGTCGGGTCTTTCGACTTCTTCGAAGATTTCTTAGCACCGAGAACTTCTTGGTCGTCGGCCGCAATGATGATGTCGTAGACGCCCTTGTTGAATTCCTGGACGACGTGGATACGCGAGTTGACAGGGAGTTCGGAGTTGAGAACGCAGCTCTTGATTCCGAACTGTTCGAGGAAGAGCTTAACACGGTAGCAGCGATCGACGTCGCCCACAAAGATGATCACTTTGCCCTTGATGAGCTGCAGCTTGAAGATGACGTATGTGAGGAGGAACTTCTCGTCTTCCGCGCATCTAGAAGCACGAATTAGTAACGGAGTAGCTAGATGAGCCACATATAAGGATTAAAGTCCCACCTGACAATAAATTGGCTGACACCAGCACCCTGCTCTTCCTTGTCCTCCAGCTTCAATACCACGGGATTCCGACAGAACAGACCCTTGAGGGTGTCCACCTCCGAGGTGAGCGTGGCACTCATGAGAAACGTCTGCACACCACGGGGAATCGCCTTTGCAAGCGCATTGATATCCTCATCGTATCCATACGAAAGCACCAAGTCCGCCTCGTCGATCACCAGGTGTGCGAGGTTCTCCAGCGACAGAGCCGAGTTTCCGAGATTGGCGATGACACGCGCGGGGGTCGAAACGACAAGATCGGGGTAGTCGGCGAGGAGAGTGCGTTGCACGGCATCGGAGACCTTCTGCGTCAGGTTCACGGAGCGGATGTCCTTGCCGCAGAAGGCAGCGAATCTTGTGACCACATTTTGCACTTGCTCCGCAAGCTCTCGGGTGGGGACGAGGATGAGGCCAGTGGTGGCTTTCAGAGTGGGGTCGGCCTGACAGATGGATCAGCGAGATGCTCGCATGTTGAGGACGTTATCTGCAATCAGTGGTTACTCACGGATTTCTTCTGAAGGATAGTCTGGAGAATAGGGAGGACGTAGGCGGCAGTCTTTCCGGAGCCGGTTTTTGCACGAGCTAGGATAGTTAGTCTCGTTGAGCGAACAATGATCGATATTCACGTCAAGACTTACCGAGAATATCCTTCCCAGCGAGAGCAAGAGGAATGGCCTTGGCCTGAACCAGCGTAGGCTTCGTGAACTTCTCTCTGATCAATGCTTGGCGCAATCGCGGATCCAGATTGAGGCTTTCGAAGTCGACCTCGGGGGTGGGGGTCTCAGTGGTCTCGACGCCCTCCACTGAGGGCACATCGTTCGCATCCAGCTTGCGTTTCATTGTGAAAGACGTAGGTATCTCAAGTCTGATATGGTGTGTCTTTGAGGGGATTGCTGGGATCGATGATAGACTGGGAGAGTTTTCTCGTTGCGGGCGGGCTGCGAAATTCTGTCGGGCGGTGAGATTTTCCGAGGCAGTATTTTCTGCGGGTCTCCACCGCAGCCGCCGATCAACTCTTATCATATCACCGTATCAGGGCCTCCCGAAATGTACTATGGGAATTCGAGGTGTACAATATATTGTTATGTGCATATTTTCAATCCTATAGAATTGAAAGTATCAGGTTCCATTATCAAGGGACTATGAAGATCTATTTGGATAATCAACCGCCTACCCAGACCACAGAAAAGAAATTGGGACTACACAGCAGGATCACTGCATATTGCCTTCTCATGGAGTATCCCCTTGTTAGGTTTGCCTGACGAGAGAAAGTGTACAGAGGTATAACTGCTCTGACCCGGTGCCACAATGAGTTCGGCCGGGAGTGCGTACATTGTCGTCGATCTCCAGGGTCTGGGGAGTTTTGGGGTTCAGCTTCTCTTCCGCAGGCTGACCTCGAAGCTGGTAGTGAGACATGGCTATGTACGGCGGGAACAGTTCCCTCACGGGCTCTCGATACTCTGCACACATATACTACACACCGAGAACGGCAGGGGCTATAGAATGGGACATGCATAGCAATATAGTCCTTCAAGTTGGTCGGAACAAGTGTAGTCGGGAGGAATGTTGATCAAGTATGTAATCGATTAGGGCAAAGCGCCTCCCAGAGAAGTATAGATAACAGAAGCCATGATCAATATAGAAACAGTTGCTGGAATCAAAATTTGATTCATCAGTCTCGTCCACGCACCGTACTGGAACATCAGAAGGGTATAAGAAATAATAGACTGTCGTGGGTGCAGTTGACAATGAAACGCAAGACAAGAACAGGATCCGATACCGACAAGCAAGGTACAGAATGGGTCGCAAACGCTACGCAATGGATAAGTGGAGGGGAAAATGCAAAACATCACGGAGGGCTATAAATAGACGGCAAGATAAGTAAAGAAATGCACCAATTTTCCAAGAGAAAAAATCATCCAACCGTAAAGCAGTGACCAACTGGGGTATATACCTTGCTCCCTCCAATATCATTCCTACTCTTATCTTCCATGCTGCTCAGTGATAAAATGCCGGGGGAAACAGCGAATCCAAAACGTTACACAAACACCTCCCAAGAACAGCACCACATTAGAAAAATGAACATCAGACGTCAAAACTTGAGGCGTAGGCATAAAACATAAAGCATAAGCATAAGCATCCAATCATCAGTGTAGAAAAGCAGAGCATCAACAAAAGACATCCAAGATCGTGCAGGTCGTCAAGAATCGTACAATCATGTTGCCATGATGGACGTTATCGGTCGGAGCCGTCAAACCCGCCCCTCCTCTTTTGGAGAAAAACATCGTCAAAGCAAAGCAAACACGACCCAAAGAAAACCGCCCAGTCAATGCAAAAGTCAGACATCCAAACATATTTTTCCTCTGGTTAGTGATGCATCCTTCACGAATTGCCGAGTACCGACAGAGGCGCATTATCAATGAGCTGCCTGCCGTCCAAGAAAAGAAGATCAGAACTTTTGAAGTACCAGATGCGTCGCGCAAGACAGAAATCTAACCCAGAACTTTTGTAGGTCACACAGCCAAGCATCGACCGAAGACTGTATCATGAAACGAACTGAACCTAGAGATTCGATTTGAACTCTCTTGTCTAACCCCGACCGCTGTAGATCGACCGACTTGAGCGTCGGCTGGCCCGGTCAGATTTCCGGTCAATCATGGCTCGGCGCGGGTCTTCCAGTTCTCTTCGAGAGACACTTGCGGTGTAGTCAGATCCGCCAGTCAAATACTTCTTGGCTCGGTGTTTGCCCTCAATGTTCAGCTCGACCGCACCATTGTCCCCGGTACGAAGCATCAGTCTCTTTCCCCCAACAGACTCTTGGCTGAAGCTCATGGTCACACCGTTCATTTTCATGACAATGCTATTGTCATCTTCCGGCTTCAAGCCGCTGCTGCTTCCGTTTTGAGTTCGTGCGTCACTGCCACGGCTGCTGTTCGAGCGACTCTTCTGGCTGCCGCTGTCGCTTTCAGCGCGTTGAGAGGTCTTCGCCTTGTACAGCGCGTCTTCCGTCAAGGGAACAGGCACCGAGGGCTTCCCTGACCGAGAAGCTTGGTACTCTTCTGCTTCTCGTTGCTTCTCTACAATCTCATCGTCCTCGTCCCCATCGTCCTCCTCGCCGTAGTTGTAGACAGTAGGCCGGCGGCGACGAGAGTTTTCGACGGCAATCCGTGCTGGGCGCGCAGACTCATGGTATGCGGTGGATCGTCGGCTGTCCCGGTTGCTTCGGCTGCGCTCCGGCATTACGGTCTCTCGAGAAGATTGCCGGTACCCGTACTCAGGCAAGGCGTCTCTCAGCGGTGATAGGTCTAGAGAGCGAGAAGACCGACGGTCGGAAGTGATGGACGGAGCAGTCACGGATTTTCGGGGCGGGTCGGGCCGTTTCTGGATGATGTGCGGAGCCGCCTTGTGCTTGATGGGTGGGGGAGGCATAGATCGGTAGTAGTCTTCCTCGCGATGATCATGGGAAGACTGAGCGGACATGCGAGGCCGAGCCGATCGACTCGGAGCAGGAGGAGGCGGAGGAGGAACGTCCAAACCCTCGTCATCATCCTCACTTTCATCAAAGCTTGCGTCATCGAAATCCATAGGAGGTGGTGCATAAAGTGACGGTCGGCGACCCCGACCTTGGTCTCGAGTCCTTGATGCCGACCGTTCCTGTAGACTCTCAGGAGGGGCCGCATAGTCGGGCATGCCGTAATAGGGAGACTGTGGCGGATAGTGAGAAGTGACATATGGCGCGTGGGCGTACGCTGAAGTAGACAGCGGTGGACCGTGCTCGTGGCGACCCATGGATCCCGGTGGATACATCATTTGACCCATCCCAGGCATAGCGCCATGGAAGCTCACCGGTCGGTTGTTGGTATGATACATAGATGAGCTTTCGCGAGCGTGGGGACGACTAGTGCGGGAGACATTGACGTCCTGAATCACGGAAGGCGCGTAACGGGGGTTTTGCGGGGCCGACGGAGGATATTCGTGACCCGTGGGAGGTGGTGGTGGCATGAAATACGAGAAATCCATCGGTCTCGCTTCAACAGGTGTGGAGGTAGGATGGTATAGACCTTGATCGCACTCGTAACATTGTCCCGGATAATGTCTGACATGGGCACTATCGCGACGGCGGGACCGGGAAGGCGACCGCTGCGCTTGGGCAGGAGGGTGAGGGTGGCCCATATGGGGAAAACTTCCGACTTGCATTTTCTCCTCACGTGGCGGACGAGCAATGCGGTCCTTGGAAGGACGTTCTTTGTGACCTTTGGATCGGACGCGTTCAAGGTCAGATCTTTTGAGGGTGGTGTCTGACTTATGAGGGACAGGACTCTTCCGGCCCGACGGCCCAGATTGGGTGCTGTTGACGGTGGCTGCGGTACGACTGGAATAGCCGGAGTCACTTGCAACGTCAACCAGGGGCTCTGCAGCAGATCTCACGGCCTGTTTATGGCGCTTGGTTGTGATGTTGGCGACTTGACGAGTTTCCGGTCGGATAACATGAGTATCTTCGTCATATTCCTCACAGAAAGCGACGAGGGGGTGGATTTTGCTTGCCATAACTTTTCTGGAAGGCGGCCTAAGGCCCAACCCTAAGAGGGCCTAAGGAGAGGGGGAAAGGGGAGGCGGGGGGAAGATTCTGGCTTGACTCTGAGGGGGGGGTGGGAAAAGCACGAAGGTGGATGACCTGAAACGTGGTGCTCCAACAGGCTTTCAAGATGCTTGCTTGGTGGCCTACAGCAGCCACCAACTGCTGCTCATCCGAATATGACTCAATCAGTGCCTGGAAGGTTTTTTTTTTCTTTTTAGCGTTCCTGGTTTTATTTTGTTTCCTTGGTGTTCTTTTTCTTTTTCTCTTTTTTATTTTTTCCTTCGAATCGGTTAGTGGTTCGTTTCTTCCTCTTTACTCCTAGTCCGGAGTGAGGGCTGCAAATCCACTTGGCGGCAGTCGCCTCAAGAAAACAACCAAAAGGTGCAGATGGGCCAGACAATAGTCCGAGAGACGGAGCGTCTAGATCGTTGACTGTCAGCGATGAGTCGTGGGTGGGCAAGGAGAATAGTCGTCGTCCACAGTCTGCAATGTCTCCATCGAAATGAGGAAAAGGATGAACGGGGTTGGTTCGGAGTGAAGGGGGGGGAAAGGCGACGAAGTGGGTTGTGGAAGATGGTGGTGGAGGACTGGTGATGAACAGACGACAAGTCGGGCGGCGGACAGTCAATAGTGAGAGTGAGACTGAGACTAGACTAGATAGATAACCGTCGTAGTGGACAAAGCCCAGCGTGGGTCAACCGGACAAGAACGCTGCAATGAACGGTTGGCAGCCGGTGAGTGGAGAGGATTTAGAATAAAATGATCGATTAACCAAACAATCGACGGGGCTGCAGTCCTTCAATGCACCCAGTAAAAGCGTGTAACCAACGGCTCTAATGACTGGTCCGTCGGGCTAAGCAGTCGTGGGTTGTCTGCCTTGGGATGCGATTTGATAATAGCCACCAGAGCAGAGGGGGGAAGGGAGAAGAGAAAAGCAAAGGGCCGGAGGGTCTGTCTTTTCCCAGTAGAACTTGGCTCTTTTAGGTCTGGGAGGCCCGAGGGAAAAATGACAGAAGGAGGGGAAGCGAGAATCAGGAATGCGCAGGGAAAAGAAAAGGTGGGGAGAGCGAGAATGTGGAGCCAGGGAAGAAGAACAGGTGGGAGTCTTCGTCGCCAAGCGATAAGAGATAATGATAGTAGATAGTATATAAGCAGTAAAGAGAAGGGAAATACAAAGAGGGAAAAGAAGCAGGAGGCAGAAGGAGGATGGAGGAGGGGAAGGAAAGAAATGGGGGAGGAGGAGTGAGATCGGGATTGATCAACCACCACTGGTTGGTAGTTGTCGTTGTTTTGTTGCAGTAGAAGGAAGCTGAGACAAGTATCAATACCACCTCTTCGATCGAAGGAGGGGGGCAATTTCGAACAGAGTAAGTAGTAGAGGTAGAGTAAGTAGAGGTAAGGTACAGGCAGAGAAGGATTGGATCGGTTGGAAAACTGTGCTGTGCGTCGCCTCGGTTTTTAATGGAAATCATCCCTCAAGATGCTCAGTGCTTGAAAAGAGTCATTCAAGTTCCTCCTTCTTCTTCTTTCCGTCTCCTCTTTTTTTCCCCTACATTTACAATTATCACAGAGAAGGAAAAAAAAAAAAAACATCGATGGGAAATCCTGGTACCGCGTAAATGGATATACCTTAATCATAATAACCCACAGTACCGACACACGGCTGATGCCGCTGCCGCCATTTGTATTTCTTTTTTTTTCTTCCTTTTTTTGATGGGATTTTCTATTTTGCGTTTCTCGGATTGTTTCTCGGACTGCTTCTTACTGCTTCTTCCGTTGTCTTGTGAATTTAATGACAATCGGAATAATAACAATGACAATATATCACGCAGAGAGCAGAGAGAGCAAGAGTTGCAGTGGTTTGAAAATTGTTCATCGCAACCCAACCGAGGCGAGGCATATGAATACCATCAGGATAAAGAAACGGGAAGTGGCTCCATCTCCATCTCACATCCGAACAAACATCCCTGTCTAGAGGCTATTTTCTCTTCCGCGTTGGCTGGATTTACCTCCTCCCTCCATCGCCTCTTCGTGACCTTCACTACCTTTTGGCCCATCAGATTTGCCTCCCACTTCCTGAATGTCGGTCTCCAATCCGGATGGAAAGGAATTGGGTCGGAGCAAATCGAAGAAGAAAAGAGACGAAGGAGGTCGGGGCTTTTCCCTCACTGGCTGCTGTCCGCTGCCTGATCGGCCACTAACATTTTCTGCTATGCATTTTATTACTGATGACTGACGGGCTGATGGGACTCAGTAGACATGGAAAACAGAAACGAGAAAATTGAAGGACAAAATGACTCGATCAGCATGACTCAATGGACTGGTTGTAGTGAACTCAGTGCTTCTACTGTACCGCACTCACGGAATCCACATCGTGCGTATCTCGATGGGAACTTGAGAAGCTGTCACTTTCGTTTCTGATATGTCTCCTGTCCTGCATACGTCACAGGCATGGTAGGATAAGGACTCTATTCATGATGATGCGATTATGGTATATTCCGTACTGCGACATCCGACAAGGAACAAAAGAGGCCTGCAGCTGCAAGGTGAAATCGGAATTCCACCATTGGCGTATCAGGATCACCATCACAAGCAACTTGCGGCACGATGATGAAGGAACATCAGGGGTCACTTTGATAGCCGGAGTATACTCCATCCATGCTTTCCCTGGAACGGCTGGTAATTAACACTAGATAACCGCGATACCCCAGGAGTCCGTCCGTGCGGTTTCAGATGCCCAGTGCGTGGCATTGCATCCCCCGGGGCTTTTCTACTCCCCACGCGCGCGGCACGCATGAATCAGTGACATCAATAATGGGCTTGTTTGGGAGAGAGCCTCATCCTTGAGATCTTCTACTCCGATCATTCCATCCCTTGCAGGCTCAAGATTGCCTCATAAATCGTTCCAGATATTCTTGTTGGATGCGCGAATCGCTGCTCTGGCCGGAAATCACACGTGCGCATCGACATATCCTAGCATCCGTGCATAAAGATCACTATTATAGCAGCTCACCCGGAATAGCAGTGGCCATGGATGATACCATGAGAGGACATCATTATTGCTACAACTCGCAAGTAAAGTAACAGCCCGGTTCTGATTTCTATGTCGCCTTGGTGCAACCTCATGATGATGATGGGAACGGGAATGGACGGTGGTCCCTCGTGACCTGCAGACAACGACAAGGCGAGATCCCCAATAGTCCCGGAGCTCTGTCTCAGTCATTCCGGTGGGTTGGTTTTACCCAAACACTAGTGCCTTGACCGAATCCAAGTAAGGTTGAAATTAAAAATATCGATCTATATCACCGGAGGGGGTGTGGCTGACTACGACGGTGGTGGTGGTGAGGAATGGAAGGGAAAGGCGACCGAGAAACGAGGGGAGGAGTGGAAAGAAGAAGTGACAAAAGTGATGGATCGGTACTGTAGATACAGCCTAGTAGATGGGACCCCACTCGGCTCCATCGACGGGAGAACCCTGGGTCTAAGCGGAATCTGTCCACGGACCAGCCGGCGGTAAATAAGGTACGTATTGTACTGTGTACTCCGTACACTACATTGAACGTCCACCGTCTTTTGTCTTTTCCCAGTTTCCCTTGTGACCTTCTCGAGATGATGATTGCCATCCGTCACAAGTCTGCGATCTGATCCGGTTTGTACCTGGCCCATCCGAGATAATCCCGTCCCTGTTGGCTGCCCAAAAGTCCCGAAAGATGACAAGGAACCTCGCCATTGCGGCCCAATGGTGGCCTCCACCCCGCGGGGCAATCTCCCCCGGTTGGTGAAAAAAAAAAAAAAAAAAAAAAAAAAAAAAAAAAAAATCTCGGTTGTCCCTCCGTCCTTTGGATGAGCCAAA